GGTGGGCCGTATGCACCAGGCGCAGTCATGTGCCTCTGACAACATGTAGAAATGCGGAAAGTTTTCAAGCTTTCCGTTTGAATTCGACCAGTTTATAAAAACTGTGAAAGCCACCGTAATTTTCTTGTTTCATGGTTCTTTTTCATGTTTTTAATGTATTTTTATATTGCCGATCTAACGAACTGAAAACTTGAATTTTTTGATACGACAGATAATATTATACGATGCCCATAAAAAACCATTCAGTCGATATTTCAGCGCAGAATTAATGGAAACTTGTGGTTGTGGGAAACAATTAACGGTTGCCCAAGGTGACCTCGCAGGCTGCATCTTTAGCTACTAAGTGAATGTCAGATTTTCAGCCATTCAGTCAAGCTTTCCAGTGTTTATTAAAACAGAATAAATACATATTTATCAGATTTCGAGGTTAGTGATTACCCAAGCTACCACCAGAATTACAGAGCAACTTAGGTTAGTGAATGCCCAAGCTGCCACCAGTATCACAGAGCCGCTACGTGAGTGAATACAATATACGGGCCGCGGGCCGACTTTTGTATATTCAGAAATTACATATAAATTAGACAATTTAGACCGTGAGATATTGAGGTACTAGTACTCAGATTTCTAGATATTTTTAAAATTTAGAAACTCTGGAGGCTAGATATTTAGAGGTAACGGCCCCGCTGCGCGGGGCCGAGTTGAAATATTTAGAAATTCTTGAAATGTAAAAGCTTTAAAGCCGACTTTGGAAGAACTTATAGTTATTTTAAGGTAATCAAACGGATTTAAGAACGTCCTTAAAGGTTTCAAGAATTAGAAAAAGTAAAATTATGTTTGATGTAATTGGCAATTTTAAATACTAACTATTGTTTACGTTGCTAAGTTGCGAACTCTCTAGAAGCTAACAACATTTAAGTACTACAACTTTTAAAAATTTTCTTTAGACCTTCCTCAAAACTTATGATTTTTTTAAAGGTCAACTTACTGAAAAAATCAATCCTGATTTAGGAGATAATTTCTAAAAAATAGGGACGTAAGGATATATGAATCTATTGATATAGTACCTTGCGGCTTGCGCATTACTTATTACTAAGTGGTCGAATTACATATTTACTTTATTGATTTAAAAATTAATAGCTTGATAATGACGTAACATGAATAGGCGGGGCTGTCACACTGTCACCGAAATTCTACCACAAGAGGAAAACATTTATTTAAAAAATACAATTTAAAATAAATGTTTGTGACGAAACTTAAATAGGCGGGGCTGCCACACTGTCACAGAAATTCTGCCACAAAATGGAAAAGATTAAAACTTTAAAATAAATTGTAAAATATATTCATATTGTAAACCATTATTAGTAATCATAATAAATAATGAAAATTAGGATAAAATTATTAATTTTTAAAAATAAGGAAAATAAAATATTTTTTAGAAACATCCAGTTCCATTAAACAACATTCCATTAAAAACGAAAACTGCTGCCCCGAGCCATGAGCTATAATTATGGTCAGATTCTAACTACTTACTGCGCACTGAGTACACAATTCGAAGCACAGTGCCTTTGGAGTTTGGACTATAGTTACTTTTATTGGTTTAGTTGGCAAACATAGTTATAAGCATCACATTCGGGAACATTACAAAACAAAATAAACAGCATTAAGACCTTCCGAACGTGGAACGGTCGACGTTACAGACAGCGCATTTCCCCGCTGTATTTCAATGCTAAGCCGCTGCATCAAAAACTCGAAAGAGCGTCGTTCTCCAGTAGCATCCATTATCCGCTTGCCCAGTTCGCGCAGAAACATCAAACATGCTGGGCCAACGACACCAAAGGTCTCAAAAGCTAACGCAACAAAATCGTACTCGTCAGCTAAATACTCGTATTTCCGGCGCTTCTCTTCTTCCGCTTTTTTGGCAGCTTCACCCGCCTTTGTACTGCTGCTGATTACATTAGACAGGGCCAACGTGTCCACGCACGTCACATCCCAGGCAAGTCTCCTTCCGTTTCTCCAAGGCAGCTGTGATACACCGTCCGGTCGCCGCTCATCCACGTCGCTAGTCCCTCGTGGTTCGAGTACAGCCGGTGTATTAGCGGTGACCAAGCTTCTCCGAATCACTTCATTCAAAGACGAATGTCGCATGAAACGTCCTGCGCTCTTTTTGCATGAGAGCCCATGATGGCCAAATTCGTCCACGGGTAAACGACAGTCAGTGCACAGATGAGGACTGCAAATAGGCGCACCAATACGTAGTCCGACCGCTACACGGAAGCTCTCATCCGACATCAAGGTTCCAAGAGAAGGCACGGGTAGAGCGTTCAGCCATTTCCCCGATTCCGGCTGCGCAACTGCAAGCAAACGCGCACAGTGGGTTACGTCATTCGCGAAAATATTCACAATAACTTTACAAGTTTTCTTCACTAAAGCGGCATCCCACACTTTCTGCGATCGCCGAACATTTTCAGCTGGTAGCTCAGCACCCGAGGCTGTTTGCCACAACTGGTGCACCAAGTCATAGCTCTCCGTTGCAGTGGTGATGTCTGAGACCAGGGACGATGTGGCATAAACCGAAGCCAAATAGGCTGGAGTTGCTAGTTCTGCCACACGTCGGATCCCCAACCCACCACTGGAAACGGGGAGCGATGCTTGAGCCCAAGTTACACCATCCATTTTAACGTTCGTGACTGACTCTAAAGCCGATTTGGCCACGCTATCAAACTGATCTAATTCGTCGCCGCACAGCCAGGTTGGACTTGCACGAAGTAGATAATTCATTTTAGGAACACAGATACACGTCCGCAAAAGGAAATAAGCCTGATGTGCAGGCAATATACTTAGCTTTGAGGAAAGTCTCTGTAGATCTTGAGCCTTTTGGAGAACTGCATCAGGAATCGCAGCCTGCAAAAGAGGAGCGCCGAGCAGTAATAGTTCACTTTCAGCAGGCTGCAAAAATTCCGGATGGCACTTAGCAAACGCTTTGCGTACGATTTCGCGTTCCTCTAATGTGCCACCGAATACAAAAAATTCACATTTGGCTAAATTTAGTTGTAGGCCATACTCTTCTGCTGTGGCAGTGATTTTTGCAATATCACTCAGTGCGTCAGCTAGGTTGCCACCGACAATACCATCATCCAGATACCAGGCATTCAAAGGCGACACCAATGACAATATTAGCGATAATATTAGTAGACAGAATAGTAAAGGGCCTAAAGGATCTCCCTGTTGCACGCCTGCTTGGGATTGAATATCCCATTCCCCAAAAACTAGACTGCTGGGATCGCGGTAACATTGGTTAATAAAATGGGCATATTCTGGGAGCTCTGACTGAACACACTGCATCATCTTATCACGGTGAATTGTGTTAAAAGCGTTGCGAAAGTCGAATTTTACGAGAACTTGCACTTCATCTGCAGGTGTCGTGACAAAACGTCGTGCTGCATGTACTACGGCCTCGCAGCCGCCAGGAGTACCGAAACCCATTTGTTTTGGCCTAAGCTTTTCGCCCATCTGCTGCTGTACACGTTTCACCACAATCTTAGCTGCAATACGACGTATTGTGCTACCAACTGCTATTGGTCTTATCCCACCCCCTTTTTTATTCAGTGCTGTTAAATTTGCCCCGTAGAGTACTGGCAAAATTTCTTTGGGAACACGCCCGGAAAGCATGAGATCTGCTAACAGTGCTAACTGCTCACACAGCTGGGCGGAACTGTCATTCGCGATGTTAGTTATCAAGTCCTTAAAGTGTTGAGGTCGAAACCCATCAAGACCACCAGCTGAATCATTTGGAAAGCTAATAATTGCTTCGAAAATTTCTTTTTGCATTACACGGCTAATTTGTTCACTCTGAGCAGATGACAATGGTGGGTAGCGAGCATCCGGGTTGACACCCGGATGTTTTTTCTGCAATTCAGCGAAAGTGGCTGCTGTGCGCGGTGCCAAGGCGTCCTCGGAACAAAGAACGCGAACAGCACCAGAAACGTCGCCATTTTGAATTTTCCCTGCACAAATTTTTGTAAATCGAAAGGCCGTTGTGGCTTCGTGGATGCAACGGGAACATCTCTTACACCTGACTCAAACTTAGCTATATTCGACTTGATCAGCGTAGCAAGTGACTGACTACGGTCGTTCTTGGTTTTTCCCGGCAGACGAAAAACATAATAAGCGAAAGTTAGCAGTGCTTCCCACGACTGCGCTGAATTCTCCGTAACACATCGAGAAATTACACGTGTGAGAGCCGTAGCAACTGCTCTACGTGCCCCTTTAGGTATTCGCTTAACCAGTCTACAGTTGGTTTTAAGAAACTTCACCTGATTTAGAAGACTGGAGCTGTAGTCCGTGGCCGAGGCTTCTACGGGGGCCGAGTGATCCAATCCGCGCTGTCGACGCAACACATTCTCCTTGCACTTGTTGCTCCCAGTGTGGTTGGTGACTTCACCGCACTTCACCGCGTTTGGACTTCACCGCAGATTAAGTACAAATACTGATACAGTACTAATATAGATACTAGCCGTGGTTGTTAACCACATTACTGTACGAGCGCGAGCTCCGATACCACTGGTAAATGGTACTGGACTTGATGAATTGGAAAAGTGTTACATTACGTACTTAGTGGCGACTGACAAATTTGTGCTCTTCAGTCTTCACGAAGGCTCATTGCAGCATCTCGCTGCGCTCGATGAAGACGAACTCAGTAAATGAGACATATTGTACATTACCTGAGCATAATAATATTACTGATGATTTTTTTACTCGATGAGTTGCTGTTAGGCATGTTAGACAGCAGGTCGACAACAATAACTACAAAATATTTACTATCAAAGCAGAATCTAGAAAGCTATTATTAACGAAAAAAAAAGGATTTAACCGATGAGGCTTTTGTTTCCTAATACAACGTCTCCCAGTAGTCATAATATAGTCGTAAGCCAATATTCAAGCACAGTGTGTGCTTACCTTGTTAATAATTAAATGTTACAGATGAAATAAATAACTTGGATGGGTATTATCAGCAGTATCCCGAACTCGTCTCTTGCCTCTTGGTGCGGAAAACATCCAGTTCGCACCCACCGGATCCTATTCATGGTGCAACGTGTAAGTGCGTGTGCCATTTCGCGATGCATGCCTCCTGGCAATCTTTACGTGGCCAGAGCGCGTGTGGTGTTGTGAGAACGGGCGGTGTGTTCTGTAGCCCGGTAAACCGTTATACTATATTTTTACAGCAGATGGTGGACATTTTCTTGAATTTCCGTCATTTTTATTAAATGTTACTGTAGCCGTTCAATGAGATTCCACGCCCGACCGTTGCATTCCCCTATCCGGACATCATATACAGACATTACGATATTACCATATATCATAATTATATTGTACAGATATTATCATACGCGTATGTGCATTGTGCATTACGCCATATATTGTACATATACATTACATCGTCCATCGGGCATCTTGTATGAATATTTTCGCAGAAGTATACCGGCCTCTGTGGTCCAATCCGATTGCACGCCTATGGTTTTTTTCTAAACCGATGCTTTGGAGTCGAACTAGCGGGGTTAGCTTTCGCCGTAACGTTAAATTTGATCTGAGAGTCATAATACTAGAAAAATGCACGTTGGCGTGCATTGGAAGACCGGAGCGTGGCAGCTTTTCGCTTGGGCGAGTGATAACTAATTTTTTTAACGCACAGTATTTTAACATTGACATTATCGTTAGTTTTAACATAGCAACATAACCAGTCAGCAATATTATTGTAATGACCTTTCGTAACGACCTTTCGTAACGGCCATAGAGACATTTTTGCATTGGCGCTGAATTAGAGGACCTTCGCTACGCTCCGGTCGATTATACAAGCAGCTCCATCCGACTCACAATACAAGCAGCTCACGGACATTCAGTAGGAGTCAGTCACGATGTTGTTCACTGTTTTTGTTTTTTTTCGTTTTGGTGCGGATAAGCAGCAGTATGCCTTGCGAACAACATCAAGACCACCACATCCCGGTAATCACGCACAATAATACGGTTTTTGCGCTTGCGTAATACTGCTTGGGTCGGTTGGGCGACTGGCAGGCTCCATAATTATATGCTATGTGCCATCTGATTGATCCGATCGCCGCCAGCACCGAGTTCTGTAATAAATAATTATACGTGGAGATAGCTGATTAAAGGAAAAGAATTTTATGCAGTAAATGACAAGCAGCTGTACAGTAACGATCCTTACGTACAGGTTATACCACAGAGTTTGTGCACGGGAAATAACACTTGCAAAGTATATACTGTCCGCATACAGAAAAGCTGGAATGAAACACACATTGCAAGAGCTATTTTCCCGTACACGAACTCTGTCATATAATTTGTAAAGACCGCTACAGTACACCAAACAGGTACGAAAGCAGTACTGTTTCTTGTTACCCGTAAAGTCCCAAAGGGCGTGCTATCGCAAGCACGATACCGGTATTTGTTTGTCCAAAATTAGACCACCTCCACGTGATCAGGTCTGTCAGCTTTCAGAAGATTGGTATTTGCACTACATATTCGACTAACTTATGGACTACCAGTGATATCTCCGTAATTATCTCTCAATGCAAAGAAGGTATACTACGCTTGGCCTGTCGTAGCCCGTGAATTATGTACGTTCTAAATTAATAGAGCGCCCCGGTTGTTCATTTTTAATTGGACATTAGTATTGTTCTATCTCCACCTTACTGACGATACTTCGGCAGTAAGCACTAGTGCATCCTCAAGATCCGCTCGCTAGATTTGCACCGCTCTCTGGCCCGGCCGTTGCTTTCATCCAACCGGGCATTGTATATTCCCTGCATGAACATCTGACAGTGCGAGTTCATAGCGTAGTTTCTTTCGTACAAGGCAACATATAATGCATTAATCTGCTCGGTGGTGCAACGTCATTGAGCAGTACTCGTATTATATACTCGTATGTTGCAGTATAAAAGTTATACAACCAGTGCTTTTTAGGCTTTCACAGCTAGGCGAATTCGGCGAAACAGCAAAATGTTAGCGCTCGCTGAAAGTGAGCGGTAAAGCAGAATTCTTATTTGTGTCTTCCTACGGCTCAAGAACACGGGTTCACTATTATTCATGGTATTTACCAGATATCATCGTTGCACGTTCTTTTTATCAGCATTTAAAGCAACACCATGGGATTTAGCAGCTTCGTAACGGGCAACGGCTCACTGCATACAGGAAACAGGTCGTTCTATTCCCTTCGCAATGCCAGTACGATTCCGTACTGGATCGCACACGGCGATGACCTTTACACGTGGACTATGGCATCCATGGGATGTTACTTGATCTTCGCCATATTATTTCCGTTATTGCCGACTGTTCTGATACTATTAAAAGTCTACAAGCGTCCATCGGGCATTTTAATCCTGCATCTTGTACTGCTCGAAGCATCCTTAGTGTTAATTTTTGCACCGCTGCACGTGATGATCACGTATATGGGGCAATATAATATCGTCCAATCAATAGATTGCGTCTACATTAAGTTTATCTTTCAAATGTTAATGCAGACCGATCACTGGGCGCAAGCTGTTTTTGGGAATCAACCGACTGATTGCCGTCACCGCACGGCGATTATATGTTCGCTGTACGACCCGAGCGGCACTAGCCATGACCATCGGCTTGAGCTGGTTAATCGGCTTCGCTGATACTCTGCCCACGGTGCTCAACATTGAAGGCAGTTACATTGTGTTTCCGCCGTGGAACGGCTGCCATTTCGTACCCAAAGCAGGAACACCCTGGATACACTACCTGATCATCGGTCAGTACATTCCGCTGCCCCTCACCGTGATGGTATACATCGCGCTGCTGCTGCGTCTCAAAAGCGCATCTGCTGTTGGTGCAACGGAAACCGATGCAATCGCAATCGCGGAGCTAGCTGCCAGTCAGAAGCGACGGAATCGTATCGGTCGAATGTTGTCCGCCGCGGCCATTTGGTACTGCGCCTGCTTGTGTACGTTGACCTTTATCTGGGTCTTCATGCGCCAGTCGTATGAAAAAGAGCATGCGATGCTCTGGGGACAGACGCTGTATCTCTTCGCTTTTGGCATGACACCGGTAATATTTATTTTTCCTTTTTTAACACGGGATATAATAACAACCATTGGCTTTAACTGGCCATTAATTTTGCAGGTTTTCTTCTTTACTCTAAATCGCGATTACCGAGTGAAACTTGTGGAGATCATCAAATCCGTGAAAACGCCCAGCTTGGCATAAAGAAAGATTCACCAACATTTTTGTTTCACTGAATCTCAGAATCGATCACGATGTGATGCAACCGATTCTTCAGTTGCATGGGTCATACATAACCATGTGTCATAACCATAACCATAACCGTGTTAAGTGTTAACCAAATTATCATGGAACCGGTTAGCTTTTATTGTTTACATAATAAATAGCCAATATTCAGAGCTTCTAATATCGCTTTATTCGGCATCTGCCAGCACATGTGTCAATACGCGAGCGCATATTCACACTAATTCAAACAATTAAATTTTAAACATTAAAAAAACATCCAAAATCGTTAGTGTCCTTCTTGGTTTTCGGACGTGTGTTAAGAGTACCCAAAACAGCGGCTGCATTGCCTCTGACTACTGCTAGACTAAAACGTTGTCTCAAAAAGGCTGTAGATCGAGGTTCTCCAGTATTGTCCCGAATCTTCCTCCCGACGAAACGCACCAGCTCCGCAAAAGACGCTCCAAAAATTCCCAGCGTCTCAATTGCCAAAGGGTAGAAGAAATATCCCAAACCTTCGAGGAAATCGTACTTCCGCCGCTTACTGTCTTCGGCCGATTGCGCTACATTTCCGGCTTTCATCGAGCTCGCGTGCACGTGCGAAACGGCCACCGTGTCCCAGCACGTCGCATCCCATACAACCGCTTTACCGAGCTTCTAATTTCTCTGCTGGCTTTCTATATACCTGTTTCCTTTTTCAAAAAAATTATGCATTTATTAAATCTGCCACAACGCGGCTTACTGTGCACCAAACGCGAAGCCCCTGTAAATAACATAATGGTAACATTATTTATTAAATTGCTTCACGCGCAACTTTGCGTTTGGGTTTAACCTATGTTAATAAGAATGGCCGTAACTGATGACGAAGTGGGTAATTTTGCGTTTAACCTATGTTAATGTGAATAACCCAACAAAAGGACCATAAATTGTCTCTATATATGTCTGCGTTGGATTCATCCAGAATGCTCAGTGCGCGAGTTCATGCAATAAAGTTTGAAACCTTACACCAATTATCACTATACATACTAGCCGGTCATAACGTATTTCCTTGAACTCTAATCAATTCAGGGATAATCGATAATCGATGAACTCTAATCGATAGAGGGATTGAGGGATTCTGGTCATAAGGACTGCATTGCCAAAAACGACATAAACAGTTAAGCGTTTGAGTAAACTTGCGGGTGATTCTTAACCAAAGCCTTAGCACGAAGCGAGTTCCAGTATCACCGGTAAACCGGTCACGGATTTCTGGACTTGGCAACTTGTTTCTTGAAGCCTTTCGTGACGATAAACAAATTTTTAATCATTGACGTTATCTACGTTCGGTTGTGATGTCCCTTAGCGTAATTTCTCATACGCAGTTAAATATGAAAACGTGGCTGGAGCCCACATGATGGTACATCCCATATTTTTCCTCATAACGAGCGATTCTGATCCATACCGGGTTTTTCTGTACCTTTTGTGAAAAAAATTGTTCACAAAATCGTGCATAAATAACTGTAAGCACAGCGTTTATACAGGTTGTTTATTACATTTTTAGAAATCACGTTGAAATATGGAACTATTTGAAATCCGATTTCTTCTTGTAACCTTTGTGCACATAACACCCTGAAAACGCTCTGACTTACCGTTTTGCTAATATTTACCTGTGCTCCCTAATCCCTTCATTTTGCAGTCAAATGGGGAATTATCAGTTATGAGGAGTACGCTTACACTCTTGCGTCAATCATTAGGAGTTATTAATATCTATAGTAATTGTACCGAATTTTAAATCCAATTAAAAATTATTGTGAACTCCGTACACTGTCATTCAAAACAAGTAATTGAGTGACCATTACTTGTATTCCACGCAGTGCTGACAGTATCGCTTATTGGTTGACTGGTTGACTAATAAACAGGAAGCGGAAGATCTACTTTCCGATAATTATTTCCTGGTCTAACGAACATTCATCTGTTCTAGGTATGCCATCGATACACGGTGTAAGATCCTGGCAGAGATGAACGAAAGCAGTACCCAATTACAAAATTATTTAGGGTAACTCTGATATGTCAAACAGGAAAGAGCATCTCAAGCTAGTGGAATGCCGGAGCATGTGCAGTAACACCAATGTGTAACGCAGGCAACTCCAGCCGCATTGTATAGTTAACTGAAACAGCCAAAGTCAGGCCGACCAAAGGGCAAAGTTTGGATACTCTTGGGAAACCGACTGATTTAGCAAATCTTTAATTTTTCTCATAGATCCAGTTGAACACCGTTATTATCCCATTGCCATCAGAGTGAGTGGGAGTATGGCTTTCAGCACTGCATTTTTTAGCAACACTACATCGCGATCCGCGACGGAAGTCTTGCGGCAATCCAATACCACTGCCATTCCATGGTGGATTACGCACAACACCGACTTGTTTACCTGGGCCACCGTGACCTTCGCATTTTACTTGCTATGCGCTATTATTTATCCCTTTCTCCCTTTTGTCTTAATTCTGCTGAAAGAATACCAGCGTCCGTCCGGAATACTCATTCTACATCTCGTTTGTCTCGAAGCGTCTTTGGCGCTGGTATTGGTGCCGTTACAGCTGGCGGGCAACTATGTGGGCCAGTACAATCTTTTTAAATCGACAGACTGCGTTTACAGCAAGTTCATTTTCCAAGTTGTTATGCAGACCGCTAACTGGTCGCAACTGTTCCTGGGCATCAACCGCCTGATTGCTGCAACATCACGGAAACTGTACATGCTTTGTACCACCAAAGCCGCGCTCAGTATGACCATTGGGATCAGCTGGTTAATCGGCATTATTAATACACTGCCCACGGTATTGGATATTGAAGGGAATTACATCATTGTACCACCGTGGAATAACTGCGGTTTCCAGTCTAAACCGGGCACCCCGTTTATGCGTTTCGTGATTATTGGGATGTACATTCCATTACCTTGTACTGTGTTGGTGTACATTGTTCTGTTATGGCGATTCCGCCGAATGCGGGCGACCGTTGAGGGTGCACTGGCAACAAACGCCGCGCAGCATAACTCGGTTTTCGAAGGCAACCGGAAGCGACGGATTCGCATCGGGCGAATGCTGTTCGCCGCCACCATGTGGTACTGCGTGTGTTACTGTACCCTGACGCTCATGGGGGCTTTTATGCGGCCGTCGTATCAAAAGGAACATGCCCTGTTGTGGGGACAGACGCTGTATTTTGCGGCATACTCGATGACACCGGTAAACCATTGGTCTTGGAATGTCATTGTCTACGGTGTAACGCATAACTTATCCAAATTTGTAGGTCGTTTTTTTCGCCATGAACCGGGAGTACCGCGCCAAACTGGTTCAGGTCCTCAAGTGTGTTAGGAATTCCATTTTAATCTGAAGTGCACGTAATGATGCACCACACTGCTTTATTTTGCACCTGGCTGCAGTATGGTGGCTGGGTAAATACCTATCTGTACTTCGATATATCCATCATTTCGTACGATTGCACTGTGTGGATCAACATATTTAACACTCTTCACACACATTTGCCTGTTGGTCTCTTAACACTCTTCACGCACATTCACACACATTTGACTCTGCGACTACATGCTATACCGTATGAAAACGGTATTTCTGTCCATTATATTTCGCTGTCTGCAAAACTGCAATTTTTGGCACTTTTATCCGTGTTACTCTTATCGTACAAACAAACATTTCGAAGCGAAGCAATTAATCAATTGCCCGCTCCGGTGATTCGGTTAATTGTTATTCAACAGATTCCGTTTACAAATGAAACGTTATGTTATGATTGCCAGATTGTGCGAAAGGGTGAAGTGGATGAAGTTGTGTTATGAAACATGTAGCGATGTTTCCATAAGCAGGGGCACAAAAAGCCTGCTGTTATTCTGCAAAAGCACGGCCGTCAAAGTACGTAGTTAAACTTTTAACGGCCTCCTACGCCTGTTGAGATGCTAGCGAAATTCTTGAGAACGCCGCATTTATTACAATTTCATGTGCAGTTTTTCTACCGAAGCCCCTACACAATTCGTCAAGCCATTATTAACAAACCTAACGTATTCAAGCATTTTGACCATTACTATGCAGCAGGTTCATAACACGTAATGTAAAGCACAACAGGTAGACTGCAGACGGAGCAGTCTACAACATTCAACATCAGCAGACGTCGCAGCAGCTTTGTCCTTTAGCAAGTCTCAGCATTCAACGAATATTTGACTTGCTTAACATTGATTTGACCCGGTCCGGAAGGAATAGCAGTGGCGCAACTTATGTGCTTGATTCTTCGTAAAACCGTACGTACTTATGTGCTTGATTCTTCGTAAAACCATTGTAGATACCAGGAAGGCGGTAAATAGTGGTGACACTACTGTCGTTTGCCGTCGATGGCAGCAGTGACATATTGTTCATTCGCCAGCGTCTATACCATGCGAATTTGCAGCTGCAGTGCAATCTTCGCAAATAATCCTGCATGGCTTGATCGTATGCTTGCCCGAGCTCTGTCATGTTTAGCAGGCCTTCTAAGGTCAGCACTTTTAAAGCCGGCAGATTGGTGAATGATCCTTCCTCCAGAGTTCGAATTGTCGATTGAAAGAAAGAAACCATTCGCAGTCTCTGTGAATACTGAAAGTCGCTCGTTTTCACGTCCAGATCAGTGCCACCAAAAACATCGTACTGCAGCAAATTCGTCAAACGGTAGGTTGCAAGAATTCTAGTGGCTCTCGGGGTTACGCACTCCAGCAGCAAGTACATCACGATTTCCCGGCGGATGGGCGATATATGTTCGAAAGTTAGGGGCGTAGTTTCCTTGAACTGAATTTCTATCGGCCGTGGACGTAACTTGCCAATTTGGAGTGCCTGTTGGCGCAACTGATGAAACATAGTTTCGCTGTTGTTACAAGTGTCTAACATCACGTATGAATATTGGGTGTTGTTCAAGGATTCTGCGTGCCAGGCTGGATCACACAAGCCAAGAAGTCGTACGGCGGCTTTTACGGAATTCATCGGCTCAGTGGCAAAATCAGGAAACGAATCATCTGAATCCATATCTTTTGAGGTACAGTTTTGGTGTGCTTTGTTTGGATCTGAAATACATACGACTTCCGTAAATCAGCTATACAGCAACGCCACTAAATTTCCAAAAGCTAACATGAGCTAATAAAAATAAAAACGAGTACTTTGGCGTGCCTCAAAGACCGACTTAAGCACCGTTTACCGGCCCCCATGAAGCACGTCCCATATCGCGTTGATCGGTTTCATCAATCAGTGTACTCAAATCGATCGGTCTTGAAGGCGCATTTGAAAACTTACAGAGGTCTTCGTTGATGGAGAACCGCTCCTGTATGAAATTAACTGACGCGTTTCCCATTGGGAAGGGGTCAGCTGCACAGTCGATAGGCAGATAAATGCCAATTTTATTCCGCGGCTCATTACGCCAGGATTCCCATCCGATATTGTAAATCTCGCCATCGCCAGCTTTGGGTAACAGGTTTTTATTACCGCTCCACCACTGCCGGAACCATGCAAATTCGCAGCCGCAGTGTAACCTCTCCAAATGTTTCCGCATCGGTTCAGGGAACACCCCCATCCTATCCAGATGACTCTCCAGCGAAAGCATCCTCAAAGCCGGCAAATCGGCAAACGTGTTTCTTTCCAGTACTGCGACAGTTGAATTGACAAACTCGATCACTCGCAGCTGCATGGACTGCCAGAAATCTGACCTTTTGATGCTCAGTTCGTAACAGTTAAATAATCCAAATTCCAACAAATTAACAAAGCGTAATGATGGTAGCTTTCCCGGTGCTCGCTCGGACGTGCAATTAAAAAGCTGGAGTATTACGATCTGATTCCGAATGGCCGCAAAATTCTCACTGTTGATCAGGCTACCGTCGTACAGAGCGACAAAGATAGCTTTAAGTGGCGGTTGCGACATGGCCGTCGCCATTTGTTGGATTTCTGTGGCAGAAGCGTTATTGTTACAGCAGATTTGCAGACCTTCGCTGAATGGGCAATCACCGACAGTGGCAAGTGGTGCTTCGCAGTTGTCGGTAAACTGCACTTTGCATTGGTCAAGTGTCATGGGTTCAGCCGAAAATCTGAGGAACGGCACGTGTTCGGTTGTCATGTGGCCGTCTGCACCATCTGTATTGGATTATACTCGTAAATACGGTAAATCGAATGTTAAGGAAAATGGCCCGGTACATGGGGTCAAAAATGGGATACATACATTAAAACTTTGGCTTTCGCGCACTCCGAATCACTTATTGTAATACTTTACGCCTTCTAAAACTAAATACGAGTACATTGTTCTGAAACCGTTTGCGCGCGCAGCATCCGCTAACCGAGATGTGACGAACTAAAATGGGCAAAAAGTTTAAGCGCATTGATTTGTACCAAAAAGTCTGGCTATTACTCGACCTTCTTGAAACTTTGCAGTAAAAGATACATGCTCACAATATAATCATTATGAATTTATGACCGGGTGCTCTGAAGTTTGAATGTATTCAGCGTCAGTTATTAAAATGCCGAAAATAATACCTACTCGTAGCTTTTACAATAAATTTCGAAAAGCGCTATGATTGGCTCCTATACCGTATGCGTACCCTCACGGTCGATCGCCAAGGATGTGCCGAGAAACAGCGCTAACGTTATCATTGCCGGCACAAAATGGCGACAGGTGTCCATGGCTTATACCGGTCGCTGGAAACGCTGACGTTATGCGCGTGTCTTCAGACAAATCGTCTGACTGAAGACACTTGGAGTAGATACTACGTGTACGTGTAGACACTACAGCGTGCATTACGATTCAGACTGCATACTCATTAACAGGACTGAATTATCTTTGTGAAAATTGCCTTGAGCCACTACCCTGGAAGTGTCTAATCAGCGATTATTAAAGCTGTTAAAAAGCTTACCAGCATTTGTATATATTTCTGGAAAACGCTATAATCATTTGGCTTTAATTTATTTGCCTGTCATAAAGTCGCTCATAAAATCGGCGTACTGCAGCCATTTTTTATAAACAGAATTGTGAAATCAAAAAAACGAGCGACAAAAAAGTACGCTGTACGCACACGTAAAACTGCAAAACATCGAGCCGGATCATTACGTCTTTATACTGCTTGTCAGTCTTGTGAGAACAGCACATTTTTACCCGAATTTAAGCGAGCACAGAAAATGTAAACGTGAGTCAGCATTCACCAACCAGTTTTAATCGTAGGTAATAATAATTTAATGTGTAAGGTACGCCGCGCATTATGCAGAAATGGCAGGCTTGAAACTAACACCCGAACGTGATTCCGGAAACCCGGTTTGGCAGTCGGTAGCAGTTTAATTGGTGACTAATGCAGCTTTAGTTAGAAAGTAATGCACCAAGCATCATAAGATAGCTGGTAATAGCTTACCGGTTCCATTCTCAGTTGCCACGAATTCGCAAAATTCAGGGATGCTTAATCGCCCAAAGACGGTATGGTATATACGAGAACTGATGCTTACTAGTTATGAAAGTATATTAATCAAATAACGACGTTCTGATGACGACGACGATATAGTGCATATTATATATTCAGTGCAGATATTCAGTGAAACGACGACATTCAATGCATTGCAGCTGTACTCGTACTGCTGTTATAATAGCGTTACCTGTAAATATAGAATGTGCGATCTTCTCTTCTGGTGTCAGGAAACTTAAGAGTAGCTAAATGTTTTTCTTACTGTTAGTTTAAGAGTCATAATCATTGCCAGCAGAGCGACCGCTTGCGCTTACCAAAGCAGTTTACATAACCGATTTCCGACGTTGTGCGTGCTGCGGCGAAACACCGTTCCTCATGTTACCGATATAAGGGGCCGGGCGCATTACTCATGGTGATCGACGGCCCTCCAGTCTTCACCATCTATGTTGCAGATTGCATGATAAACTACTACTAGCTTAACGTGAATGAACGCTGTTCAAAATGTGTGGTATCTGCTAATCGTTACGTATTTCACGTATCTCATGAGATACGTCAAAGCATAGAAGCACTTAACGTTCCATTGCGTAGGAACATGCTCCCTTAGTTGCTTCTTCGTTAAAATGCGCTTTCGTTTAGAAGATATTAATTTTTACTTATTTTTAATGTATACAGTAATCGCTTCGATGAAAGTTTAGCTTGCATAAGCATACTGCTTGCATTTATAAAATTGTATGGCATTATGTAGACGATTTTATGCAGTGTCTGCAACGTAGCGAGGTTACTAACTGGAGGCCTCGGCCCACCCAAAAAGAACATCATAGCACACTTCAAAACGCGATAACAATATTATAAAGAAGCGCTTGAAATGGGAAGCGTGCACATAATTACAACTTCTTTATCGTTCAGCAAGCATCCTCGTTCTGTGAATATTCAGTTTGCTCAAAGTTGATTTGACCCGATCCGGAAGGAATAGCAGCGGCGCAATCAATCGGCACGTAATTGTAGAATCGCCCGGACACGAAGCCACTTAAATCGTCAGGAAGCCGGTACAGAATAGTGGCAGCAGTGTCATTGGTCTCTTGCAGCAGCATCGTATTATTTATCCGCCAGCGTCTGTACCATGCAAATTCACAGCTGCAGTGCAATCGCCGCAGATTATCCTTCATGTTCTGATCGTAAGCGTAGTCGAGCGTTCGCAAACCACTTTCTAAGGACAGCCATTTCAAAGCCGGCAAACTGGTAAATGTCCCTTCCTCCAAAGTCCGGAGGGCAGCGAAGGCGAAGTTGATCGTCCGTAGTTTTCGTGAGTATTGAAAGTCGCTCTTTTTCACATCTAAATTCACGTTGCCAGCAAAAACATTGTATTCCATCAAGTTTGGCAGCCGGTAGGTGGCGAGAATGCGTGTAGCTCGCGAGGTTACGCATTCGTCCAACCAGTATCTCACGATTTCCCGGCGAATGGGCGCCATATGCTCAAAGGTCATGGGTGTCGTCTCCTTGAACCAGATTTGTATGGGTCGCGGGTTTAATTTTCCAATTTCTTTCGCCTGCTGGCGCAACCGATAAAACATGGTGTTGCTGTTGTTGCATGTGTCTAACATGATGTATGTAAATTGCGTGCTGTTTAGAGACTCTGCTTCATAAGCTGGTTTACATAGGCCAAGGGTCCGTACGACAGCTTCTATGGAATTCAGTGGCCCGGTGGCAAAATCTGGGAATGAATCATCGGTTGTGTCTTCTGCCGTACAATTTTGGTGCAATTTATTTGGATCTGCAATGAGTTCGCACCTTGCTTTAGCAGACAAATACAATTAACAACATGTGCAAATTAGAACACCGCTTTTCGTTTAGTAGAAACGACGAATGAGCTTAGTACTTACAAAGTTCTTCGTTAATCGAGAACCGTTCCTGTGCGAAATCAATAGACGCGTTTCCCACTGGGAACGGATCGGCTGCGCAATCGATAGGCAGATAAATTTCGCTTTTATTGCGCGGATCGCTTTCGTCCCACCCTGTTTTGTAAATCTCGCCTTCGCCGGCTTGGTGCAAAAGATTCCTATTCCCGCTCCACCACTGCCGAAACCAGGCAAATTCGCAGCCGCAGTGTAACCTTTTCACATACTCGCGCATTAATTCCGGGAACACCTCCACGGTATCCAAATGACTCTCCATTGAAAGCATCCGCAAAGCCGGCAGATCGGTAAATGTATCGCTTTCTAGGGTCGCTATTGTTGAGTTAATCAGCTCGATCACAACTTCGTAGACTGCCAGCAACTTCGTAGACTGCCAGAAATCTGACCTTTCGACGGACAACCTACGGCAATGTAAGTTATGGGATCAGGTGACCCGGTATGAACTGAACATGTATCATTCCCGCTCTTTTCCGATGTGCCGGTAGCACATGATCAATCACTGCACATTTCACCGACAGCTGCTCCCCAGAAGTGTACACAGTTGAGGATTGTCCAACGAAGTAGGGTTTATGCATGCACTGCAATCGGACGGCATCTGCCGATGAAACAAGAACCGGAAACCAAAGCCGGCTGGAAGCCAATCAAAGCAGTAATGGCCTTGTACGATGGAGGTCAGGTCGTCAGAAAAAACTTGGTGACGGGAACGGGCTGTTATCCCGGCGATTTCCGACTGCACATCCGCCCGTACAACATGAAGCTGCTCAAGTAGTGACTGCCGAACGTGCAACGTTTCAAGCTAAATACCTTCTACAATCTGGATATCCACAACCCGTTGTGGACTATATAATTTGTCACGCGAAAAAATTATTGCTTATGGACGACCCGGCTAATAAAGTTGTTGTAGCAGTCAACGGTGCGCCGATGTTTGCGGATATGCTGGCACAATTCGTGAAATTGGCGGTGTTATGGATAATTTTATGAGCACAGTATCTCTATATATTCATACAATCTTACTGTTCAAAACGTATTTTTCCTGGGTTTTTATGGTCAGTATAAGTCAAGCTTAGTCTTGAAAAATTTCTAATTTTCCATAGGTGTGCCTTCTGAATTTCGATTGTGTTTTGAAAGCGTTGGTCAGAAGAAATTTTGACAGGTTCTTAAGTATAGAAAATAGAGTACTTAATATATCGACGTTCTTTAGATACTGGTAAAGTGTTTATAGTGTGGTACTGCAGTACATTCTTGCGAGTAAAACAAATTATTGCCACGGAGGCAGCAGTTAGTGCAATAATGTAGTGAAAAATCAGAATTGCACGGACCATTTAATGAAAAAAGAGGAAAAATAGCCAGTGGTCACAGGTTCAAGAAAAACTTGTGGGGTAGTCAAATATTAGTATCCGTCCAAGAGGGTTTTGCCAAGCGCGGAGCGCGAGGCATACCTTGTTTTAAATAAGCTATCGAAGTACGCTTAGTACAGTGATCGCACAATTCTTTAAGCCGCTGTTTAAGCCGTTACGTATTCAGGCAGTTTGACCGTTACTATGCACAAGCGGTGTTATAACAGGTAACAAAAGCGTAACAACCCAATTATAGACGCCATTGAAAATAGAAGCGGACACGAGAATAGTCAGGTTACAGCAATGTTGTTCTTTAGCAAGTCTCAGCGTTCAACGAATACTCGACCTGCTTAACATTAACTTGATCCAGTCGGGAAGGAATGTCAGCGGCGCAGTCAATGGGCACCTATTTGTTTGATCGGTCACTCACGAAGCCAAGGTAGAAACCAGGAAGACGGTAAGCATAAGTGAGAGCACTGTCACTGGTCGTTTGCAGTAGTGCCGTGTTATTCATCCGCCAGCGTCTGTACCATGCGAATTCACACTTGCAATGCAACCGCCGCAAATAATCCCGCATCCCTTGATCATATTCTTGCACGACATCGGTCATGAACAGCCCACTTTCTAATGACAGCACTTTCAGAGCCGGCAGACTAGTAAATGCCCCTTCTTCCAGAGTTCGAATTGTCGATAAAACGAAGGAAACTATTCGCAGTTTCTGAGAATACTGAAAGTCGCTCGCTTTTACATCCAGATTAGTGCCGAAAACAACGTACTGCAGCAAATTCGTCAGACGGTAGGTTGCAAGAATTCGAGTGGCTCTCGGCGTTACGCACTCCAGCAGCAAATACATCACGATTTCCCGGCGGATTGGCGATATATGTTCGAAAGTCAGGGGCGTAGTTTCCTTGAACTGGAGTTCTATGGGCCGTGTGCGTAGTCTGGCAATTTTCTGTGCCTGTTGGCGTAGTTGATAAAACATAGTTTCACTGTTGTTTCAAGTGTCTAACATCGCGTATGAATATTGGGTGGTGTTCAAAGATTCAGCGAGCCATGCGGGATCACACATGCCAAGAAGTTGTACGGAGGCTTCTACGGAATTCATCGGCTCTGTGGTAAAATCAGGAAACGAATCTTCGGGATCCATGTCTTCTGCGGTACAGTTCTGGTGCCGCTTTATCCGGATCTGAAATATACGGTACTGAGTATATCAGTTGCATAAATATAAGCTTGTTTTGTGAGCGGGTGATAACTGTAACGTAACGTATAATAACGTGCCAACAATAAGGTAACGTAATAACGTAACGTAATAACGTATAATAACGTAGGCTACCGTAGCCACTGTTCTACAAAGTACTGTGCGTTATAGTGGTTGCAGCGAGTGAGAACACACTTCGGCGCATCGAACTGTTTAGGATTTCCTTTCTTGAACCACAGTTGGTCACCTTAATCCAGTTGCGTAACGTGCTGTAGTAGTGTGAATGGCTCAGGCTGTTCTGCTGTGGTTCATCGGATTACTCCGCCAAGGTCCACCCGCTTTTGAAAGGGAGTTGCAAGGTATATAGGTAGTTCCATTTATATAAATTAGTTAAAGTTGTTAGCAATGGAAACTAATTTTTCTAGCTGCAGATTTAAAAACACGTTACCGATTTCGTAATGTGACTATTTTAATCGATTTTGTGTTTAGTTTAAAATAAATAAAACTTCGGTGCATCTCAAAGGCCAGCCACTTTAAGCATGCGGCTTACAACACCGGCCCCCCTTGCGGTGCGTTGCATCATTGCATGGGAAACCACTGATCGCAGAATGGAGTGATCGGTTTTTTATTCAGTGTGCTCAGACTGATCGGTCTTGCAGAGATTATCTAAGAACTTACAGAAGTCCTCGTTACTGGAGAACCGCTCTTGTATGAAATCAATAGACGCATTCCCAACTGGAAACGGATCGGCTGCACAGTCAATAGGCAGACACACCTCACTTTTTTCCCGTGCAACATTGAACTCCAATCCGATTGTATAAATGCCGCCTTGGCTGGCTTGCTGCAATAGATTCCTATTACCGCTCCACCACTGCCGAAACCAAGTGTATTCGCAGCCGCAGTGTAACCTTTTCAAATATTCTCGCACTGCATCCGGAAACAATTCCATCGTATTCAAAGAACTCTCTAGTGAAAGCATCCGTAAAGCCGGCAAATCGGTAAAGGTGTCCCTTTCTAGGATTGCGATTGTTGAGTTAATCAGCTCGTTTACTCGCAGCTGCGTAGACTGCCAAAATTCTGACCTTTTGATGACTAATTCATAGCAGTTAACTGACCCGAACTCCAGCAGATTATCAAAGCGTAATAATGGCAGATTTCCGGTTACCCGATTGGAAGTGCAGTTAAAAATCTGGAAAATTACGACCTGGTGTCGCACGTTTGCAAAATTGGCGTGAGTGATCAGGTGACCGTCGTATTGTGTAACAAGTATCGGCTTCAACGGCGGTTGCGACATGGCCGTCGCCATTCGCTGGACTTCTGAGGCTGATGCAGTGTTGTCACAACTGATTTGCAGATCCCGGCTGATTGGACAATCAGCGGCCGTGGCCAGGGGCGGTTCGCAGTTGTCGGTGAACTGTGCTTGGCATTGTTCAAGAGTCATTGGTTCAGCGGAGAATTTAGGGAACGACACGTATTCAGTTGTGGCTATTCCAACTGCAGCATCTGCATAGATTAAGCGTTAACCAAGCTTACCAATACAATTAATAAGGCATCTATGGTAGAAGTATTTATTATTAATGTGCACAGTACATGCGATGCGCGCAGAGTTAGGCGACAGGTAGACTCACGGTTAATGACCAGTGCTATACCGAGAAACCGCATGGTAGTCAGAAAATGGCAGCAGATGTTCATGGCTTGTATGGGTCCCTGCACAAACGGCTCGTTGTTCACATAAATTCGATAACATTGGAATACTAAGGTGAAGCCTAGAACAGTCCTGTTGCTACAGATAGTGGAAAGACGTTGTAATAGCCAAAAGTATGACAGCAAAAAATTGCGTGACAAAAATGACACAATGCGTTCACGGGTTTTATTGCCTGATTTACACGGATAGCATCCTTTCTTCGTGAAAATTGCCTTGAGCCTCCACCCTGAAAATTCCTAGTCGGTGCTTATTACTACAGCCGGTAAGAGGCTTACCAATAATCGCTTTGGAAGCAACGCTTGCCTTTTTATTTAAACGATAATAAAGTGCCTCGTAAGTCCGCGTAGCGTGTCATTTTCATAACCAGAACCATGCTGGAAGCATCAAGAAAATGATTCTGCGATTATTGTACAGTTACCGGAAGCTTGGTGGGTGACTAATACACCTGTGTTATGAAAGAAAACTCAAGCACAGAAGAATATTCAGCCGAATTTTGTTGAGCCAGTATTGCTTTCAGTTTAGCCGAAATTATAGGCCGTTAATCGCCTCAAGACAGTTAATCGTCTCGGGATCAAGTGGAGTAAAATGCTTTATCCAAATGCACAACGATGCTGAGCTACATTTTGCACTGTTGCCAGTAAATTTAAATTATCCAATTTGCTGGTTGGGTTAGCGTTTTTGGTAACCCAAAATTTCTTTGTTCGACGAAACAAGCCATAATCATGGTTGTCTGCCACATTTAGTGGTAAAAAGTTTGCTGTGCCACACCGTGTTTACAGTAGAGAGTGATACCGTAACAGTGTAACTTCGAAATTAAGACAAATATTCTGCTTTGTTAGCCGCGGACCGCGGTTGCAAATATTACGTCAAGCCTGGTGCGTCTGTAGCTAGCACGATATGCTAACGGATGCAGCTGTTCGCTGAGCTTTCGCTGAGCTCTTTTTTTGTCAACACGTACAACACATAGAGGTCCCAGAGGACATCACATTCTCGTGGCATCACTGCCACCACACTGCGGCACACTTTTATTCTGCAGTAACACGGCCGTTAAACTAGTTGAAATTTGAAACAGTGAAACAGGGTCTGCCGATATATTAAGTATGCAAATATGCTGGTAAATTTTGTACTGAAAAAGCGGCGCTTTTGTGAGCATGTACTGTACTTCGGAGATTGAACAAGCTCTTATCAAAGTGATTTTACAATAATTTTATTGCCACAAAGGTATACTGTATATGTGCATTAAATCTTGCAGCTAGTTAATGTGCAACATGGTCGCAAGTCGCAACAGGTAACGGAAAGCGTAACACCCAAATAATGCAAGCGCAACTGAAAATGGAAGCGTGCAAAAGATTGCCCAATCTTGTCAATTAGCAATTATCAACGTTTAACGAATATTCAACCTGCTTGACATTAACATGTTCGGGTCCGGAAGGAATAGCAGCGGCGCAATCAATCGGCACGTACTGGTGTGTTTGGTTATTCACGAAGCCAGGGGAGAAACCAGGAAGACGGAAAACTCTGGTGACCGTATTGTCATTCGTCGATTGCAGCAACGACGTGCTGTTCATCCGCCAGCGTCTAAACCATGCGAATTCACAGCTGCAGTGCAAACGCCTCAAATATTCCCGCATGTCTGGACCGTATTCTGGCACGACTGTGGTCATATGAAGCCCACTTTCTAATGTCAGCGCTTTCAGAGCCGGCAGATTGGTAAATGTCGCTTCCTCCAGAGTCCGGATTGTGGATACGACGAAGGAAATCATTCGCAGTTTCCGTGAAAACTGAAAATCACTCGTTTTCACGTCCAAGTCTTTGCCCCCAAAAACGATGTACTGCAGCAAATTCGTCAAACGGTAGGTTGGCAGCATTCGAGTAGCTCGTGAGGTTGAGCACTCCATTAGGTAGCAAACCACGATTTCCTTGCGGATGGGCGACATATGTTCGAAAGTCAGGGGCGTAGTTTCCTTGAACTGAATTTGTATTTGCCGTGGACGTAGTTTAGCAATTTTCTGTGCCTGTTGGCGCAGTTGATAAAACATAGTTTGGCTGTTGTTGCAGATGTCTAACATCACATATGAATAATTGGTATCATTCAAGGATTCTGCGTGCCAGGCTGGATCACACAAGCCCAGAAGTCGTACGGCGGCTTCTACTGAGTTCATCGGCTCGGTGACAAAATCAGGGAACGAATCATCGGGATCCATGTCTTCGGCTGTACAGTTCTGGTGCCCTTTGTCCTGGTCTGAAATATGTATGAGTTCTATAAATAACTTACCGTAGTCGCACTAGACAGTTCTAGACCGTAAACTTTAAGTAGACAGCAGCTCTTGAATATTGCTTAAAGAAAGTTCTTCGAAAATAATGAGCAATTTGACAAACAAAATTCGTAAAATCAAAAACTAATTCCCAAAGATTCTGAAAATTCTCTAATTCGATCAGTATGCGGAAAAACTATTTGCAAAAAACTTCAAAGAGACTTTTATGAAAACATGTTTCCTAACTCGCTACACAAAAGTAAAAGTCACTTCCAGTGCACATAAAGGCAAATTTTAGGGGTATTTTAAATTTGAAAAACAGAAACTCCTCAAAAGATTTTCCTATTCTACGTAATATACGCCGCTTCTTCTGCGATAAATCCAAATTTCCAAAAACATTGAAATCAGTTGTTAAATTAAGAAAATACAGAGTACAAACCACCAGAACTTTTGGGTTAAACACATACGAAACTTTTTTTCTCTCATTAAGATGTGTAGTTGGCTTGTTGTAAGCTGTAGCGATTCAGCTGTCAACGTTGTGCGCATCGTGCACAAGCGATTCTTCCGCTCATACCGTGAACATAGTATATCTTCTTGAAGGATTCCCACTCTTTAAAGGTTCTTAACCTTCAAGGATTGGGAATCCCTACGTGCTTCACCTTGCAAGCCGCCTGTATGCTGCCGGTGCCGGCCATCCTGATGTGGCGTCTGGCTGGCACGCGCCACCACACACGCGCACATCCGGCTAACCGGCACCGGCAGCATGCAGGCGGCTTGCAACCTTAACAATTTAGATTTTACTATGTATATAACCGGAGAAAATGAAATATGTACGACGCTAGTTTTGGTTTTTATTACATGTATATAAAAACTAGCGTACTATATTCGGCTGCCGTATTTTCAAAAACAAGTTATCCTCAAAGACCGGGCATTTTAAAAGTTACTTACCTCATCCCGATGTCATGTATGCAAAAATGCTACTTGCATAACGGGGGTGATCAATTTTCCAATCAGTATACGCTAACCGATCGGTCTAAGAGGCGCATCTAAAAACTTACAGAAATCTTCGTTAATGGAGTACCGCTCCTGCGTGAAATCAATAGACGCATTTCCCACCGGGAACGGATCGGCTGCACAATCGACAGGCAGATAAACGTCACTTTTATTCCGAGGAACGTTAGACTCCAATCCGATCGTATAAATGTCACCTTCGTTGGCTTGTTGCAACAGGTTCTTGTTTCCGCTCCACCACTGCCGAAACCATGTGTATTCGCAGCCGCAGTGCAATCTTTTCAAATATTCTCGCATTTCATCCGGGAACACTTCCATGGCATTTAAATAACTCTCTAGTGAAAGCATTCGCAAAGCCGGCAAATCGGTAAAGGTATCCCTTTCTAGAATTGCTATTGTAGAGTTGATTAGCTCAATTATTCGCAGCTGCGTAGACTGCCAAAAGTCTGACCTTTGGATGACCAAGTCATAGCAGTTAACTGGACCAAACTCCAATAAATTAGCAAATTTTAATGAAGGCAGTTTTCCGGTTACCCGATTGGAAGTGCAGTTAAAAATCTGAAACATTACGACCTGACGCCGCACGGCAGCAAAATTGTCGCTGAAGATCTGATGACCGTCGTACAGCATGACAAGGACAGGTTTCAGTGGCGTTTGTGACAGGGCCTTCGCCATTCGTTGAATTTCTGTGGCTGATGCAGTGTTGTTGCAGCTGATTTGCAGATTTTGGCTCATCGGGCAATCAGCAATACTGGCCAGCGGCGCTTCGCAGTTGTCTGTAAACTGCGCTTGGCATTGTTCAAGAGTCATTGGTTCGGCGGAGAATTTAGGAAACGGGACATGTTCGGTTGCGGTTATTCCGATTGCAGCATCTGCATAGACTAAGCATTAGATAGATAGCATCTGCATATGTTAAACTCACATTTTACTGGAATTTCGATAAATCTGCGAATTCAGTCTCGTCATCAGTTTACAGCCTTTCGGGCTGTTCTGCTACTTGCTTAAGAAGGCCTTCAAGTGAGCGATGAAAATGCCGAGAAGCACACATACAGAACAAGCATTCTGGGTGCAAATTACGACTGCAGACAAACTTACGGTTAGCTGCAGCGAGAAAAACCATGGTCGGCAGAAGACGGCGACAGATGTCCATGGCTTGTATGTTCCCTTAATAAGCTGCACGTCCGGAAAATTCGATAATTTTGTCACACTATGATGTAAGATGAACCCAGGAGCAATCGCCTTGCTAGTGGAGGGAATTGGGCAATGCTCAAAAAGTGTGAAAGCAAAAAATCAGCCGGTCGAAAATAGCACACTGTGTTATATGTATTACCGACTCATTAGATCGGCCGAATCGGTTCTTCGTTGACAACTGCCTTGAGCAACTGTTTCCGTGTCTATACTCTATAGTGAGTGCTCATTACCGTAAATCCGTTAGAACCTTACCATTAATTAATAATGTTTAAAAAGCTGCTTGCCGGTTTTATTAGCAGGTAATAAAGTGCCTCACAAATCCGCGTCACATGTCATTTCAGAAGTCAGAGCCACACCAAAAGCACGAAGCAAGTGTGCATGCAGTTACAGTGCAATTCCGCCGTTACTGGAAGCTTGGCGGGTGACTAATGCAGATGTGCTAGGATAGGAAACTAAAGGATCCATAAGAATAATCGGTAAAAATATGTCTTACCGGTTTTTCTTGCGCGTGCATCCGCAGTTAGTTCGAAATCTACCGTCGCCCCGGGGGCAATTTCCACAAGAACAAGTACTGCAAGATAGTCTGACTAAATGTATAGCGACGTTAATCTACAGTCAGCGCAATACGGATTGTTGATGTTTTTCATTGTTGCCAGTAAACATAAATTTACTGGAATTTTGCTGGTGCCGGTGAACATTCACCCGAAATTTCATGGTTTATCGAATACCAGTAATAATCATGATTGCATTTGCCCGAATTTGGTGCTAAAGCGATAGCTTTGCCCAAACCGCGATTGCAACAGCGAGTGAGTATAGTTAAATGTCTATAATATCAATCCTGTTGGTCGCGACTGCAAATATTACCTACACCTGTAATAAACTGGTGCCAAAGATTATAATTTCAGCATTTGCAGACACAATACAATAAATCCGGGGATTTGATGTAGATGTTCGTATCTAAAAGCTTGCAATCTTCATATCTATCAATATACATATACCCGGCAATACTGACAACTTTAGGACAACATAATTAATGTGGACAGGTAATTCGGAATGGACGGAACACGAACCATTCCCACTCTTTTCCATTGAGCCGCAACACGTGATCAAAGAAATGCGCAGTTCACCAACAACTTCTCCCCGAAGGGGGCACAGCCGCGGACTGCCCCAGCAGGCAAGTTTGGACACTAACCGCAACCGAAGTGCATCCACCATCGAAATTAAGCAAATGGCAGTGGCCATGTCACAGCCCCTAGTAAAAGCAGTAAAGGCACTTTGTACAACGGAGAACAGCTCGTCCGAGAGTGCTTGGCAGCAGTACAGGAACGAGTCAGTATTCTGACCATTTTGAACTGCACACCCGCCCAGCCCGTCCCGGGTGGCTGAACAAAATGGCGGTCTGTTTTACCAGAGCTGGGTCTGTCGGATGCTTGGCTGACAAGCTGCCCAAACTGCGACTGGACAATGTGCTGGATTTCAAGTTGTGTAGCTGCTACAACATGGAAATCAAAAGGTCAGATTTCTGGCAGCCCCTGCAGCTGCGAGTGATCGACTTTGTCCATACGTCGATTACATCGCTAGAAAAGAACACATTTATCAGTTCGCCGGCTTGGAAGTGGATTTCTTTGGAAGCGGAAGTGGATTTCTTTTTCTTTGGAAGCAAATTTGGGAAAGATTATGCCCGTATTCAGTAAACCGATGCGGGAGTATCTGGAAAGATTACACTGTGGCTGTGAATACGCATGGTTCCGAAAATGGTGGAGCAACAGAAAATTTTCACAAAAGACTGCCCAAGGAGACGTGTATCAGATCGGAGATTTCTCACGGGCCAACGATAAACGCGATAAAACCGAAATGTATCTTCCCGTTGACTGCGCAGTTGACCCCTTTCCAAGGAGTGTTGCTTCTATCGATTTCAGCCAGGAAAGCTTTACGGTTAACGAAGATAAGTAAGTAAGATAAATAAGTAAGTAAGATCTGTAAGTAGCACCAACTCCAGTTGCGGAAAAGAAGATAATATCTGCTCATCTCCGCACGATAAGCGGAGTAATTACATTAATAATTTTAGACTGATTGATTTTATTTTCGTATTGATACTGTATTTTAATTTTTAACTTAACGGGTTTTCTTATTTTTGTGTTTAATTATTGGAGAGGGTGTGAGCACAGGAGTTTTACCGTTGCTTTTTTGTCTAACCTTTGGCAGATCCAAACAATTTGCGCACCGGCTGTGCCACTGACAGCGGAGGTTCCGAGGACTCGTATCCCGAATTCTCCACGGAACCACTGGGTCCAGAAGAAACAGCGGTGTTGTTTTCAGCTGGATGTGGCTACCGTTTCTTCATTGGTGCCCCGTATAAGGTCTACGATTTTGTGGACACTTGCATGAAGAAGACAAACTTTAGCGACCCTCGTGTGGACAGAGTGCGCCAAGTCTCCCTATCCATTGCGGAAATTACCGCCGCGACATTATACATCGCACCTTATGGAAATCGCACATCGTTGACCTTTAACGATCTTGCCCCCATACGCAGGCAGGTAATCCGGTTCAGGGTATCAGTTTGCAGCGGCTCTCGACCAACCAAAGCCCTCGCGTTACTTCGCTTGACGAACCTGTTAGAGTACGTGATAGAAAGATGCAATGACTTGGACGTGAAAAAGAATGATTTCCAGCATTCCTTGAAATTGCGTGTGATTTTGTTCTCGGGTGTGACCATCCGCACGCTGGAGACGGATACGTTTACCAATTTACCGGCGCTTAAGGTGCTGTCGCTGGAGCGCAGTACGAATGAGTACGACGCGTTCACTGAACAGCAACGGGATTACTTATTTAGTGAGAATACACTGTAGCTGTGAATGGGCGTGGTATCGGCATTGGTGGACGAACAATGCGTCGCTGCTGCGGGAAGTGAATTCTGGTGGCGCCTGGGCCTTTTATGGTTCGCTCGGTAATATACGCTGCCGTCGAATGGACATCTATACGAGGAGGAGCTACCTTGGCCCGATCAAAGGCGCGAACACGACCATAATCCGATCACTGTGCCCGCATGTGTGTACAACGCCCAACCACCCAGGTTGGCAGTAAACTGAATCACTGTGCCTGCACATACGCAAAACGGCCAACCACCCACATCGGCACCAACTTTGACACATCGCTATGGCCGCCATTTTTAAAAAAACGAAAAATTCATTTTGTTATTAAGCCATATTTGTTATTATAATATATTAAACGAAAAACCCATTTATTAAAAAATACGAAATTTTTGCTAAAATTTATTAATAACTTTGCTGCCGTGGCTGGGTGAACTGCCATGTTTCACGCGCGGGCGGGCAAGTGGTTAACGTCGCTGCCAACCTGGTGGTTTGGCGTTGTGCATACACGCGGGCACAGTGATCGGATTATGGTCATGTTTGCGCCTTTGATCGGGCCAAGGTAGCCGCTCCTCCTCGTATGCCAATTGATTGCGCCGTTGCCATTCCCGAAGCAGAGAAATATGTTAACCAAAGCCAAATCGAATACTCAGTGAACGTGCAAACTTGTTCAAATTAATGCAGCAATTTGCAAAGGCCAGCGTAAAATAGTGGACCAAAGCCGATCTCTGGTATTCGCTACCGAATCGTCAGAAATTCCACGGTGAATAAATTCCGTTGCCTGTTTGTGCATTTAAACATTTGATAGTAACTTACGAGTACTTGAACATTAATTAAAGTTTGATGTGGATTTAAATAAAGCCACTGGGCAATTGAGAGTTGAAAGAATTAGGCGCACACGCGAAAATTTGGTCCATCCGCGTGTAGATACTCCAAAACCGTGATGGCAGACGAAACGAAACCGCTGACACTGCTGCGTTTCTAGGGAATATTTAAATATCACTTGCGTTCCACCCGGGAACGCTGCTGGAACGCGGCTAACGTTGTGTAATTTTGTGCAAAAAATGAAATTATCACTTTGTTTAATGTCAAACAAGAAAGAAAAAAACGACATAACAGTAATCAGAAACAATTTTATATTTACAAGTACTTTACAAGTATATTTATCGAAAACTCAAAAAACGCTTTCTTGGCTGAAAATGCGTATACCTCAGTAATTAGGCTTTCACTAAAACATCGGCACTTAAATATGCTCAAGTCAGAGTCATCAAGTGAAGCCGTGAAATGTGAAATGAGAAACACCAATTACGACGCGTGTTGATTTATGAACGTGCACTTATCGGTTTTTGCATTATGACTGCTTTTCTTGCAATTGAAATGTGATGACACAAAACAGCAATACGGATGCTGAATCACATTAATCAGTTGTTATTTGGAAAGCCAACGTGATGAGTGCGCAAATTGTCCAGCGGGTGGGTTGTTTAACTTACCAGTACGAAGTACGTTACACCGAGAAAGGAAATTACTTTGCTAGCCAAAATAATTGAGCAAACATATTACCGGCGACAAATGAGACGATGACTCAGCAGATCCAGGGAAGCCACTGACTCCCGGCACTTTCTGCAAAATTCATAGCTAAAATTTTCTCGGCATTCGGTAAGAAAATTATTCACGCGGTTATGCATGGCTGCATTGACAGAAGAGTGATTGTCGTTCTCACTTTATCGTTATAATGCACTCAACTTAAGATTATTCATCATGGAAGCTTATTGCTATTTTGTGCTGAAAATGATCGTTGGGACACTCCTCTTTTGCACAGGGTCAGCAACAAATGGTACGGTAAAAGCATAAAAGTAATGAAACCATGTCCGTAATCGGAAGCATAGGATGCGTGCACACATGCTAAAATTCCAAACAAAACATATCTTGGCAGTTGACATTCCATGGTCACCGGTTTGTTTTTTACGCCAAGTGTGTAGTCTCTCTGACTGGCTTTTCTAGTAAAACTCTCCCTCCGGTCTTTTGACAGACGCTGTGGAAACTACCGAGCACGTTCCATTCCCGCTTTTTTCCGCTGAACCGGTAACACGTGATCAGTGCACGGCACAGTTTACCGATAACTGCTACCCCGAGGTGGGCACAGTTGCGGATTGTCCATCGAGGCAGGGCTTGCACATCAGCTGCAATCGGAATGCATCGGCCGAGGAAATTGAGCAGATGGCAGTGGCCATGTCTCAACCACCAACAAAAGCAGTCAAGATCACCTTGTACGACGGAGACCTGGTCATTGGAAAGAATTTGGCCGCAATACGAGAACGTGTTGTAATTCTTGATATTTCGAACTTTACTTCCGTCCGGACGACGGGGAAGCTGCCCAAACTGCGACTGCCGAATGTGCTGGATTTTAAGTTGCATAACTGCTACAATCTGGAGATCGTAAGGTCAGACTTCTGGCAATCCATGCAGCTGCACGTAATCGCATTTGCCAATACGACAATCGCGTCGCTGGAAAGGAACACATTTACCGACCTCCCGGCTCTGCAGGGGATTTCGCTCGAAGCCTACCTGGGAACAATAATGAATGTGTTCAATGAGCCGATGCGCGGATTCCTGCAAAGATTACACTGCGGATGCGAGTATGAATGGTATCGGAAATGGTGGGCCACCAGGAAAATGTTACATCAAGCAGCCAAAGGAGACATCTATCAGACAGGAGGAAATTCTTGGGACAACGAAGAACGCAATAAAACCGACATGTATCTTCCAATTAATTGCGCAATTGATCCATTTCCAGTGGATGTAGCAGCTATCGATTTCACACAGGAAAGCTTTACGGTTAACGAAGATTTCTGTAAGTAACACGAATTTAAGCTGTGGATAAAAAACCACTTCTATGTACATGTTTCCTCAATATTAAGGATCAATTAAGTACAGTAGTTTATTATATTGGGAATGATTGGTTTTTATATTGCGGTTGCTATTCTACATAGTTTTTACCTATAAAGCATTTTTTCTAGTTCAGGCATTTGTTGAAGGCATGCAGTCGCTTGAGTCTTACGATTATTTGGTTTTCTCACTTTTGGCAGATCTCGATAAGTGGCACAGCGGCTGTGGAAATGGCAGTGAAAATTCTGAAGAATCCTATCCCGAGTTCTCCACGGAACCAATGAGTTCAGAAGAAATTGCGGTATCCAATATAGCTGCTTGTTCCTACTACTATCCTTCCGTTCCGAACGCGTATAACGCGTACGGTTTGGTGGACATTTGCCAGGAGTGGGAAGGAGCGAACTTTAGCGACTCTCGTGTGGACAGGATTCGCCAGGTATCCCTATCCATTGCTAAATTACCGCCACGCCCGGTCGCTCTGTTAATTGGTGGAAATCGTACGTCAGTGACTTTTGATGATTTAGCCCCCATACGCAAGCAGGTAGTCCGACTCATGGTGTCATCTTGCAGCAATTCCCGAGCAACCAAAACACTCGCTGTTCTCCGTTTAACTAACCTGCTAGAATACGAGATCATAAATTGCGATGATTTGGACGTAAAAAATAACGATTTCCTTCATTCGAAGAAACTGCGTGTGATTTTTTTTACTTATACGACCATCCGCACGCTGTAGACGGGTACGTTCACCAATTTACCGGCGCTGAAGGTGCTGTCGTTGGAGTGCTATGTGTATAGAGAAGACACGTTCAGCCAACCGATGCGTGAATATTTATGGAGAATCCACTGCAGTTGTGAATGGGAGTGGTATCGGCGGTGGTGGACAAAAAATCCCGCGCTGCTGCCGGAAATGGATGGCGCAGGCGTTTGGAACTTTTTGTATTCGGAGAGCAGTGTCATGTACAATCGAACGGACATCTACATACCCATTGACTGCGCCGTTCCCATTCCCCACGGAGCACAACAGATTAACTTCAGCCAGATTGAATATTCAAAGAACGCAAAAATCTGCTAAAAGTTACCTCTAAATACCAAGCAAAGGATTGAAGTATTCACGCCACTTTGCACCCACTCTAAACTGGACGTTTTTAAATTTTCACGTAGGTTTGCATGAAAATATCGTAGTCTGCCAGGTGACAATTACTGATGATCATTGATTATAGATCCATAACGTGTATAGATCCATAACGTGTAAATTATTGTCCAGATGAACGAACGAATTTCGCCATCATATAGTTATGTCCAGTATATACAATATTAGACTGGCTACGTTCTTTGTGTTTGGTAAATTGCTGACGTACTGCAATAATCAGAATTTTTATCGTTTTTATTTAAAGTACTGTGCTTGTACATATGCCAGACATGTGCATAACGCTAATATGCAAAGAAAAATTAATTGTCTGCGCCAACCGTGCCAATCAAAGTCGGCACTTACCGGCTCCTTCTTACTGTACTAAGCCAATTAGAAATTGATGACATCACATACGAAAAATTAAAGACATTAAAGTAGAAGTTACGTGCAGGGACGGCTCGCCAGCTGCAAGAGGCCAAGAACCACCCATCAGCTAAGCTAACACACCAGTACGTTTACTCAGAGAAAAAAATTTCGTCGCTAGTCAGAGTACAGTAAGCAACGATTAGATAATGCATCCACGGTGTCCCGGGTTTGGGCTGGAAATTACAGTTGTTCCACGGTGGCGCAACGACGTAGTTACGGCGCAACGACTCAATGTTGACTGTTGAGCACTGTTGGCACTGTGTCTACGATACCGATTAACCAACTGATTTTGATGGTAGCCACAACGTCCGTTCTGGTTGTACAGTGAGCATACATTTATCGGACCGAGGCGGCAAATAAGCGGTTAATGCTCAGAAACAACTGCGACCAAATAGCCGTCTGCACAAAAACTTGATACAAAATAAATTTTATGTAGACACAAGCGATGGGTTTGAAAAGGTTATACTAGCCCACGTAGTTACCTGCATTTGCAACGTAACTAGAACTACCGCTAAGGTGGCTTCAAGAAAAACAAAATACAGTATAAGATTTCCGAAGCTCGCATATACAGAGTACTGCACCAGTGCACCTTCAGGAGGGTTAAAATAAAGGGAGAAAGGGGAAAATCATAGCGGAGATCATATAAGGACGAAGGAAACCACGGCCCAGTTAGAGTGGTCATCACCGTGTCCGTGGGTGATCCACCATGCAATGATATTGGGACTAGAAACGTTATCAAAAATGCAGGATCCAAATGAAAAGAAGATAATAATTAATGACACTGTAGCAAACCAATAGCGATGAGATGAAGTAATGAAAAAAGCCGGCCAGTTACACTATTATGGCACTAGTTTTACAACAAGCAGTTAGTAAGATTAAAATCACAACGGCCGCTTTTCCTTCTGTGTCGACCATTGTTGAAGCGTAAACAGGAAGAGCTTTGTCATGCGCGACAGCTTCTCTACCAGCAAATTTTCCACACCGTCCACACACCACTGTTTCCGGCGATAATGCAACCACGGACGCGGATCAGCCGACTGCGCCGCACACAGTATCTGCAACAAACAACGAACTCGGGCTCACCGACATTTCGTCGACTAACACTTCGTCGACCATCTTGAGGGTGACGGCTAAAAGAGCTTATTAAATTGCGTTTTGGAAACTAAGAAACCGAAGACCGCAAGAAAACAAAAGAAGCCTAAGAAAGAAACATAAGAAAACATAAAAAAAACATAAGAAAACCTAAGAAAACTTAAAAACCGAAGAAAACTAAGATGGTTTATGTAGCTAAACGCTAGCTCGACGTCGTGGCGAGACGACGAAGCATAGCTCGACGTCGTGGCGAGACGACGAAGCCGCTGTTCGAATTGGTGGCGGTCGGCGAAATGACAATTTACTAACGAGAGCTCAACTAAAGCAATAGTTTTTTAGCGTTCTCACTTATCATAGTTGGCTTTTTGAACATCTTACGACTAGGAAGCCAAAACCGGCATTCGTACCTGGCAGACCACGCTTTGCAGATCCTTGTTGCTTCCTTTCTCGCTTCCTTTTAACCGCTGAATCAACGCGTGCAGCTCCTGCTCACTCGGCAGCGGCAGCGCTGCCTCCAACGCATCACACAACTCGCAGAGGATATCCGCGCTGCGCTTCAGTCGCAGGGGGCGGACCTCCCACGTAGCAATAAAATTCGAACCAACCGTCTGCGAGTCAACATAAATGTCGCAACACAAAAAACATTTGGCCAGATGGATGGTATCACAAGGTAGATTGCGGCAGCCGGCAATCAACCGCTGCAGCTGCAAGAAATCATCGGTGGTCTTGTGCCGGCAACATGTGCCATCGCGGTTATAGCGGTTACCGGGGCCCAGTTTGAAGATTAGGTGGACGAAGTGCAGGTATTTAGTTGAATGGTGGGACGATGCGTCACCACACACCTGATCATATCGCACACCTTCCGCGCTTCCTCTGCCCAGTACCAGCATCCATGCCCGAGACGCGCGACAGCTACGCGGTGAATGCCGGGGCGTAAGTACTTGTATACAGTGGCCAAGCGTTGGAATTTCCACATTCTGAAGTCGGTATCATCGTGGGCAAGAAGCAACGTGGAACGCAGCGCTGGCGCCTCCATGATGCGGTTAAACGTTGTGCACACGGCACGCAGCTGGTTCTGCTTCAGGGTTCCTAGGTGGGCAAAGACCTCCTGCCATAATTCCACCGGCAGCACCAACTGCGCCATGCCGTCATCGGTGGGCGGAGCTTCGCGACGAGGTTTCTTCAGTAGCTTGAGCAGGGTCATTTGCAAGTTGTCAAGGCATCGCTGAAAATCCTGGAGCAAACAAGTACTGTAGCGTATGCCGTAACAGCACTAAGGCACATACATGTTCAAAATATCTGCAGTAATTCATTTAGCTGGTGAGAACAGAGCGTAAAGCACTAAATAAACGTATTTGGAACAGGGAAAACATAAGATGAAATTACAAATTCCAGAAACGAGGAAAGCGTTTCGTTGATCAATAGTTCACAGATTTTCACTCCATACCAGGGCACATAGGGGTCCTCCCCTTCAAAAAAATTTCATTTTTTGCAGAAAGATAGCAAACATATGTAGAACATTTAAAAAATATTTTCAGCTGCTGTGATCAAAGTAGGCGTGGTCAAACGTAATTTTGAAATCGTTTAATTTCGTCGTTAATTATCGTACAGCACATATGCTACTGTAGTACATACCCTAAGTGTTTTTCTACCAGGGCCATGTCACCGGCTCCCGCCTCCAAAAAATGTTATTTTTGCAAGAAGACAGAGTGATCCTAGGGTATAAAAATATTAGAACTGAGAATTCCCAGCTTGCTCAATACGGGTATACGTTAATCCTTAACTAGCGCAGTTAAAATATGTGCCACTGACACCGCCGATCTCTTCCTTACCTCCAAGATCTGGCTCTTGGATGGCGCTAATTTTTCCTTGTAACCACATTGGTAGATACACTGCAATTGATCGTCCACGAGATCCACCGCGAAAAGTGGCGCCCAAGAACAGCCGTCCATAATGAGCGCCCGAGTTTTTGCAGGAGACAGTGAGGAAAATTCTTGGCCCAAATGCACACTGCGTTTGATAAAGGTCTCTGGACGGACGCTCTTGTCGTTTCCCCGAAATGGCAGGCGAAGGAGTTGGAGGCGGACGAAATCCGTGCACAGCACGCCACTGTCCGGACTGTGCCACTGCACAACGATCCCACTGTCCAGTGCGTCCGGTATGTTGTCTTCCGAACGGAGGATTTCTCCCGGGAGCCAAATCGACGGACCCGAAGTCGTCTCCCGAACCAGAATCTCTATGGAATATTTGATCCCTTTCTTGGATCGAATCCATGCTGTGACGGGTCGCTCACTGGGCCTGGAAGGAAGAGCTTCCCAAATGGCACATATTCGCGTCGTCGATGGGGACACAGCAGATCGACGAAGAGACCATCACTGGTCACATCGACCACTCGCCCGAGACGCATCCGTTGATCGCTGTCCAGAACGTGCACGGCGTAACAGCGGTCCATTGCGTTGAGTGTGCTCGACGGCTTTGGGCACAACATACGATAAGCGTAGTCCTGCTGGGGATGGACGAAGCAACATACACTGTACTGCGAAGTATTCGTTCGCATCTGTGATGCACAAACAGTCAAAGTTAGCGTCGCAATACTGTAATTAATTATTAATTACAGTATCGGTAGCCGAAACGACGTCTGACTTGAAAACCGAAAAGTCGCGTGCTAATGCAGTGCTGCAAATAACCTCTAATGGCGATCAAGCAGTACGAGTAGTATGTAAAACCGGCGATAAGCAAAACCGGTTTTGTTATGAAATCGGATTTACCGTCTACTGCCTCCTTCACGGCGCAAACCTTTACGTTCGATTTCTTTTATTTTCGGATGGGAATGACGACGTAGGTATCGACTGCAGCGGAGTGCAGGCCACGATCCGCTGCAAAATCAACTTTGACATCCGCTGTACTGTTTTTTCACGTACGTTGTACTGTGTGTAGTTTTTCGTTGCTGCTATAAATGCTGTTTATCTGTGAAAAGACTTGGCGGTACATATAATTATAACGACTGGAGTTCAGTTGTACAGTCATCATCTGCTCTGGGCCAGGATTCTGCTCATTGCTCATCGAAAACGCCGCGACGCCAGTCGTACGAATAAATCGTTCTCCCGTTTTTTATGCTTGTCACTTCCCAGGTCTTCATGGTGGACCTCGTGGACCGCTCACATTTATCCGCACCCGGACAACTGGGAGTGTAGCAGTTCCCGTATCGTACTGAGATTCGACCCGTTACTTGTGGACTTTTTCTTCCACCAACGATATTGATATTCTGCATCGTTTGAACTACAGATTGCCTACATATATCCCTTTGTCGAGAAGTAATAACCGAAAACCTCACTTTTTTTGCCATCCCAAAACCACTGTTTTTGGTCACTCCTTTGTGGACTTTTTCTTCTTGGTCGTGGGAAATGGACAGTTATGGGCATCTTAATTCATTCAAAAATCGTTTAGGGTCATCTACGTCTCACGTATTTCAGCGGTTGTTTGAAGTTCAAAAGGTCACAGGAAAGTACCAAAAAGGTTTCCCCGCTCGTACTGGTGGGATTTCCGGTTTCCCAATAAGGCAGCGCGCGCGCCATATTATTATCGCCTTCAACTAACAATGTTTGTGAACGTTGTTGTTCAGCACACTCTGCAAAGTTTCTTGTTTCTGCGCCAGCAGTTTTTTTATGGGATGTTTGCGTTTAAGCAGTGCTGCAGTGAATTTTCGGACGGGGGTGGGATTTCGGAAAACCGGGTATTTTCCAAAAAAAAAATCTTTTGCTCAATTTGAGGGTTACATTCCGTTGGCTTTCATTTCGAACGATAACTCGAACATTTTGTAGCATACTTCGCCTTGCCCATTATTTCAATCAGTACCGCTTTAGGGATCAATATATTAATCACTTTACCAAATTGAGAGCCTCTGTGGCGGGCGGCTACATGAACAACCACGGCTGACTGAAATGCAGTCTGTGCATTACCATTCAGTCTATGCAGCCTACGCAGCTTATCAGTGTGCAATCTAAGGAGTTAAGACCAGCACTGCATCTGTGCAGTAAAAGTGATTAATATATTGATCCCTAAAGCGGTACTGATTAAAATAATGGGCAAAGCGAAGTACTGATACAAATTTCAAGCTCAGAAAAGCCTCTCCTGATTTTTTGATGAAATCTTTATAACGATGGGGGAGCCACCACTCTAGATTTCACTTCTGAGCTGGTTTGCGACGCCGTTTTTGGAACCAGCGGTCGGTCAATTATTTCATTAAATGAATCAATAAATTCTGCCGCTGCGGCATCATTTATGGAGAGTACATTGCAGTTGTGAATGGGTGTGGTATCGCCGGTGGTGGACGAACAATTCGGCGCTGCTACGGGAAGCGGATGCTTTTGGCGCCGTTTATAACGTTTACAGCGCGCACCGAAGTTATAGGTACGATCGTTCGGATAACTACATACCGATCGATTGTGCCGTTGCCATTCCCAGTGGACCGAAGGAGGTTAACAACACTATGATGGAATATTCATTGAATGAGCCTATGTGCTAAATTCGTAGCTGCTGTTGGTTGAAGCCAGTGGAAACCACATTAAGTAATATTCACGTTACATTCTCTGATCAGATGCGGTCTGATCAGAGATTAAGTATACAGCTCCTGGAAATATATAAGTACGTGGCGGATGGAACTGATTTTTAGCAGATTGTGTAAATAAATTTATCAAGTCTCTATGGCCAGTGTTATAAATAAAACATGCTTCATGTACTAATAGAACTCTTCCCGAGATGCATCGAGCCGTAACCGGTTTTACCGTTTACGTACAGTAACTATCCCATTGTTGGTGCTAGAACGGGTAAGATTCACTAAACTGTTGAATGTGGGTACAATTTCATAGCTAACAATAAACACTCTTTACTCGTAATTCGTAAACAGCACTAAGCTCAGCAAGCTGATTCACTACAGATATGTATACTTTGCTACAGTAGTCTTTCTACCGTAGTAGATGTTATTCAAATATCAAACGGCCATGGAGTTCTTGAGACATTTGACGACCTCAACGAGTTTGGCTTGGTATTCACGGTTCAGCGTAAAAAATAAAATTTAAAATCGAACACGTTACGTTAAGCAAAAAGTAGAAGATCCGAATAACACAACAATGTTATTTTTACCGGCGTCATAGTGTGGCCAGATAGATGCAGCGTCTGTCCCCACAATAACGCATGCTCCTTCTGATACGATGGCCGCATAAAGACCGCCATGCACATCAGAGTGCTGTAGCATATGCAATACCATATCGCGGCGGCACACAACATCCGCCGGTACGCAGACGCCGCTTGCGGCTGGCTTCCAACGCCGCGCTGGGAGAGTTGACTTCCACGGCGCCAATCGCCGACTGCCGGCTCATCCAAAAGCGCACCATCAGCGATATGTACACCGCCACCGTCAGCGGCAGCGGAATGTATATCCCCACAATCAGATAGTGTATCCAAGGTGTTAGGGGTTTGGGCTGGAAAATACAGTTGTTCCACGGTGGCGCGACGACGTAATTGCCTTCAATGTTGAGCACTGTCGGCACGGTGTCTACTATTCCGATTAACCAGCTGATGCCGATGGTAGCCACAACGGCCGTTGTGGTAGAACAGCGAGCATACATCTGCCGACTTGTGGCGGCAATTAAGCGGTTGCTGCCCAGGAACAGCTGCGACCAGTTAGCCGTCTGCATAAAAACTTGGAAAATGAATTTTATGTGGACACAGTCGATGGGTTTGAAAATGTTGTACTGGGCCACGTAGTTACCCATCATTTGCAGCGGAACAAGAACTACGGCTAAGATGGCTTCAAGAAGGACAAGATGCAGTATAAGTATGCCCGAAGCTCGCGTATACACCTTTAAGAGAATTAAAACAAGCGGGAGGAAGGGGAATATAATAGCGGAGATTAAGTAAAAGACAAAGGAAACCACGGCCCAGTTAAAGAGGTTATCACCGTGCGCGATCCACCATGGAATGGCTGTGGGACTAGAAAAGCTCTTGATGGTTACAGTGTGCGAGATATTCTCAGAGGCTGAACCGGTTGAAGCCATGGCGCTGTTAGCGGAATAAAGTGTTATTAATTACAAGCGAATGAGTGCGAAAGGATGGTATTCAGCGGCATTTAACTGGAATTGGCAGATCCGTGGTTTACCGTTAAATGGCTCTGTCTGCGGCATTTTGATCCACAATGTAGTCTGTAGTTTCCGGCAGAACGCATGCAGCAGAACGCATGCAGGGCGCGTGCCCAGTGCACTGTCGCGTGATTTTCGATGTCCTCTTTTCTAGAGCTTACGTAGCATTTGCGCGTCATTTATTCACTGAGTACGGTAACAGGTTGCATCTACCTATAATTGGATCTGTCAATCGGCCGGAATAATTGCACACCAGTAAACCGATCAAAACAAAGATTCATTTCCTGAAATTTTACCGCGCACAAAGCGAACAGCGGCTACTATTGACACCAGCGGAAGAAAACGACAATAAACGCTGTTCTAATCTTAACATTTAAAAGTCACAAAGCCATATTTACGCAATCGCTGAATCATGCTAGTACTTGCCTGGAATCGCGTGTATCCGGGCCTGGAATACCACGGAAACGTTGTGACAAAGTTGACCCCATACAATTACAATAAACACCCGGGTCACGGGGCCGCGTGCCGCGATTTTAGTAACGCATAAAATAAAAGTGTTACTTTTCCGCACGTCGGAACAGCGCGCAGGCAACACGATGACAATGTCATATGACTGCTGCAAATGTTTCCTGCTACAGAAATATACTTGCTAATACGCAATGGCTAGTTTTGCAAGAAAGACCAGAGCAATTACGTAAAACCTGCAGTTTTCGAGAAGCATGAATCCATAAGTGTCACGTGAATAATAGAGCAGCTTCCGTTAATGGCTGAACTCTGCATGAGACAACGTAAAAACCGGCAGTGTGCTAAATAATCAATGATATACTGTAATATTATTTTCGATTGCGTACTCTGGATAATAACACTTATTCTGGACAAACCATACTTTAGATTTGCCCTGCTTTATTTCTACAACGGAAGGATCGCTTTTCAAGTGCCTCTTGTTGGTGCGAATTTAAAACTTAACAAGTCGACCTCCGAATGCATACTTATCCGTGGCATGTAATACACGAATCGATTACATAAGCGCGGGATTGATCTGATGTTTCAATGCGGTTGCTATTAAAATGAGCATCGAAGATAAGACAAGTTTGATAATACGCATGATAATGCTTACTGAACCAGTTTGCAACACTTTTCTGATAGGTGCTGCTAGACGACTTGATAGGCGTTAAGTAATTCCTGTCATATAAAGCTGCGTTCGTAGACTACATCTACATCTGAACAGAAAAAACTAAAATGCCTTCGCGGATCAAATTAGCATTCTTTAACGTCCACCACATCAGTGCGGAAATCTCCCGCTGGATTCTGCATTATGCCGGGCAGCAGTTCGATGATTTTCGTATTGAATTCGCGCAATGGCCGTCGGTAAAACCGACCACCCCCGAAGGCACCGTGCCGTACATGGAAATCGCTACGCACGACAAGGATCTGAAGGTCCTGTCGCAGAGTATGGCTATTGCTCGCTACTTAGCCAGGATGTTTAAGGTGGCTGGCAAAGACAGCTGGCAGGAAGGGGAAGCGGACAGCATCGTCGATTACATGTGGGGTAAGCAAGTAAACCAAGAAGAGCTTCTAGATTCATAAAACCGATAAAATGAATATATATAACTGATAAACCGATATTTTACCTCCTTTAAAAAAAGGCAGAATAAATCAGTGAACAAAGTTGCGCATCTTTAATTTAACTACTCCCACCAGTAAAAAAAACTCCCACCAGTGGAAAACTCCCACCAGTAAAAAAAAAACCTATTTAGAACGTAAATATCACTGAAACTGAAATATAGAATTTCACGAGCGAATTTAGTTTGAAATTTGATAAACAAAGCAGAAAACTTTTAACCGTGATATAGTCCTTAATACTTAATTCATCCAAAAAAATAATTAAATAAGCGAAATGTTCTGTTTTACCAGTGTTTCTGGGCTTTTACCATTGTTTTACCAATCAGTTTCATTATGTACCTCTCTGTTTATGCCAGTCTTGCCAGCCGAAACTAGTTTATGGTTTATTTTAATAAGATGCGGCAGCCGAGTATGAAGCCTGGATCGACGCTCGAATGGCTAAGAAAACTACCCAAGCCGATGAAATTAAAGAAAAATACCGCAGTGCGACATTACCACGTTATGTGCGTGATTTCGAGTGGAAGCTGGCTGATAATCAAGGTAACGGATACCTGGTGGGCGATGCACCTACCTGGGCGGATTTCGCCGTGGTCAGCTTTCTGGATGAAATGATTGCGCTCTACGGCGTCAACGTGTTGGACGGATACAGTGGCTTACTGGCGTTGGTCGAGCGGGTGCACAATTTACAAGGCATCAAAGAATATTTGGCAGCGCGCCCTGGACGTCATGTCTGTGACCTTTAGCTTATCGGGCGAAGTTTTGCGTGCTTGGAGCATTTACGGCACATTTTGTTTTAGCGATTGTGTCCGTGACCTTTTGTTTTTACTTAGACTACGTTCCGTGCAGAATACGCAATAAAAATGTTGGTTCTTAAATGTGTTCTTTCGGGGTACTATTTTATCGGTAATGAAAGTCATGTCAGATGCAAGTGAATAATCAATTTCATTATGTAAGCATTCTATTCAAAAATACGAGCACATTCACCTAACAACCAAATTAAATCGGCAACATCAAACGATGTCCTCTAATTATATAGACAACGGGCCAATGTCGGACACAGCTATGCACTACTGACGGTTATTGCGGCAAAATTGTTTTACCTCTACTAAGCACACTAAAGAACTGTTATCGATCATAAAAATGAGCGATTCCGCCTCAGAGACCGCTGTTCCGTCCCCAAACGATCCCACTGCCGGAGACTGTCGACCCGCCGGAGCCGAATCGATCGCTAACTGCGCCGCTAAGATCTTCAAGGACCACCTGTATGTTAGCGGTGGACTGGCGCGAATCGGCCGACGCACCCTGGACACCATTGGCTGCTGGCGGCTCGATCTCCGGCGGCCCACCCTCTGGACACCCATCGCTAGTCTGATGCGGGCAAGGCAAAATCATGCCATGCTGGTGACCGGCGGCCAGCTGTACGTTGTGGGTGGGGCGTGGTATCAGTATGAGCATTACGACGAGCAGGCGGATTGGTGGAGTCCCGTCGGCCGCGATTACCATGTTTACAGGAATCCCACCCACGCCGTCATGACGGTCGTGAATGCGGCGAGTACTCATTATAAAGCGGAAGACGATGACGACGCGACGAGTGTATACTTTAAACTGATCAGCGATGAAGATGAGTGTAGACAGAATTATTGTAGCTGGCAGCGGCTGAATCGGAAAACAGCACTGTCAGAAAGTTTTGTCTGTGTAAATAAAAGGTTTAGAACGCGGTGGCACAACTTACAGTTGCGAGGTACTATGTACTTATATATCGTACTGCTTGGTCGGTTGCGACAGTGACCATTGATCACTCGGAATATTAAGGGCTTTAAAACGTAATAAAAACATTGTGAAAGCATCCATAAAATAATTTATCCGAATGACTCACACTGATTATGTATTGTATCATTGAGCGGATTCAAAAAATTAATATGGAGATACTCAATGTTAGCGGTGTTGGCTTCTTTAAGTTTGCTCTGAAAACGGTCGATCTGTTCGAATAATCTCTTTTTTGTTGTTAACCTTTAGCTGTTTTTTACCGAGCAGACGTTGAAGTCCCGTTAACCGGTTGTCTGCTCTTGATATATGAATGAATGAATGAATGAAGGAATCATCTCCGCATTGCCCACCGACGCAAGATTATTAAATTTACCTATCCGTGATCAGAAAAACATAAAAATCAATGTATTGTATTTATAACTGTTAATGCTGTCGTTACAATTACGCTAATTCCGCTCTTTGAGAGTAATGATAACTTTTGTTCACAATCAGGATACACTGCCGCGCTCAGCCATGTCAGAATATAGCATCCAAAATAAACGGGACGACGTCGTCACGACGATGTAAATCATGTATGTTTCAGCGGAAAGAAACGGCACGAAACCATAGAAATGAACTTTAAATCGTCGCTACTAGCCTACTGTAACAAATATTCCGTTCGGCAACTTCCCTCGATCAGGTCATCAGTCCGATGAGTCGGAATTATAGTAGAAGTTGTCTGAATCGTCTGGGTTCATCCAGAACTCAGCCATTTCGGCTAAGAAATGCAGTGCAATTGAAGACAGTTTCTTCAACTGCAGATGCCCCGAGCCGTCAGCGCATTGAAGAGCCCGCAAGCCGTCAGCGCACCACTTTTTGCCGCGGTAATGCGCGGATGGACGCGGGTCAGCTGTCTGCGTTGCGCACAGGGTCTACAGAATATCATCATTTTTATGGCGCTATTACGGTTCCTAATTTAATTTAAGCTTGCGTTTAATTCATCAAACAAAAGCAAGCATCAGCGACCGCTCTTACCCTGCAGGCCAATCCTCTCTCACGACGCATAACTTTTTCCCTACCGATAAATGTCAACCAGCCGGACAAGGTGTCGAGCTCCTCGCTGCTCGGCATCGGTACGTCGTTCTCCATTTCATCCCATACTGCGCTGCTCATATCCCTCCTCATCGGCAACCGAATCCCGGACAGGTCGACCCACAACTGAATTTCCTTCCAATCCTCTAACTCAGCATAGTTCAATTCCATCGTGCAGCGGACCATATGAATAGTATCGCACGGCAGATCACTACATGCGGCGATGAAATCAACGAGACGATAGGTGAAGGGGTATATATTAATGGGTTCTTCAGCGCGGTGCGTTTCACAGCTGCGATACCGATTCTGCTCAGACTCTAGAGTATAGCCGAACTGCAGATCAAACTCCACTCCCACCACATAAATCGTTGGTACTCGACTTTCTGTTTTCCGGCCCATATAGTGTATCATATCAGTCACCGTCACAAAATCGCCTGTGTTCATCTCTTTTTCGCGACGACCATCTATGACGATGCGTTGTGTCGATTTGCAGAAAAATCTAAAAATAGGTGATGTCAAAATGTAATGCCGCTGGATACGATTCGCCTGGTAGTCATTGTGAGAAGTTCCAACAATGATGCAGGTCGTCAATAAAGGTGATTCCAAGAGGCTGCTCCACCCAAAACAAACGGAGCGTAGTCCGGTCTGCGTCCTAGTATCCAAATGGGAAAACACTTCCAGCAAAACAGCTGACGTTATTAAACTGATATCATTGATTTCCTCGGGCTCCCCACAGAACGCACTTTCTTTGGGCAAAGTGCTGTTAATTTGTCGTATAGTTGAAAACAGCGCGTCATGGCGTCGATCTAACCGACTCTGTAAACACCCGTAATTTTTAGAAACTGACGCCAACTAACAGCATAGGCAACAAAATAATAATCTTCAATACGAGTACTCAAGCATATAAATGCTGTAAAAAACACATTTCGCTATTAAAGCGCATTCTAACGTGCCGGCAGTTTTTCGACGAGTCATGTTTTCTATGCAACGTGTTCCGTGAAAAACCGTTATTAGCAACGTAATGAGTAATATTTATTGATTACCAGAACTTGAGAAGGAGTCTCTTGGCCCGGAGCCTTAGGAGGGTTGCGCCACAGGTACGAGAGGTTTCCATCTATTACGTCGACGAAAAATACCGGGATGGGGTTGTACGTTGCTTGCCGGCTCGCCTTTTCATTCAAGTGCTGCAGCAGTTTATCGGCGTCTATATGGCGGCAGTCTTGCGGCAACGACACACTATGTTTCTCGAATACCCCTGGTACAACTGACTCAAGCACAGTAGTCAGCCCGCTTAACTGAGAGCCGCCATCATGCCATTTCTCTGAGGACGGAAGCTGAACCGGAGGTTTCCGACCTACAGTGGCCCACCAATCCCTTGACACTTTCCAACGCAATCGGTCCAACGAAACCAGATCCGTACTCGGTACGCCATGCACCCACTGGACAACGGCTATGCTGCAATCCGTGTGGCGAATGCCACGCGACACATTGACAATCCCTGCGGGAAACCAGACCCACGGACCGAAGGGTGTCTCGGGCATCAGCACGTCCACGGGAATGGTCACGTCGGGTTTGGCGTAAGTATATGCATCGGCCAAAAGGGATGGTTTCGACCGTTTCTTATCAGGAATGGCATTCTGGAATACGCGGCTAAACGGAGTAAACTCGCGTCGTCGGCTGGGAGTTAGGAAGTCAACAAACAGCCCGTAATCAGCCACGTCCACCACACGTCCGCTGCGGAAAAGGCCGTCGTCGCCCAAAATATCGACACGGTTGGTTCCACAAACGTTTTCAGACATCGTTGTAGGCTGTAGCTAGAGAATTCTAACAACCGATAAATGCCAAATATTCGTGGAAATTAAAAATCTATCGTACTTATAATTTCGGTTTATCACAAACCCTATAGCGACATGTAGAATTTTTTTACAAGTGAGAGTACGGACACCTTTCAAGCTTCATATGCATCAAATACTTACGTTTTGATTTTTAGTTCAAGAACGGCTTCCCCATTCTGTTTATATTAATTATGAAGTGAATATGATAAATATACAAACTACTAAGGGGTAATTTAACAACTCAAGCAGGCGAACACAGAAAATACGGCTGCAGAAATATGACGATAAGCTTGAATACACCTCGTAAATTTATGGCTGCTTTGAAAAATAATTACGCGATTACTCGAAGTGCTGATAATTAAGTGATACCTGCGTAGCGCGTACTCCAGCTGCGCAAAAGTCTCATAATTATGATGAACTACGATCTCGCCATCTCGGTACCGCACGTTCGATGTACGACGAAACAACAACATCTACGGAACTTGGAAGCCCTTTTCAGCAAAATGCTGCAAATTGGTACACCAGTGCGCTGCTTATCGGCACTATCTTACTGAAGATATATGCTCATTTTATTAGCTGCAGATGTATAAAGTGTCTTATTGCATCAGTATTAGTATCGCTGAAACTCCAGCTGTAAGCTGTAGTTACCTAATATCCTATTAGTACAATATGTAGTACGTTATACGTATAATACTATTAATATGATATTATGTACAATTAATATTTATATGATATTACGTAGTAATAGTACTCGTACTACATATTAATATGATACGTAGTACAGAGTCACTACAGACCTGCGTAAAAAACCCGGTACCGCAGATGTTGCAGTTTTGTTTGCTTCCCGCTACTTCCATATTTCTCAACAACTGACAAGCGGTTACTTTTACTTAAGTATGCATTTTAAACAACCATTTAGCCAAGTTTAAAAACTGTGTAAATCAAGTAGAAGCAGAAGCGTAATGTTTAATTTGAGCAGTAATCGCGTTACTTGTACTGTGTAGTGTGTACACGTTACTGCGGTGAGCAGTTTATCATGAAGATACTTGTAACGTACACGCCACACAGCGGACCTGTAGCCGGTTGTTCAAAACTTGTGTAACGTGGTCGGTTGTCAAGAAATACGAAAGTGCAGTTATTCCCGACTAATTCATAAGAATAATGATACCTTTTTCAGTTTTTCTTAAGAAGTAACTGAGCTAGTATATTTGGTTAAATATTTTAAATAGAAGTACTTGTAACTGGAAGTATCGCTCAGGAGCGGCGCTGACCGCGCTTGATAACCCACCAACCGGCGACTGGATCACCCTGCCACAATTCCCCGCTCCGATCACCCTGCATTGCATGTGCCGCCAAAGTCTTCCAGGACGATTTGCACGGCAGCGGAGGAGCCATGCAGAATGGGCTCACTGCGTGTTCTGCATTGGCGGTCCCTCCGTTGAGTGCATGGTCCGATCACGTCATGCGAGCCGCTGTACATCATGGACCGGGCGTGGTGTCACTGTAAGTGCTGCGGGACATGGAAAACTACACTCAGAAGATTTTGTTTATATAATTAACAAGTTCCGTTTCTCTGTAACATTGTGTTATTTCCAACTCGGTGACATAGGTACATATGTGATGTGTGACTGTGAAGTGTGATTCCTGCATTAAGAATACTTAGCCGCGCGTTCAGGAGAATCAGGACATTCTGCTCGCTACCCTTAGCTTAACCGGTACAATACAGTACTGTAATTTGATGCTATTGCTGTGTGTAGGGTATGTTTGGGTTAATCTACTGACGATGACATGACATTTTCATATGTATGCTAACCCCGTGGCACCAGATACTTCTCGTTCCGTTTAGCATAATCGCTCTCTATTCATATCAGTCGGAGAATGAGCTGTTTTACGAACGTAACAGAAAATAATGTACGACAATACCCATAATTAATTCTCCATTCTCGTAACTACAAAATATTTTATCACTGTACTTAACGTATCGGCACATACTAGTCGGTCAATGAATGATATTATTAAAATAAGTAATTTCACTAATAATATTTTGTCACTCATACGAAATTTGCATGTCGCTTAACAACCAAATCGATTAGCCCAGATGATGCCCTCTAAACAACTGACCATTGTCGGACACAACTGTGAACTGACCCAAAATTCTCAATGATGTTGCGGCAAAATTGATTTAGCATACTAAGCACACAAAAAGAAAACGGCTAACGACCATCAAAATGAGCGATTCCGACGCGGTTACCGGTGTTCCGTCTCGCAAGCGCTCCCATTCGCCGGAGACTACCGACCCATCGGAGCCGGCGGACAGCAGTGATGTGGCGTTATTTATGCCCATTATGGCAAAACGCAGCCGTCTCCGTGCCGGTTCAGCGTACTTTGGAGCGATGCTGCAGTCCCAGGTTTTTACCGAACATGACCAAGCCGAGATCACCATGCAGCCGCCGCCCGGGCTTGATCCCAACGCCTGCAACCATCTGCTGCTGTATGTCAGTGGATATTTTCCGGAACTCGACATTCCTGATGGACAGGCTAGTAATTACGAATCTATCTATACTAAGCGCAATTCCACCAGTTTCCATTTACAATCATTTTTTCAAAAACTATACTCGTACTGCGGTTATTAATACGCACTTTATTAATCCGCCCTGTGCGCTATTTTGCAAGTCCTTAACGTGAAAAAAGGGCCCATTGTGTCAAAGCTCAGTGAAATCTTTTTTTATGGTGGAGAAAGTAATTATTATTTAATGCATCAATAGAATTTCGATATAATATTCCTTAATGAGACTAATTTTTCAAAAGGCTAATTTTTCAAGGACAACTATAACTTTACCCGCACTTTTTGATCTGCTATTGCAACGAATACTTCAATTTTTCTGATACGTTTGCGTACGGGTATATGTTTTCATGAACTGGTTTCGTATATATCCTGATTTCTTAACACAACGAAGTACTCTGTGGCTTAAACTTTTTATGTTAAGAACATTGTTCTTCCGAATAAAACTAAGAGGATGACAATCAAACACTGGATGGCTCCAGCGCACCATGGTAAATCAGACCGACATTTTGTTCAGCCACCCGGTATCATGGATTCTGCGATTATAATTTTCGTGTTTGGTTTTCTGCGTTGAATTACAGTACAGATATTGGCTGGGCAAAAAAGGTTGCAAAAACACTTGCTGTTGAATTTATCCCTGAATTTATTCTGTCAGCACCGCGGCGCACACCAGCCAGCATTCTCTGTACCCGATGAAATCACCCGTTTTGCGCTTGTGATAGCTTTAATTATTGAAAACCTTTCGCTCAAAACGTTTAGGCAGATCATCAGTTGATTCACCTAAAAACAAACTTAATTTAAGAAAACCTGAGATCAGGCGTGCGCGATGGACGGTCACTCGAGCTAGTAGCGCGCCAAACACGTGCTGGTTGGTCACAATTTCTAAGGGCGTAGGTAATGCGGTCGAAATATGAGAAGTACGAGATAATCGAAATATATAAGAAAATAAAAGTATGTATTTTTATTAAATTAATTCAAATTCGAAATTAAGCAATATTAACGTTTTCACAATTTGAAATATGAGGGAAAAATTAATACTGAATGTTGTCTGTGTTAAATTTACAGGCCGAGCAGATCCTGCAGGTGGCCGACTACTTCCAGCTGCCCAATGTGCAGGAGATCGGGGAGCAGTGTGCCGAGAAGCTGGTTGCAGAGACCGATGAGATCAACTGCTTGCGTCATCTCCGCGTGGCCCTACGCTTCGGGCATGAGTGGTTGAAACGATGCGCCATGCGTCTGGTGATCTATGATTTCCAGCAGATATCCACTACCGCGGATTTCCTGGACTGCTCCACGGAACAGCTGCTCTACATTCTGCAGCAGAATTTCCTCGTTGTACCCGATGAAGAACAGGTGGTCGAGGTAAGACCAAGAGATTTCAATGGCACTTCACAGTACTTAAATGTATCGTAAAGGTCATAGGTGGTTAGTTTACGTCGGCTCGTGTTCATTGCCTAAAAGCTTAGCAACTCAAATACTAACTACAGCATACTGACTGATGTACCGTACCGCCTTTCGCATGGAGGTTGTGTGCTGAATTGTATTTTGCTTAATTCCATGGATCCAGGAGTTCTTCCCTAATCAAGAAAATCCCTAATCAAAACCAGGCAAATAAAAACAGCATAAATGTTGCTGTTCCGAATTTTTTGTTCCTATATTTAACAACAAACTTAGAACTTAATTTATACTTAAACTTAATTTATACTTACAAAGAACGCACAAATTGTACGTAAATGTAAACAAAATGTCAGAAGATTCGCATCCCATATGTATGGCGAACTTAGGCAAAGGTGACCGATAACTTAACTCAACGCGTGCAAACCGGAATTGTGCTTTGGGCACTATTACCGTTTTTAAATATGACTAATTATTTTAAAATGTTTCTTTATCTTTTTAATAATATCCGTCGACAGCAGCGTCATGGTCAGCCATGTGACAGTTTGCAGGCGGTGATGGCCTGGTTCGGACACGACAAACCCAGCCGTTGGCGGCTGGAAGTTTTCAGTCAAATCCTGGCGGAGATCCGCTGGAGCCTGCTGAGCGACGGCGCCCGCATGATGCTCATGTCGGCCGAGGACCCCTTCCGCGCCGCCCTGACCGACATCCTGCAGTACTCCGGTCTCTCGCCGGCCACACCCACCCCGGCCATCACCCGGCCCATCGCGCGCCGGCGGAACGTTCAAGATGTGACCTTTACGTATGCGCCCTTCATCAGCGCGTTCAGTTTGCGCTGTATGACGACGGATCTGACCGAATGGCCGCTGGCGCCTTATGACCCCCAAAAAGTGGGCGGGCCGCTGGTCCCTGGACTGTGGGCGGTAAAGGTCAACGGCAAGATAATCCTGCAGATATTGCAGTATGGCCGGATTGCCACGCTGTCGTATGATCCATTGAAACATACGTTCGAGACGTTGAATGGACACGAGAGGCTGAATCTGGGGTTTACGATGGACAAGGAGACGGTGTCCATTCAGCCGGTGGTCATTCGAAATAAGATTTATATCTTCCGTGAGGGAAAACGGTCACAGGATTTCTACGAGTACAATTTTAAATCTAAGGCGTTGCACCGGAAACCGACGCCGACATCCGGTAGAAGGTATGAGAACGTCTAACAGCAGCAACAAAATATACTGCACGGTTTTTTTTGCAAAATTAACGGAAAAATAAATGGCGAAAATAAAAATCATTACCTTCTTAAAAAGTATAAATAATCAATTATTATCCCGATGCAGGCACAAAAATCGTTTAACAAATTAAACGAGTTCCTTGTTAGTTTCAAACCTATTTTTTAACGTTGTGAATTCACATACATAATATTTTAAAAATACATTACAATCACACTATTTACTGATTAACTCATTTTCATTCGATTTAATAATTTATTCATTGACTTATTCATCTGATTTAATTTGATTTAGTAATTTGTATAAGTCATAAAATATGTACAATCATTTATCAATGAATGCAAAACAGTATTACAACGGATTTTTCAGATTCTGTTTATCGGCTGATTACTTTCTCAAGTAATTCAATAACGTTGCAATAAAATTAATAATAATAATAAAATGTCTCGTAGAATCAACTGCGGCATCGACGTTTACCGCGACGAAATCATCCTCGTCGGCGGCCAGCTACTCCCCCTTAAACCCCGCCTCCTCAGCAGCAACGTCGACCGCTTCAACCCGGTGACCGCCGAATGGACCGCCCTCCCGCCCCTCCCCGAGCCCACCGCCCAGTGTGCCGCCAAGGCCTTCCAGGACCAGCTGTACGTCACCGGCGGGACGGTGTTGTTCGGCCGGCGCCTGCTGGACGTTGCCGGCTGTCTGCGGCTCAACCTCCGGCAGCCCACGGTCTGGGCCCGCGTCGGCAGTCTGACGCGGACCCGGCGCCAGCACGCCATGATGGTGACCGGCGGCGGGCTGTATGTCGTGGGTGGGATAGGGCACCGGTACGATACGGCGTTCGGGAGATATGAAAAATATGTGGAGCGGATTGATAGGTGGCATTCGGTGTACCGCTGGGATGAACAGAGAACGTATCCCATCGGCGGCGGGATTAGTGTTATTGATGCGGCTAGTACGTACTACAAGGTCGAGAGCGACGGAGAGGATGACGCTGCATAGCTGGCTGCTTATTAAAACCCGCGATCATGTATTGTTGTGTGCTGTTTCAACTCGGTGTTGCTGTACCAAGGTTTCGGCCGGCAAAAATTGTCGATTAACAAAAACTGAAAAAAAAGCTTCTCCAAGTGTTTTTGTTAAAAAAGCAAATAAACTGTATCAACTAAAATAATTTACGTTAAATATTAAGCGAACTATGACTAACTGCGTAGTAATTGCAACGATAGCAAAATACATAATAAAATATACAAGCACGGACATATTACTTTACAGTTACAATTCAAATATTAAGCAAAATAGCCATAATATCCTCCTGTGCTCAAATGCAACCTACAGTTATTGAAAACTCATGCCAGAAACATTTTGTTATGAAATCATTTTACATTCAAGACCAGAAATACAACTGCAAAAGATCGTTCACAACGCATTTATCTTTTTTGTGAATTTATCATTTTTGTGAATCATTTACAAAACATTTATTTGCATAATTTCCAACGACAAACTGCCCTTCGTTTGCAGGATCTTTATCCAACAAACAAGACTGAAAAATCCGGAGATGTAGATTCAATGCGGCGCAAGAGCGCACTCGTAAGTTTGAACTTCCATTATCCATTCACAGAACGAAAAATTGCCATTAACATTAAAATTATAAAAACTAAAATCAAAGTAAAAAGAATTAAACCAAAAAACCCTTTTACTTTACATTAAGACTTTTTCAAAAATCAGTAAAAAAATGGCAAACATAACTAACACAGAAAATATACGGGCATAGTAAAGGGAAAAATCAAACAGGAATTTCAAAACCCTATCACCAACTCAAACGGGCATCATCTCGCTTTTCGCATCCGGAAAGTAGGAACTCCACACGGCAAAAATCAGTAAAAAAATGGCAAACATAACTAACACAGAAAATATACGGGCATAGTAAAGGGAAAAATCAAACAGGAATTTCAAAACCCTATCACCAACTCAAACGGGCATCATCTCGCTTTTCGCATCCGGAAAGTAGGAACTCCACACGGCAAAAATCAGTAAAAAATGGCAAACATAACTAACACAGAAAATATACGGGCATAGTAAAGGGAAAAATCAAACAGGAATTTCAAAACCCTATCACCAACTCAAACGGGCATCATCTCGCTTTTCGCATCCGGAAAGTAGGAACTCCACACGGCAAAAATCAGTAAAAAAATGGCAAACATAACTAACACAGAAAATATACGGGCATAGTAAAGGGAAAAATCAAACAGGAATTTCAAAACCCTATCACCAACTCAAACGGGCATCATCTCGCTTTTCGCATCCGGAAAGTAGGAACTCCACACGGCAAAAATCAGTAAAAAATGGCAAACATAACTAACACAGAAAATATACGGGCATAGTAAAGGAAAAATCAAACAGGAATTTCAAAACCCTATCACCAACTCAAACGGGCATCATCTCGCTTTTCGCATCCGGAAAGTAGGAACTCCACACGGCAAAAATCAGTAAAAAAATGGCAAACATAACTAACACAGAAAATATACGGGCATAGTAAAGGGAAAAATCAAACAGGAATTTCAAAACCCTATCACCAACTCAAACGGGCATCATCTCGCTTTTCGCATCCGGAAAGTAGGAACTCCACACGGTGTCTGTACACAGCGGAACCGCGCTCTCCCCCGGCATTTCCCCTACGACACAAGATCCCATCCAGTAAAAAACCTCCGACACTAACTCATCGATCCACGCATCCCCGTTTTCCTCCATGTTCTCCGCATGGGACTGCGATAAATGTATTTTTTCCGTGGCGTTCAGGCGGAGGAGTCGCGCCACGGAGGAGAAATTATAGTGAATGTAGGTGCCGTCCGGGGGGCCGGCGTTGGTCACGTGCAGGGGATGCTGGTACACCGGAATCACAAGGAATTTGGTCGTCGCCACTAGGCGCCACTGGTGCAGTAAAAGGACGCGCCACAGGCCGGGACGGAGGGGTCCGCGGAAGACCGGCTGGTGGACCGTCCAACCGGCTTCCTCCGTGATGTTCACCTGCAAACAAAATGTCGTGAGTTGGAAGAAAACGGTTACCTATTAAACTACTTGTATTCATTAAAAGTTTATTCACAAAAATATTGTTACTAAAATATTGGAATACAAACATTACTATTTCATTATTAGCAAGAAAATTATAAAATATATTATTACTTTACTATTAGCAAGTAAATACTTTCGGACTTGCTGCATCACTGCCTCGGTCTTCTTTGTAAAAGGCACAAGTGCAATGCACATATTCATTATGAATTTATTACATAAAAATATTATTGCTGATTATTACTAACTGATTAAATCATCGTTTTCTACAGAGAGTCTGCACACTTTAAGAGCCAACTGGTAAATAAGCCAAAATAATGACGAAAATGGCGTCTGCCGGTCGAGAAACCACAATATAACGTTCAATTAAAAAATAAATATGATTAACTACTATATTTAGTTAATAATTGGGCGAACCAAATCAAAATAGTAAGCATTAGAAAGCAGTTAGAAATTTGGAAGCCAAGTAGTAAAATAATAAAAGTGAGTAAGTGATTTATTTGAACGATCAGTAAAAAGTATGTAAAAGGAAGCAGATCACTATTATATCAGCTCGATCAGAGAAAAGATTGTAAGTAACGATGTTTTTTTTAAAATTAATCCACAAAAGCATTGCTTATTCGTAAATGTTTTTATATTAAATTTTGGGCAAAAAATATCATTTTAACTATGAGAAAACTGTATTTATTAAAAACTCATTCCATAAATATTTTACTAATATTGCTGTTAAAAATTTCTGTAGCAAAATATAATGGGAAAACAATTTTGGTGTTCAATGACAATAAATATCCTGTAATATGGCTATAAACTCTATGACCTGTCTGCGTTTCTTTAAGCTGAACGGCTTACTAACAGTAACATGAGCAGAAGTCAATGCACTACGATTTCACCGGGATCTGAGTTCACACAAACTGCACCATTTCAGACCGTGTTCTTCATAAAGGCAATTCATATAGCGCAAAAACAATTTCCGTTAAAATTTCTTAAAGCAAATCACGTTAAAACGGCTAGGTATGTACTATGTACCTAAAACTCATAACGGTCTTCATACTCACAATCCTAATCCTAATTCAAAATTTATACTCATATTGTCTCTCATAATCATAACCATACTTTGTTCCAACCGGTTATCATACTTTGTTCATTATCGGAACTGGGAAAAACTGGGAAATACAGAACAGCAAAAAATTAAAAAAAGAATTCTAAAAAAACGCAAGAATGGTGGTATCCAAAATTCAGATAAGCGCAAAACATTACAAAATCCCTTTTTTTTGTCATGACCTAAACTTGTACTGATCCAGTTTTGATGCTCGAGAGTGCAACAATTTTTTTCAGTATTCCAGGTAATTCCAACTGTTGACCTTTTACAAACTCAAATTTGTGAGGCCTTAGGAGCGCACTGGTAGTCTGGTATGAGTCGTGGCGCAGGTAGAAGTTATGGTTGTGAACGATAGTATGGTGATTGGTACTTTGGTAGGATCAAAGTATGATTTATGATTATGAGGGCCAATACGTGTATGAATTCTAAATTAGAAATAGGATTAAGAGTATGAGGACCGTTATGAGAATTAGGTGCCTACCTAGCCCGTCGAAAATCATTTCTAGCTGCCACTGCATTTTGTTGCAAATACTTTTACTTACAACATTGTACTAAAATCATTTCGGAGCAAATAATTCGAAAATCCATTTAAAATTATTAAATCAGTAAACTACTAACTGGCAGGGCACTAACCAACTATAACACATATTACAACCTCGAAGTTAATAAACGAATTTTCAAAAAAAAATTCCGAAGACTTCGGAATTTTTTTTGAAAATTCGTTTATTAATTTCAGAACATGGTGCGGAACAGCTTCACGTTCATCACTGACAATTTCCTGAGCGAAATTTCTTCCCACAGGCAATACACCACGACTTCCGCTCTGCAGTTCCCAAAAGCATTGCGACAAGTGTTAAACGCAAGAACTTCTAATTTTGCTATTTTGCTCTTTAAAAAAATGAATTATTTACCTCGAAAGAGCCAGCAACAGTATCCGCGGGATCCAGCCATACAACGGACGTAACCGTGAAATTTCCAGCGTCGGCCAGAATGGCCAAGACCGGTTCGGAATATGGTCCCACGACGTCCAGGTAATTGCGAAACAGATCCTCCTTCAGATCGAAATCGCTGGACACCTGAAAATCACACAAAAACAACGCGCTTTTTAATTATGCCTACAAGCTACGGGTACGAGTATGGAAATTAAATTTGAATAAAATATTTTCGCAGTTTCCACCATAGACCATCACATGTCCGGATTGATAATTAACAAACCATAACATTTTCAATTTTCAAACAATTCATTATCATCTGTTTTTACGGGAAAAAAAGATTTTTACTACCCATTTCCGACTGGAAAAAAAATCACAGAAGTATACATAACCATGACAAAATTCTGAACGAGCAGGCTGCTGTTTTGGTTATTACGTTGTTCCATTCGCCTATGCACTACAAATTTCACTGTAGGAGTACTATAATACAGTTTGTTTATTCGTAATTTCGAATTATTTTGTATAACGATTACATTTTAATAACACATTAAGTAAACCACTCCGTCGACTCACATTACTGATTAAAAAATTTCAAACTGAAAATACATGTACAAGTTTTGAGTAAAATCTACGTTTCACGGTTTCACCCAATGAGAAAAATTATCCGGAAATTACTAATAAAATTATAAAACACGAAAATAACGCTACCTTCATCGTCACCAAACGTTTCCCAATTTCGCTGCCGTCCACATCCTCTTTCTCAAAAAATTCTTCGAATCCGTATCGACTTTGCAGGACCGTCTGTAATCTGTCTCCAATACGATGACTAATCACGATATTTTTTACGCCGTCAACATCCACTTGCAGAAAAACATCCAGTAATTGTGGGCTTCCTTTTCCCCCGGGGAAGTCATGCTCCTCCAGCGACGAGCGCCCCAGACTCTCATACAGTGAGCGTGTCTCGTACGACGGAAATGTTTCCGCGGCGGTGTACAAATTAATCCAATGATAATTCCACGATGGACTCTTTTCTGCACCGGACGAAAAAGGACGGACAACTTCATTAATAATGGACAGATCCACGAGGGCGTCGAATTTTCGGGCGAAGAATATCGGTTTATTGGCGTAGGTCTGCAAAAGAATACAATCTGCAAATGGTCAACGCCGGTGCACGGAAAATAATTTTAAAAAATTCAGATGGATCACACAAGCGAAGAAGATAGAATACTTTATCACTTAAGAGTCGTGTTTAATTTTTCCAACAAACCGGCAATAAGAAGTAAAGTTATGAAAACAAAAGCGAAGAAATAATCGATATTTAGTGCAAATTAACGTTTGGCATTAGGCATGAAGTTCAGCCAGTTCTGTCAGATAAATTAAATGCAACTGGCCATAAATTGGATCAAAAACTGAGAATCCATCACGTTCTATTCTGGGGCACACATTTCATTCATCAGCAAAGCTTGGCAGCTTGCGCACGGAACCGAAATGGCGGTTTAAAGCAGCCACTACTCTACGATTTAACCAATTAACCGTAACCTTCTCAGCGCATAATGCAAAATTTTGTCTTCAGAAACTATAATTCGCTTGATGTGCTTTTATACAAAATAAGTGATAAAGTTTTTGAACGACTTTTTAGCAGCACTGGCCCTTTATTGTTTACCTGAGATGCGTTGGGTCTGTCCAGTGCTTTACTGAGATGATATTAGTTTCATTTAAAAGAGCAAATGTCTATAGCACATAAAGTTATGTCAAAAAATTAGTGTTAAAATATCGTTGTTTTCTGAATTATTTCAAAAAATGGGTACATTTAAATGATGTTCTGGAAAAAAAATTCAAAGTTGTCCATTTTTTAATTAAAACTGTAGATATTCAATAAGTATATTCAGTACTCTTAATCACGTTGCTGTTTTTCTCGTTTAAAGACGAAGTTTTCCTGGTTTTTTTCGCTGTAAAAATAGCGCCGTTCTAGTGACCATATCCGGCCAGGACACGAGACACGTGACTCCAGCGAACAATTTGACACTCCCCACATTTGATCCTCATGAAGAGGTAGCAGGTCCTTTAAAAACAATTTTTAAAGCATCGCTTCGAAAGCAGTCTGGGTTCAAACCCCTGTTTGAAAGGACAATCACCCACCTACAGAGTACAGTTGCCAGTTGAACCGGCGTTTTTCATTGCAAAGTCACGAGCAATAAAATTGTAATTAAAATACCTAAAAATCACAGTAAAACATTTGCGATTTTTTGAAATGTTAAAAAGTTGTTTTGTGCTTAGTTCATCCAGCACGAGCCCCATGCCAACAACGTTTTCCAAACGGAAAGAGAACGTCCATCTCTAGACAAAACAATTTAAAAAATTGAAATATTATGCATGAAAAAAGGTGGGACGAAATTTTTCACTTTTCGAGCTGGGACGCGAAAAATTTCGACACGATTTCAACTGGCGCCACTGCTAGTGAGAAACTTTCAATTTTTCGAAAAACATTTATTGGTTTTGGTAGCTAATAAAATTGTCTATCAAACGAGTCTACGTAAGCAGTTTACCGTGAGTCAAGTAGATTGCGAGGGGCAAAGCAAAAACGGAGAGAGTCATTTTGTTCGCCCACCAGGCACTGATACAACAACCAAAGTACTGTATATGCAACAATCTTGCTGTAACACACGGATAAACAAATTCCCAGTTTTTTGTTTTACCGCAATGCGCTGCACATCGCCGGAACGGAAGACATTAGGCGAACATCCACACCAGTCGACAATATGCCGATACTGACAATTGCAGCCTTTTTTCCGTTTCCAGTTGGTCATCCGCAGATTATTGTTGATAAATGTCGGCGCGAATTCGCTGTTCTTCAGCACCGTATGGAAAAAGCTCTGCAATATTATAACTGTAAATTATAACAAATAAATAACAGAAATATGTACTGTAAGTATAATAACTATAAAATATAATAAATGAATAACAAATAAATAAATAATAAATTACTGTAAAACAATTGTAAAATATAATGGATAAATAACAAATAAATAGTATACGAGTACTGCTGTAAAATAATTTTGAAATACAGTATAACAAAAATAAATCTACTGTATTAAAATTTTTATGCCATAAAGAAAAAAGTGTTGTACTTCGGCTGGCAATAATGTATGGTTGAAAACCACCAGCAATCCGCGGATCAGCTCGTTTGCGGGGCTGGTAATGAGATACTGGCAGAATGATCGATGCAGCGCCACCCAGTCACTGCCTCCGTCGATAATGATTCCCGATGGCAGCCGTCGCGATCCCACACGCCACATCCGGTCTTCGCATTGATAGAACGTCTTGTCCAAGCCTTGCCGCTTAATAAACCTAAAAATTGCATCAAATCGCACTGAAAAAATCACGAAAAGAAAAGAAATGAAAAGCAAGCACGCACATTTCACAACAGATCGTACACATAAAAAAGCTACGCTGGAGAACATAATCAAAAAAACCGAAAAATACAACTGCCACAAGTAACAACTATGTACGCGAAGACGTTCAACGATTGCCAATGCAACAACAGTTTAAAACTCATCAAGTAAAGGAGAATCATCTACCCACATAATTCACAACGCTTAGAAAAAAGAACACTACAAAAACGAATTTACAATATTTATATTGATAAAATAACTAGCTGAAAATTAAAAATATGCACTTAAGCTTATTTAGGTAAAAATTACGGAAGACGCCTAACATCTTTCAAAACCCAAATATTATAAGCGTGGCTCGTACAGATAAATGGGGTGCGACAGAGCCATTGTACTACGTACAAGAACCACAACTACGCGCACACTAGAATTATTTAATTTTATTAAGAACTGCAATGCCAATAGCAATGAAGTCATATCAGCTGAACGGCGCAGAAAACTGGCTTTTTCATGCAACAGAGACAAACAAATTCTATTATTTAAAAATATCTAATGGTGAACGACTTTTGTACAGTCACAGAGCGAGTCACACGTATAAAGTCGACACTACCGGTGTCCCAAGTAGGCCATATTACTTTCAATATGAAATTTCAAAAATACGCCATACGTTACATTTACGCACATTTTAAATCACAACTCACTTTTCTGTTTCCGTTCCATGCGATTTCGCAAAATTCTTCCCATAATTAACCGTTAAATATTCCGCCAATGCTTCGCTGGATCTGCAAAAATATGCTAACAGTATTAAACGCAGCCGTCTCACAATCTCGATCGACGATGTGTGTACTTGATGGGCAGATCAGATTCACTGAGATTAATCAAATAATCCCAATTCCACCCGTCCGCATCACGCAGACCGTATCGCATGGCATCCAACAACGTCGTCAGCAGACTCGCACCACCCCAGATCGGACTGCGCCGCTGACGCAGCAGGCGAATGTTGGGGAACGCCGACTCCAACGGTATCAGCTGGTTAAATAGGTACGAACTTCGCTATTAGAAATATACAAAATAAATGCCTGGTCATTGCCAAAAAATTACAATATTTACAAAATATCCAAAAACCATATAGCAAGGGAGAAATTTGAGATTAGGGCGAATGTCCGCTCGGCCAAGGGAATACAGCTACAAGGGAATACATTCGATAAAATGATTTTGAACTATCCTTCTCGCCAAACCATTTTTGATTTTAAAAATCAGCTTAGCATTTTTAACTTAAACATTTTTAAATTAAGCATGTTAAGGTTTCGCTGTAACTGAATGTTGATGTGAAAAATTTATCGGAAATTATTCAACTAGAAGTTGTGGCAAATTCATAGTACTGGGTTTCAGGCACAGGCTCACAGCTATGCCAGAACGCCCCGAAGCAACGCCCCTGCACTGCAATATCTGCAATAACGTATAATCAACGTATGGTTGATTTTTCTGTCGCAGCTGATTTCCGACGAGACCAGCTATGAAGTATGAACTAATACTGTAAATTTTCACTCATAGACATAGCGAGAATATCTTCGGCTGCACATGTTATTCGAAATCTTCAACACTAAATTTTAAACTTTCTAAACAAAAGGCAGTTTGTATAATTTTACAACGCCACAAAAAAAACTGAACTGGCGGAATAAATATTTTGGCGAAATAAAAATAGCACCTAGCTATTCCGGCGTAATTTAATCCACTGGAAAAATGAAATATGAATGCAACTCACCGCATCCACATGGATGACAAAGTAATAGTTCCGTTGATAAATTAATTTCAGTAAACGCAGCACTTGGCGGCTGTCGCGTCCGTAAATTGTCAAGACAAATAAAATCCGCAGCGGTCTCTTCGGAATTTCTGAAAGGCGATCACGAGTATAATCAATTTTGCCGATTTTTTATGCTAGCTGAAAATCACCTAAAAGTACCAATTAATTCACTGTAACTGAACAAAAGCTTATCTAAAACGAATATTAAATCTGATTTTATAACGTGGTTATTTTTTATTACAGCAGTACTCGCAGAAATGAAATACTGAAGTTAACATAAAAAGCTGAATCACAGGAATTGGAAAAGAAAGCAATAATTCCAAAACTCTGAAAAACATTTAATAAAATTTTGGATTAATTATATCATACGGCAAAAGAGCAATATCTGACGATTTTTCAGTTTTATTCCCATAATAACAACATTCGTAAAAATTTTTAATAAGAAATTAAGGAAAAGGTATTAGCAGTTTTTAACACAGTTTAAATTTGTTGTGGACTGAATATTTACCTTTAAAATTCTAACATTTTAGCAGCGTTGACAAGGTCTGAATATTTTTACAAACATTAAACATGCCATAAATTATTTAAACACAAACTGACATTATAAATAGTGTCAGTATATTAAAAAAATATTTTGAAAAACATATTAAATTTATTTAAAAACATTAAAACTTATTAATTAAAATTATGAAATAATCAAGTTAAATTTAAAATAATAATATAATAATCTGTAAGCGGCTGATTATTCAGTACTTATTGTTTTACAATTATATTAAAAAATTTTAATAGCAGAAATTATGACCGAATATTTTTAGAAACATACCATAAAAATAATTATAAATAAAATTCATAACTATGTTACTTAATACGAGTAAATCTACATATGAATTGCAAGAAAATCCTCACCGAAGTCGTGAATTAATTTGCTCTCGTAACGTGGCAGCGATTCCGGATATACCGATCCCTCCTGCAGTCGACACGCGAACTCCGCCAGCTCATTTTTACAGCGTACCGTTGTCGCGCGCTGGATGGCGGAGAGTGCATCACGCGATGAGATGTTGCATCGCGAAGTCTCCAGCAGCTCCTCGCTGTGCACACTCTGTGGAATCTGGAAACAATTCACATCCAATGATCAAAACGATTGCAGCCAGTCGTCGAGAGGGAACTTCGACATACAGTAAAATCGCTGGTGCGATTGGCAAAATAATGGTACGAAATGCGAGCCGCCAGCGCCACGGTGAGAGTCAGAAAAAGAAGACGAGGAGAGAAGAACTGCAGCTGGTGGAAAATCTGCAGGAGCCATCGGGATACCACCAGCACATACATGGCGCTCTACGTGATGTCTGCATGCATCGCGGAACTGATCAGGGCATTATTGGCAGTACTTTCATCTGAGATACACTACACTATGAAATTAACGAGAAAGAATGCAAGGGAGTGTGAAACAATCAACAATGCGATTGTGAAACAATAAACATAACACAATGCGAAGTAAGTAAGAAATAAATTTGAAAATAATCGTACGTATAACATAACATCCACTTGCTACTCATAGACAAGTCAGGCTTCAGCATCACCCTGCCCTGAATTCAGGCAGCCCGCAACTGCTGCGAGCGGGAAGCTGAGCGACACATTTTATATCTTCATTTACCGCAGCAGTACTGTACAGAGTAGAAAATATTTAAGAACTGATATTAATTCGTGGCGCTCACTGAAACTGCACTGCAGGACACATCAGGATTTTATTGCTTTGCGGGTTAAAAATGGGGAACAGAGAAACTGAAACATATGCCGACAGACTGAAAACAACCAGAACAAACGCCCCCTCTAAAAAAAAAAGAAGAGGAGAGGGCGGGAGGGGAAAATCTTTGAAGCAAATTCACGAACACTGCAACTGGACAAAATTCTTACACTGCGTTACCCGCAGCATTTACTTATATAGGCACAGCCACACGCATGGAAAACAACAAGGTAATTAACATGTCCGAGGGAGAATCTTGCAGCTGGGCGCTGGCCAATAAATCTGACGCGGTGCGATAAGCTGGTGCCGGTGAGGATGATGAAAGGAGGAGGCCGCTCGCTTCTAATTAACCGCTTTTATCTTCGATAACGCTCATTAATTTTCGAGTTTTCTAAGCACATTTTTTTTACTACTGGTAAACATTTACTAGAAAATTATTTTACCTCTAATAGATCGACTGAAGTTTCAATCAATGTAACCAGTAGCAGTACTGTACATCATTATGCACAAAGCAATGACGCATATAAGGTAGAGTATTCAGGCGCGTAGCACCCAAATGAAGGACACCATAAACGTATTTTGAGTAATATTTGCCCAAACAAATGTTATCAATTGGGTGTATTTTCTTTACTTGTAAAAAAATAAGTCACGTCCTAGGCATAAGTCTATGAAGGAAGGAAATGGAAATAGAGCTGACGCAAGAAAGCGAGCAAAGGCTTGTACATGTATAAGTACTGTACCTGCATGCATCCAAAAAATCATAAAGTGCTGACGCTTTTGCCGATAATTCGACGTTTCGCAGCCACCAAGTAGCACCCGGAAAAATACTCGGACAATCACCGACATTTTTCATTATTTTTAATCTTTTCTTGGAAGATTCCAATAAACTTTGGTTCAACAAAGAATAAAACATAGCACTTCTTTTACAATAAAATCTCATTACAGTTTGTTTAGTGGCCGGCGCCTCTTGAGAAAAACTCAAAACAGGCTCTTAATACACAACAAATATCTAACTTAGGGAATCTTCTGAATGCCTCTCAGTAAAAATTTAAAAAATCTTCTCTAACGGTTTATGTTTCGTTCTGTTTATTCTAAAATAATTATCTCCTGGCACAGCCTCATCAGCCTGTTCCAACAGGGAAACTTTGTTCGAATTCGCCACTTCAGCATCCCGGCGCTAATGTTTTATTGGTAGCCTCCAAAGTGATATTTTCCATGGAGGGCGGTCCTTTAACTATATCAAAAACAATTGAGGATGCGTTGCTTCACAAACTGTCATCGGCAGAGAAAATTGTAGGCAGGCGCGCAGGACTTCCGGATGCATCGGCATATAGACACAAATCGTAGTCAGGAACCAAGGGCAGCATTCCGGATGTAACAACAGGCCGGCGAACACGAATACCCAGATCCATGTTTTATTTACAATTGTTAGCTGTGGTATAGTCTCCTGAATATTGCTGTAGATTTGACCTATATACTGCAATTACGTCGCTGGTGCCGGTGACCACGGTTGTACATATGTCGGTAAATGAATCTTGAGTTTGATCGTTCCACCGTTCTCTGGAGCGCAGTTGCAGTTTCTGCCAAACAAAGGCATTTTGCGAATTAAGTAATTCTTAAATTATATCGGATTTGAATACAATGAGTTTCTGTTATCGTAATTAAGTTATTAAAATTAATTATTGAAATTTCCGGATGCAAAGTTGCAGTACGCTGTAGTAAAAGAATTTGTTCCAAGACAAATTTTAATTCGACTTGTGTAATAATAATATAAATATATTATTTTTAAGTCAGTGCTGTGCGCCCCGATCTGGGCGTGAAGTAAAATGGCTATGAGCCCGGTCAGGACGCGCAGAAAATTGGCTGTGCGCCCCGAATATTCGGCGTAAAAAGTCGTGGCTAATTATGGTAAATTTGTCAGTACACACTCACAGAACGGTCCAAAGGTTACCACAATATTTACCTGAAGACACGTGACTTTGAATGCGTATAAATATTTATGGCTTACAGGACTGACTAGAACACTATTACTAGTAAATGTTAACAAATAAATGAGATCGACACTTGTGGGGAAGCGAATCGTGAAATACTGTAATTATCGAATTTTTATCACTGTGCGGCAAATGCGATACTGTAGTTCAAACGCCCTAGTACAGATACAAGTGCGCTTTTTTTCGGGGAGGTGCCACTATTTTTCGCACAGTAAATTTTATAGCGGGCCAATATTTTTTGAAACCAGGAACGCATCCTGCTCTAAACAACCTGAACGCTATAGTTGGTGTAGGTACCGGGGTATGCAATAGCATGCAAATACGAGACTTGCCTGCAGCATCACGGGCATGCATACAATTGCTTGCTAGCAAATTAGCAATCATTACCACATTTTAGGTTACGATCTAACTAGGTACAACTTTACTCCGCTTGACATTTATTAACGACCCAATGTGGGCAATTTCTGGGGTGCCCTAATATTTCAAACTTAAGGTGAAGGGTAGGCAATTAATTATGAAAAGTCACTAAATGTTCCCCAGCATGGGTCAAGTTAATTAACATGTCACCCACATTTTGAAAAAATCCGGTTCGAAAACAATGGATTCTTGGTTCGAATCATAAACAAAGCATTGGCAACCCACAGCACGGCAGGCGCGCGTTATCCCCTGAAACGGATCTGAGTTGCGCAGCTGCTCTGTCCTGACTGACTGAAGCTAGGGCGCATTGTATCCTCTCTCGCTGTCTCTCACTGGCGTGCGCAGCCTCGTGCTAGCCCGTCAGCTCCCAGCCACTTCGGTTATCACTCACATGTTGTTTATATTAATCATATTTTATGTTTGTTTCGCAACTGCATTAATGCTATTGGACATAACTCATTCAAATATGATCCAACACAACAGGTTAGATACTAAGGCGAAAGTGCAGAAGTTTGAGAAAGATCGCTTAACAAGGGGCAAAGATCCAGCGTTTTAAAATTTTCAAAGTCGATTTTGAAACCTTAAAAAATGTTTCTCGAAAAACTGTAACGTACACTTTTTCCCAATAGTGTTTATATACATTCGGTCCGCTCAAGGGGGAACAAAAATCCGAAGCGTTCGAATACAGGTCAGTGATAAGTGTTTTGTTTACAGGCTGCTGTTTACGGGTAGCCGGCCGGTATTGTCGTGATCATGATGCACCATTCGGTAGCAAAATTATCCTGCTATTAGAAAAAAGGCGCAATATCTTCCTAGCTAGATACAGTTCAGTTCTAAAGCGTTTAAAGTGAATGGTTCCATAATTGCCTAACCTTCACCTTAAACTTGGAGCACGAGGTGCGCTTATTACAGAGAGCGCCCTGGATGAGTGGTTGCCACAAATTCGAAAATTTCCGTATTCACTTCTTGCGTAATACGGTACTATTAACTAGTAACTACTCTATCACGGCGATTTTTGCAATGGATTCAGGTCCGAAAATGCAGTTCGAAAGTGCGAAGGAGAGTGCTGGTATACAGGAATTAATGCTGATCATGAAAGTCGGTTTACAGTACCTGCGCGAACTATCGGGAAGGCTTTACCATGAATGACAAAGCCAGCCACGAAAAAAATGAAGCTTTGAGCGGCAGAAGTTATGTTAATTATAGTGTAACACAAAGAAACGTGCAAGATTTTCGGTGTTAATGGTTAAAAACAAAGAAGTTATGGCGCAGAGCAACGTAATACAATGGTCACAAAAAATAATTAATTATTATATCAGGGGCACACAGCCATTTCGTAATTTTTAATACTACCTAGGGTCGTTACGTGCGTTTATTTTGGGGTTGAACTGCATGCCAGCTGGGCAACTGAATCCTATTCCCCGTCCATTTTGCTCACAGTTGTAAAAGGTCATGCATATTGTGGTCGGATCGGATACAAACTTATTGGCATTATTCCCATTGATACATACGAGTGCCGGGACAGACTATATATATGAACACAGCACAGCGTAAACCACATGAAAACTCCAAGCCAAACGGCAATTTTCCGCCTGGATTTTCGTTGCTGTTTCTTACCGGCTGCACAATGCCCGGCGCGCGTTAGAGATCTAGAAGCAGTTGACTTCCGGAAGTTCTCGTGTTTACCGCTAATTCATTATCAAGACATCCCTGGGCACTCGCGCGTATGCTTCCATTCCCTTGAAACTGACATGCAAAACTGTCAAACAAAACAACATCAGATTATCATTCAAAACACCGCCCACAACTGCTGGCACGCCGGTCGGCGTACAGACCAGCCGCTCTCAGGCACACAGCGGGAGTCTGCTGTGATGTTGGTCCATAGCCCGTGTGTTGCTGCTGCTATTGTTGGGGTCGGCACCTTTAATAAGCATCGTAGTACATGTACAAACTCAATACCAAAACAGAACGTCATTATGACAGAAAAACTTCCTCCATGCTATCCTGATAGGGGAGCGTATCCATTACACAAATCGCGTTTCCCCGTTGTATTTGCATAGATATCCGCTGCTTAAAAAACTCTTTCGCTCGCTTCTGGCCAGTTGAAGTCGCTATACCGTTTCCAATCTTCTCCACTAGCTTTTTTGTTCTTTTCCCAAAGGTCCGTAAATTTCGAAGGCAGCGGCAACAAAATCGTATCTTGGTTGCAGCCAGGCGTGTTTCGAAAGTTTCTTCCTTTCCGCGAGTTCGGCTGCTGCGCCTGCGTTCACGGAGGTGCGGTCGATATACGAGGCCGCCAGCGTGTCCACGCAGGTAACATCCACGACCAGCGGCTTTCCGCGTGCCCATGGTATAAGTGTGATCACATCCGGCCTTTTCTTATCTTTCACGGACAGACCTGTTGTTGTCGTCTGTAATTGCCCGTTTGGAACTGCTAGTTAAACGACTGACCGGTTTACTGATAGCCAACATTGCCTTGCTGCACAGCCTGCACTTGATCGTAACCGTAGTCGGGCTTGTTGTGGTTCTGGGGAGAAGACTGGTTGCTGCCGCTTAGGATGTTGTAATGTTTGCCTTGAAAGAAACTATCCATGTTGTTGCCGGATTGAAAATTCTGATTTAGCAGTGCAGCCATTGGTGGCGGGGATTGCGGCGGCGTATACGTACGGTGGATACCTTCCAAGTCCAACTTACCGGGAACCGCTGGGCTCGGGTTCCGTAGAGTACTAGTAGAAGTATTGGTTATTGTTGTAATTAATATTGTCGTTGTTGTTATTGTTTTTGCAGTTGTTAAGAAGAACCGTGAGCTCCTAATAGCTTTTAATGGAGGGCCGAGTGCGTAAGTGCTACATACAAGTATTATTGTTAACTTTATTAATTAAACTCTCAGCTTGCTGTAAGCCTGCTGCAAAATAAGCGGTTAACTGCGGTTAATGAAAAAAAAAAATAAGCGGTTAATAATGCGGTTAACTGTTACATATTTGGTGTTACTGCTAAATTAACTTAGGTTCTTTGTCAGATTAATTAGCGAGGAGGTGTAATGTATTCCAAATTGTTCATAATGCCATATGTGTGTATCAGCAAAAACCTGTCAGTTTGGATTTTATTGCTAGTTTATTCGTAGATTTGCTAGTGGATAGCTTCGATTTCATTGTAGAGTAACTGTATCCGACAGTAGTGACCGGCGGTGGCTGCTGCCCACTTCCCGGGCCGGTATACGGACGCAGTTGAGCGACATACGACGTCGTCGTTACCACCGGGGGAAACCTGAACGTTGCTGTATTCGGTACAGGACGCGGCTGGTATTGTTCGGTGCTGGTTGGTCTCACTTGGTAATTCCTTTTCATCCTTGATAACCTGTTCCACCCGTGTTACCGTTCCACACCAGTTCGTGTGGGCCATCTCCCGGCACACCATTTTCCCGTTTTATTTCTCTGGGAGGGAGGCCAGTGGCCCCCCCCCCCATAAAGACAGGCCTGGCTAGAGGCACGCCTTTTCAATTATTTAATGCCGCGCCCCGTACTGTGAAAACGCTATGGGCTCCCATTTTTTAGAGATAAAAAATTAGACCGCTGCTGTACGTGTATCCGGTTATATTTTCTTCTCCTTAGGAAATTTTTTAAGACATTGCAACACTCACTGGTTTTGAAATATTTTTGCACTTCATAAGAACGAAGCTAGTAGCCAGCGTTTTCGGATGGAAATGGACACGACCGATCAGTGGCGCTAGCCTACATGACCAATAAAAAATACCGCGCATGTTGAACATTAACATTTTATTCTCAAGTTGACAGCTATGTACAAAAGCCCAGATGGTGCGGGGCACTGCGGGCGACAAGGTGTTCAACAGCACGTACGTAGACGCTGCACTTCCATACCATAATATTTTGCAGGCCAGCCTGCGAATACATTGTTAATGTATCGCAACTTTATTCGTAAGGCAACAATATCTAATGTACAAAACATTTTCCTTCAAAAAAAATTACGTCGCAACGGGGTGCTTGTAGTCCGCGAAAAAACGGGTTGAGAAATAATCGAAACGGGGTGCCTAACGCTGCCTATAGAATAAGCGGGTGCAAAAGAGGGTGCCTATACTCATGGTGAACGGGCTATTGCGTGAAAGGGCTGCCCAGAGTATCACCCTTAAAATAATTCACTATAATCGTTTTCTAGAGGTGCACTCGTAATTCGGGACACTAACATGCCGGCGGTGATATATGTAGTTTTTTGTTTCTGTACTCATCTTAGATTCAGTGCCATCACTTGTACTCATATAATTTATGTTACTTTTTAAAGTTTAGACATTGTTCAACAAGCAAACGGTGCGAGGAAAGTTTATTCATTGTTGTATGCTTTAAAAATTGTACAGTTATTTTCTGTTGATCGCTGTAATACAGTAACGGAATAATAAAATAACCGGCAAAATTTGTCCGGTTACTACAATATTAACAGCATTTTGGATGCCGTATTTCAAATCATTACACAAAAAAAGACCAAGAATACAGTATAATATGAAAACGTACGTATAGTATAGACTGTATAGTATAAACACAACTTGTGCTCATTGTCGATACTGGATGTATACCGGTAATTGTACAGTAAGCAATATAACGGACTTGAAAGCACACTTCGCAGAAGATGAAACTCTATACTTGTGTAAAAAGTAAACAGTGTGTACCGCACCGAAACCTATTTGTGGTCCTCGCCGGCAAGCTTTCCAGAAATGTTCAATATTGACAAAAAGACGAGTTCTGCTCGGCACTCACTCCATTACAGCCGGCGTCCGCTTTCTTGCTCGCTGAAAGCGATCCTCAGATTTTCTTGGGAAAATTAATGCCGGCATAACGGATGCTGCATTCAACAGCACAATTCCGCAAACAACTTTTATAAAAAACGTAAATTAAGTGTTCTGAAACAGTTGCAGTGTACCAGAAATGTTCACAATGCAGCATATGCAAACAACTACAAATCGTAATCTTTGGTCTATATATAAATGAGCGCAAGTTCAACAAGTGCAGCATCACGAATCAGTTGCTCACACTTTGCAGCTTTCTGACCTTTTGTTGCGAAATTCTTGTTTTACCGCTATGAAGCAAATATACTGCTGCTTATTTGTCGTGCTTACGACACGGCTCGTCCTGTGCCGCACGGTAAGCGCTACAAACCTAAGTTCGCATCAGTACTGTACATTTATCGCCCATGTACAGTATTTATGGAACTCGTGTCTGATAACACGATCATATATAACGCAACGTTAAAGTTTGCATATTTAATAGTTGTGCGCGTACATTTTTATATTGGATCGATAGCTTGCCGTCCTAATTTTCATCCGATGTTGCAGGCAAATCCAACAACGGACATCCTAAATTTCGACGACGAGCCGTTACCGTTAAACGTCACCGCTAGTGGAGCCAGAATGAAGGGCGAACGGAACACCACCACCAACGCAACCATTAAGAACCTGTTCAGCGAAGCGATAACCGGCTACCGGCCTGCCAAGGCAAACACCTCCGCCGAACATATTCCGTACGAAAACCACCACAGACCGACCAAGCCGAAAGGTGGCCGCCCTGACCCGCCGCCAGTGCATTCTAATCACACTGGCAAGCATTCGCCCTAGCGCCTGGAACAGCGTCCATTAATGGGCACCTTGTCCGTCATCGAAAATATTTTTCCGATAGCAGTTAAGAGTATAACGTTGAGCGTTTCGCGTTGACAGCCTTCCATGTTCAAGATTTTATATGAGTTAATGTGAATCACTAACCTGTATTACCCTTTTCCCGATTCAGAAGGCATATACATACTTAAGCTCTGTAGTTATAGCGATTTTACGACTCGCACTGATCATGAAGTGCCCTTTAATAGTTCTTTTGGGTGATTATTTTTCAGTTCTTCATACGAGTACACAAGTCGTAGATTGTCAACTTAATTTTGGTCTGAAAGAGTTGCTTTGGCAGCTAGGTACGAGTAATTAAGCACAGTCAAATATGACGTTATAGTTATTCCACATTTTCAAAAGTTTAGCTTACAGGAAGCGAACTGGCAATTGAAAATATAATTATAAACAAAGTGGTAGCGTTACTTACGAACTGACCGTAAAGAGCAGATAAAACATTAAATATAATTTATAAAACTCTCAGTAAATGGACAAGTGTTATGATGATTATTCTTACCGCATAAGTAATTGTTAGTGCTTTCCTTTGATAGTTCAGCTTTTACACGAGGTACTTGTCTTTTTGCTACATCATGTTAAAACAACGCACGGGAAACTGTAATGGGTACACATGCTAATTTATAATGCACATAAAATTAAAATAAAAATTTTAGGCGATAATATTCTGCCGACAGGCACGGCAGAACCTATCTACGATAACCGGTTAATACACCAAGGATACACCAAAACATTCAAACCAGGAAGTAAAACCAATGATTTCACACAAGTAGTTTCTCTGTAGTAAACAGCAAAGTGCCGAAATAAAAATCAGATATATTACAAATATGCCAAACTGCAATCGAAGGAGCAGTAATTATTATCCTTCCAGAGGAGCAGTAATTATTATCATTCCACTTTGGTAAAAAAATTAAAAACACTGTCATGGATTCATGACAGCGTTCGCAACTTCGCACTAAGGAAAGCAGGTTTATACGACAAAGAAAATCATCTGTCATGTTATATTAATTACAAACAAAAGTCAGGTTCACAAGTCGATTAATTTGTGCACATAATTAAGTAGCACATAGCCGGTTATTTCTCCCATGGAATGGATATCACGAGGTATAGTACAGTATATCCGCTGTAGCTCCACACAACAAGTACAATGCTTTATTGTAATTTTTTTATAGATCGAGAACATCATTGTGTGTGCAGTCGCAGTTTTGTTGCAAATCCTGAAGCTCTTATGTGTCAAGAATGGCTCGTCTTGCAGTTACAATAGCTGGGATTGTTTGCATGCTTTCTGCCGGTTACGATGTACGTCGGGGCTCCTGTTGTGCTCTGTAACTTCTCAATTAGCAAATATGAAGAAACTTCTCGCCTAACATTCGGAAATCGTATTTTAGTCGGCTGGCATTCAGAGCTCCAGCACGAATTCTCCGAAAACAAGCCCGGCATCCAGCGGAAGCGATGTGCAGCGTGTCACTATAAAGAACGGAGAGTCCTACACGATGCGATGTACTGATTTCAACTCCACACCAACCGCACCGGATTCCCGTCGACGCCGCGCGGCGGACGACCATGTACGTTACATTGTACAGTAGATAACAATACACATATCAGGTTTCAAACGGTACTAATGGTTATGGGCCTACACGGCTAATTTAGTGGAAAATCTGTAACGTAAAAGTTTTTTTTAGCGAAGAAGATGCCTCGATTAATATTTGTAAGTACAGTAATTGCTCCTGCTCCCGATCCTAAGGCTTAATTCTAAACGATCCCTAAAGGATCTACCGGTACTGCACTTTAGATCGGTAGTCGATCCGAAGAGGAGCGACTGTATATTGAAAAAATTTTGGTTGGAGAGTGGCGCTAAATGATTAGGCGATCGTGTTACGAGTACAGAGGGATACAAATTTCGAGCACCCAGCGGCTCGTTTGACGATTCACCGAAACTGGTCAGTCGAGTACTCAGGAGTCGATATCGATGAAAGAAGTATGCTATGGGAATCCGTTGCGGGTCGTATGTGGAGCAAACCGTACTTTTAACCGGATCGCATGTTGCGGATTTAGAGTTATCAGTTAGGCACGCAGTTTAAAATGCCATTTTTTTAATTATTTCCGCTAAAACACTAATTTCGTAATTGCAAAAACAATTATTACGAAGTCTTAACAATAAACTACTAAGTACAAAATAACTAGAAAAAACCATGAATCAAATTACTAACTTGAAAATTAAAATCACCTAGGTGATATAGATATCTGTAAAATTGAGAAAAAGTGAATTCAAGATGCAACTAATTAACAGAAAATAATAAATAAAAGTTGTCATTTTGGACAACAGAACTACCGGGTTTTTTTAAACTCTTAATTTGGCCGCCGTTCCCGGTAGTCGGCTGTATTCGGCAGCGCGCGATTTCGCGATTCATCCAGGAGGTCATCGCTCTGGTGGCTGTGTCACGGCGCAAAGTCAGCGGTGCGGAGATCTAAAAACATAAAAAATGTAACTCAACCAATCAAAGATCCTCAGTAGGCAGATTTTGAATACGGCATGAAATCAGTGGATAGCTAAATACCTTTCATAACGCCAACACAACCTTTGCCAAATATCCGCTGGAATTCCGCCTCGGAAGCTCTGGATTTCACATTTTCCCGTTTATTTAATTTTAAATGTCTTGCGAACTCGCTTCTGCAAAAAAGCACTTTTAAAATAATTAAAAGTTACGCCGCTTTTAAATCCTAAAATTTTGTTGAAAAACTTAAACAGAATTTGACAAAATAAACGTAATAAAAATAAACGTAATAAATATGTATTACAGTATAAATTCTATAAAACTCCATATTGTCATTTTTAATAATTTGATTAAAAAAAGTTTGATACATCAAAATACTAAAAAAACTTTACGGTTAAATTTACTACATCACAGAGTTAACGGTGTACATCGTACAGTTTATTTATTGGACATTTTGGATAAAAATTCAAAAGCTTTAACTCCGTACGCACAGCGGGTGAACATACCTTCACTCGTTCTGTTTCACTGTTCCCACGTGCACCTGCCACAGAATTGAACGCTGGCGAAATCGCCTGGTCAGGATCGTGGGGCAGAAGTGGAAGCACAGCGACAAACGAAGAAGAGTAGCAGTTCTGAAGTTGAGCAAAGCAGCCACAAACAGGACGTTTTCAGGACACGCTTCCTTTTCAATAGGCATGTTTATTTTCTACTGTAACTTAATCCCGTAATAGTTTACGAAAAATGCGAAATCGCACGCAACTAGTGAGCAAAACATCCTTGGTGGAAAGAAAAAGGAAAATGGAGTCAGGTTTCAGTTTTTGAAACCAAAAAACTCCCGTGGACGTTGATTTAAAAAAAAACTGAAAGCCTGAATCTAAATGAATAAATTCAGACTGCAGATTCCAAACAAGCGCAATACATCACAGCGAGCTCCATGCCGCCATCTTGTGTACGCATTTGGCGACGGCCATTGGACACACAGCGAAGGATACGCCTTGTCTTTATTAACATACTTCAAATGTACGTACGTTGTTAATGGGCAGTGGGCATTTAGCCTACCAGCCGAGGTATGCCGAGCACAAGTCGCACGACTTGCCAGCTCTCAAGACAACCGCCACTAGCTGCCTTTAGACCGGGGCTGCCATCAGCTGCAGCATACAAAGCTTAAAAATATAATACATTAACATTATGCTTTCTGTAACTATGATAACAGCATTTTACAGCCCAATCACTCGTATAACGATAGTACTTAAATAATGAAGCGTCAACAAGCATTCATAGTGGTCTACAGATATACTATACGATGCGTCCACGGTATCGTCATTTTCCCCTGTTATACCAGGGTGCTACGCCAAGTTCGGGCAGTTTTTCTAAAAAATTACTGTAGGTCACCCACCAACAAAATTATAGTTACTCAATTTTTGTGTTATCACCGTATGTCTTACGCATCTTTTTTACTACGAGACGTCGCACTGGGGGCGTGGTCTGAATTACAGGTGGATTTAAACTAGAGCAGACCCGCATAAAAATTCGGCTCGACCCATGAATCGTGGTACACTTCCTCCCGTTTGAAATTTGTTTAATAATTCCGCTAATGCTATTGTCCAAAATTGATAATTTTGGGCTGTTTGCCATTCAAAGTTCTTAAAGAATACGTCTAATATCGATCTATTTGAACAAAGGATTCGTGACCCTTGCAGTATTACTACTGCCGTTGTGAAAATGAAGGACGGTGCCCTTTGTGGGTTCGCAGGACAACCACGAAATGTCGGATGCATTCGTCCCAGGTAGAATCTCGTTCGCTAAGCGTGAAACAATAAGCTTAGCGTTTTCTTTTTCACAAAAAGCCCACGACACCCCGTTTAAACACGTTTCAGCACCAACCAAAACTTTTTTTGGCCACAGCTTTGGTGGCTTTTTCGGCCAATCGTCCGCCAGTTCCACCTTACCGCCTAGGTAATAACTATCGTGTTGGACGCAAAAATCCTCTACTTTAGTCTACGCCCCATTCATGGAGAGCAATATCTCGAAGTTACCTAGGTCAGCGCGTTAGGCAACCGCATTTTTCCATAGACACCTTTTAACATACAGGTCTATGGGAGATGCACCTTGTTTCGAGGTCATCTCCAGCACCGATCCCGCCAATGTTATTTGTTTACCCAAATTACATACCTTTTGGGTCGCTCGACAGTTTATAAAAAAGTCTATGAAAAAAACTTTCTTGGGAAATATTTTAGAAGGGCAGGTATAACCGCTCTGAAAGTGTCTGCTACCTCATCCCCATATTAGCCGGTTGGCTGCTCGAGGTCACATTTAAAATTTCGAATTTTATCGTTTTTGATTTCCCAGTAAAAAGTTCTACTGGAAAAGTGCAAAACAAAAAATAAAACGGCGCGCACAAATGTTTTCGAATTTAATTTATGCAAGTGCCCGAACTTGGCGTAGCACCCCTGTACGTACCGGTATTCTGAGCTATTGAACGGACAGGGTATTTACTATATAGATATTTATGTACTGCGTGGCTACATTCAAATTGCTAAACTACTGATTACACCTACTTACAGTATTACTGTCGGCATTGCAGATGATCTACGGCATCATCCTACAGGAAGCCAAGTATCACGGCAGCGGAAGCGGTCAATGCCGAGAATCATCCATCGTGAAAAACTTGCAGACGAGATTCTGTGTTGATGTTCGTCACCAAGAATGCGAAGTGCACGCAGAGGATCCCGTTGAAGGATGCGGTAACCGGTCGCTGACAGTGGTCTATACTTGCGGATTGATACGTAAGTGAAATAATCGTTCTCAACGAGGACTGACAATATCCGAGCCTAAAATCTTCAAAATCTATGTGAGCACACTTAATTTCGCATAGAGGGGGTACTGATTATTTGCTCTGTATTTTCATACTGGCTGATAATTATCAGGACTCGGGAGTACCGAGTATGTATACAGGTGCAACTGACGGTAGCAAATTTGCAGAAAACTTAAGGGGCGCATATACGCATCCAGTAAACCTAAAAAAACATGAGTTGTGAGATGGCTCAAGTTGCTAGTCTTTTTCTGCAAGATGGTTGTTAGTATGACAGTGGATATTTTTTGCAGTTCCTTTGATTTCGAACTGATGCCTCGCGCGAAGCGCGAAGCCAACGATGCTTTTTGTCCAGGAAATACCAGAAATTCAATAAAATTAGGCTAATTATTCAGAAATGTTTCGGGTTTGTCAAATTTGTTGAATAAATAAAACTAGCGAAGCATTTTATGTAGCAAACAGATTCTTTTGCCCTGTATTAAATTTTGGTGTTTGAACATGGCCATGGGCTGGCTGCATTGATGACCTTACGCGAACATTCGGGAACGGTATCCGTATTCGTATTGGACCGGGTTTACTGGTCTTTCAAAAAGAAGAAGGAAACTAGAAGAAAAAAAAAGAAGCAAACTAGAATAACATCGAGCCTGATCGTTGTGGTCCACCAACATTGCAAGTGCTAGTACTAAAAGCTGTAAAACTATCGACCAGTAGAGAGATACTGTATATGCGCCGATACGCACCACGTTATCGGTTAACATTTACAGGGAGGTCTGGCAGTTGACACTGGACACGTTTTAACGTATCCACACTTACGGCGCTGCATATTTAAAATGCACATTGCTTTTGTGGTACGTAGTAATAATGCTGTTTCGTAGGCTAAATCTAAAAGCGGAACGAGAAAAAAAGTAGGTTAGTGATTTCGGAAACTATTAATAAATATAGTTATAACAAAGATCTCTGTTGTTTCCGTTACGCAAATGGCATTCCCTCTTTAACTGTATCTGTAAATGGACAATTAGATATTGCTGAAACAACCACTGGAATGCCGCATGTCTAGCCGGAAAGCTAATTCTCTTGAACGACTACGAGATCATCCCCGTGAAAATAGAAGCACACATTATTTGTCACAATCACAATGATACCGGTTTCTTGGTTTTCTTAGATGATCCACTGTTATTACTGTACAAGTGCTAAACAGCGCGTGTGATTTAAACAACAGGAGCACTACTGTGCATCGTGTAGGCTATGCAGCGTCAGAAGTGTAGTTACTATAAAACGTGCCCATTGGCACAACTCCCACTGAAAGATAACGTGACACGCATTGGTTTAAAGCGTTTTCCTGTTCGTTTGCGCAAATTTTTGCTCTTTTAAAAAATAAAAAAAAAACAACCTGAAGCCGATTAATTACACAGAAGGGGTGAGTATTGACAACTTTTAAGCACAAGTTCCAATCTAGGTGAGCACATGCACCTTTATGTGAGCACATTTTGTGCTATGTGAGCACAAGTTTTTAGGCCCTGCGAGGACAATAGTTAAGGAAGTCTCCATCTGGCATCTGATCTGCAGGAAGAAACAAAGGTAAACGTTGGATGATCACGGACAACGTGTTGGATGATTGATCTATTCTCTTGGTACTGGCATTGGCTGGAGTTCTGCTGATTCTGTTTATGATTTTCCAAGAAAAAGAGGCTCTTGCTTATATATATCGTCTGCTAATAAATTGCTGTTATTGATAGGCGGTAGTCATTACTGATGCATATACCCTCTAATTATGCGATTAACCTTTAATTATGCGGATTTGTGGCCCTGCGTGTGCTCGTTAAAGTGAAGGATTCTGCTAACTTAATGCCGAGCCAGATATCCTCGTTTAATAACAAGGAATCAAAATCGTGGCCACCATCAAAATAACTGGCACACTTTGGCCCCACGGGCCGTTAGTACGCTACATAATACAAGTTTTCGAAATATGTACTGTTCCGGCTTACAATCAGTACACCAGGCTGAGGATGGCATTTCGGTGTCAACAGCAGTACTTCTACTTGCAATGCTTTAAAAATTTTATTCAAAATAATCCAATTTATTAAAAGCGTCAGAACATTTAAAAACAGATGGTTATTTATTATTATTGAACTTTATGGTGTTATTACTGAAAGCCTTGACCATTGTGCAAACAACAACCACCTCCGTAGAATATCATGCAGAGAAGAGCCGGTGATCTCCCTCACCAGATTTGTTCCCATTTGAAATTCCCTCCTTTAGTGCCAGAAAAGAACTAAATTTTTGAACGTTTCGACAAATTAAGCAGGTTTTGCTGAAATGCGAAGATGGCAACCCGCTCTCCGCTGTAACGATCAGGGAATATAGGGTGCCTAAACCGGTCTGCATCTGGGGCTGTCCAAGCTGACCACCATCACGCTTTGTATTTCGAGTGACGAAGAGGAAGTTAACCGAAATGGAGACGGTCCCCACTGCGGCTAGGTATGTACCTAATACTCATAACGGTCCTCATACTCATAATCCTACTCCTAATTCAAAAATCATACTCATATTGGCTCTCATAATCATAATCATACTTTCGTCCTACCGGTCATCATACTTTTGTTCATAATTATAACTCATACCTCTGCCATTACTCATACTGCTCACTAGCGTGTCAAAATTAATATTACTAGTATAATATTCGATCAAAACCACGATAGTCTACTCAATCGTCCACTATCGTCCACTTGTAAAAATTATTTCATCCGAAACTGAAGCAGAAAATTAAATCACTTTATCGGAAAATTACTACACTACAAAATGAATTCAGTAAACTTAAACTGGATAATGAAAGCTAATTGATAAAAAACTGAGAATACGGACTGAGTACAAAACTTACCATTGTCCACTTTCGTCCATTTTTTAAACTGGTGTAAGTTGAAACGATACATCATACAAATATATGAAAACCATGTAACTGGGCTCACCACACAGATTCCAGCCTTCATGTTAGCGAAAGGTCGCGGTTAGCAACATCAAGCAGGAGAGGAAGCCGTAGAGTTACTGTTGCTTTATTAATAATTACGGTATTTATCAAGTAATATAATGCATTTGCACTGGTATGAGTAGTGGCAAAGGTATGAGTTATGATTATGAATAAAAGTATGATGACCGGTAGGACAAAAGTATGATTATGATTATGAGAGCCGATATGGATATGAAATCTGAATTAGGAGTAGGATTATGAGGATGAGGACCGTTATGAGTATTAGGTACATACCTAGCCCCCCCACTGCTCCTCCTTGTGACGCATGTACATGGATGTACTTGTACTCTGGTCAGCCTTATAAGGCAGAAAATCATATTCCTTAATACAGAAATGCTGTCTAAACTGTACTGCTTGTAAATGATTTCTTGGTGAATTCTTGTGATTTGAGTGATTTGATTTATTGTCTCATGCAGCGGGACAGATGTCCCCTCTGGGCACTTGACACAATTATAGACACAATTTAACTCTTCAAAAGGTAGCCCAAAAATTATAGAAGTATCAGACAAAAACAAACCAAATGTAAAAAATAAAGACAATCAACTAATAATTTTACACAGAAAATGCTGGAAACCACAATGTCGAATCAGTTCTTCAGTAGCTTAGTATTACAAAAACGTTTAACAAAGTCCAGGTTGCTCCAGTTGACGGTATCCAGTGCACTCCTAAACATATTGACCGAGGCGTAACTTTCTTTGTCCAGGGGAATTTCATTCCATAATAGCGCTAAGCGACTTGAGAGAGAGTCCGGGGAGGAAGGCAGAGTGTTCCCGCACAATGTTGTTGGTGCCGCCATAATGGGGAAGGGATGTGTACATAGCCGCCTGGCTGAACGAGTATTACCTGAAACACAAGAAACAGCGGCAGCAGCTTGCTCATATGGTAAGAAAAACCGTTTTCCCAGCGGGATGCGGTTGAAAACAAGTTTGTACGTAAACACAAGGCTCCGTTTCAACCTGCGCAATTCAAAGCAGTCCCAATTTAACTCCTTTAACCGTTCTCTGTAACTGCTGCTACCGGGATTAAGAGAGTCCAGAAAGCGCTCCAAACAACGTTCTAACTTATCTCTGCAGGTTTTATTCGCTGGTGCTACATAAGGGCTGCAATAGTCAAACGATGTAAACACCAAAGATTTAAACACCAAAGATTCTTCACTTTTATTCTTGTTGAGTGGGTATAAATGAACAATATTATAGTTATTACGGTACTGGAAGGTCTTACTCTTAACCATACGGACATCGGGCTGTTCGATTTTGGCAGGACAAGTCCTCTAAAACAATTGCTGAAGCAAAGATTTTGCTGCAAAATCGCTAATTGACTCACTGAGTGATCGAGCTACCACCATTATCCAGTGCTCAAAATCGCTGCGTGAATGAGTAACCGGGCTATTCGTTCCTTCTGGCCGTGGATCACAAGAAACGCGGAGGCAAAGCCGCAGCTGATTCTTGTAGTTATTATGGTCATTGTTATACCTGTTATAGTCATATTATAGTTATTACTTATAATTATAGTTGTTGTGTACTTACTGTAACTGGTTTTTAATGTATCAGTTAGATTATAATTCTCTTTCTGTTTTTCTCGCTGACATAACATTACCATAAATTACTGTATTAGCGGCCGTAGCAGTATTTCGTGGTCACTTCCGTGATGAATGTTAAGAGTGGAGCATGCACAAGTACTCTACTATGAAGGATATCTGCCCGACGCTGCCGAGCAAGCGAAGCGGTTAAAGCTCCATAAGCGCTCAGGACCGTTGCAGAAACTGAAACGTTGGTGAAAAAGGCTAACGACTAGGACAGCACCGCATTCTTTCGTGCTAATGGAACGAGCGAACAGTTCAACGACAAACGACCTTTAAACACCAAACACTCTACAAACATCTGAAGTTTGAAATTCCGGGACATCAGCAAAGAAGTACAGTAATATAGCATACTTCAATAAACTTATTATAGTACTCGTACCGGAGCCGTACGTATAATCGTATATGTTCCGCTGTGGTCCGCTTTCATAGTTTTTGCTTGTCAAATTATTCCTTTGAGACTTTTTTGTGGCTAATTTCGTATTCAGGAATCAGTACTATCCGAAAGTGAATACGTGGATTTGCATAGGGCTGGTGGACTCGATGAAACTGGAAGTTTCCTATGGCATACGCGACTTTTGTACCGACTACGCCTATAGACGTTTGCCCATATTGCCCGGGAGTCCAGATAAGGGAGAGTAAGCTAAGGGGAGGCCATATAAGGCATTGGTCGAAGTATACATATACACACTAATACACATGTATGTACATATATGTATGTACCTCGTATATTTATATATATAAAATTTACGTATGTAATTCAGAAAAACTGACGCGAAAATTCGGATTATCGTATCTATCTCTTGGTACGAGTGAATGGAATGATGTCATGATGACCTCGCACAGCGAGTGTTAGTGCATTTCCTGTCACAGCTTGACAGTTGTGTTGTGCAGTAATTTAATTCTTTTGACAGCTTGACATTTCTTTTTGCTACACAACTTTGAAAAAACACACGGGAAACTAAAAGCGGTTACAGGCACATGCTCATTTATTATGCACATAAATATATTAAATTTAAGCGACATTATTCTGAAGGTAGGCACGGCAGAAGCCTACTTTCGACCGGCGGTAAACCCCAAGAAATTTTGTTCTGCTAAAACCGTTCTAAACGGGAAGTTTAACAATGATTTTGCACAAGTAGTTTCTGTTCGTTGATCAGCAGAGTGACAAAACAGCAAGCATGCCAAACGGCAGGTAAGATTGTTCAGAAAGAGGAGCATTAATTATTGTCATTCCGTTTGGTGAAAAAATTTGCAAAACAGCCGGGGATTCATGACAGCGTCCGTACTAAAGAAAGCAGGTTTATACGACACAGAAAATCATCTATCATATTTAACTGCAGAAGGCCAGTAATTTGTGCACATAATTACCGTCGTCCATTGTTTAATTCTCCCACGGAATTGCCATTTTGGGGTATATAAGTTCTAGCACGACGCCATAAGTACTGGTAATTGTAATTTGTATTGATCAGGAATATCGTTGTGCGTTTTGTGTTGTGCAGCCACTGCTTACGCTAGTTGCAAGAGTGATGCTTGAAGTTGTCAAGAATGGCTAGTCCTGCTGTTCTAATAAATGTGATTTTATGTACGCTCTTTGCCGGTTATGATGCAAGTACTTACTAGTCCTACAGCTTGCGTACCGCTAATACGGATACTTCTTTAATCAACTCTACCAAGACACTGCCAGCGCTGACCTGTTGTCTAACATTCTGTATTTGTATTTCAGTCGGCCAACATTCCGGACTCCAGTACTGACCATCCGAAAACAGGGCCCGCGTCCAGTGGAAGCGATGTGCAGCGTGTCACCATAAAGAACGGAGAGTCCTATACGATGCGATGTATTGACCCCAACCCCGTACCCCCGGCCGCATCGGATTTCCGCCGAAGCCGTACGGCAGATGACGATGTACGTACTTAAATTACAGTATACGACACATGGCACCGGCATTTTCTCTTAATAATTATATTCTGCGATTATAAGCGTGCCTCGGTTAATTAATATGAACGTGGTTAAGCAACGTCAATTGCATTTACACGATTACTAATTAGTGTTGGCATTGCAGATGATCTACGGCATCATCCTACAGGAAGCCAAGTATCACGGCAGCGGAAGCGGTGCATGCCGAGAATCATCCATTGTGAAAAACTTGAAAACAAAATTCTGTGTTGCTGTTCGTCAGCAAGAATGCAAACTGGACGCAAAAGATCCCGTTGAAGGGTGCGGCAATCGCCCGCTGACACTGGTCTTCACTTGCAGAATGACGCGTAATACAACACTTCTTTATCGTTTTTAACGAGTACAGTTAAGGCATTTCCCCGCTGTCATTTGTTTGCAGGAAGAATTCAAGGCAAGCGTGGCATGATCGTGAACAACATGCTGGATGATTAACTTTTCTTTTAATTATAATGGTATCGGCTGAAGTAGCCCCGATTAGGTTTGCGGCTTATCAAAAAAAGGCTCTTGCGTACTGTATTATTTTTTACCGGTAGGTATTACTCGTGCAGACACGCCTCTGATTATGTGATTATTCTTGGGTCACTGATGAGCCTCCGTGTTCTCGGTAAAGTAAACGATTATGCTACCTAAATTCGGAGTCAGATCTCCTCGTACATAATACAGTAGCTTTTCAATAAAGAACCCAGTCGTGGTCACCATCGAAATACAGTACAGTTATTGACATGGTATGGGTCAACAGTCAGCTTCTTACGCTACATAATTAAAGTTTCAGAAATCAGTACCGGCTTACAGTCAGTACATCAGGCTGAGCATATCAGTTCCTTGTGAGTACAAGCAATTTCACTGCTTTATAAAAATATAATAATTACAAGGGTCAATAAGGGATCGCTAAAAATAAATGTCAAATTTAAGCTTGTATCGCAGTGACGCACCGTGTATATACCAAACTTGCGTTACCGTACGAATATATCATTAACCAGTATACAGGATATATTCTACCAACTGAAGTAAGTATGCAAGGTAAGTTTAATCCAAAAAGCAATATCATGCTAGAAAACTAATTATTGTTCTGATGTTCGAAATAGAAAAATAATATTTCGTACATACGTAGTTACATACCTACAAAGTCATTTCCTCAATCGTGTACAATTATTAATTGCACTTCAGAAAAAGCTCGTGTGAGGTTAGGAGTTAATTATAGATATGAAGTTCGTGGTAAATGGACTGATGCTATGATGAGAACTCGTAAAGCGCATTCGTTAGTGCTTTTCTTTTCCAGTGACAGCTTTACAGTTATGTTGTACAGCAGTTTATTTCTTTAGTCAGGTTGGCATTTCCTTTTCTTTATCACGTTGAAGAAAGTATCCGTACACGGGAAACTGAAAGCGGGGTACGCATGCTATTTATTTTGCACAAATAGATATTTTCATTAATTCAGACGATATTATTTTGTCGACAGGCACGGGTAGAAACCCATTTTCGATCACCGGCAAACGCCAAGAAACTTTGATTTGTTCTGCTAAGACCGTTCGAACCAGGAAGTAAGACCAATGATTTTGCACAAGTAGCTTCTGTATGTATATTAAACAGTATAGTGCCAAAATAAAAATCGTACAGGTACACTGCAGACAAGCCGAACGGCAAACAACAGCTCTCATAAAAAGATCATATACCAAATTTTATTCGGCACGAAACCAGTTATTTGTGCACATAATTAGTCGGTTGTTTTCCCCCAGAGAACGTTTTGTATATAGATCCTTGCACCATGCCGTAAGTAATTGTGATCGTAACTGACCAAGAACAGATTGTGCGCTTAAGCTTGTCCAGCCACTGTTTAATAGCAACCCTCAAGCTTCAAATTGTCAAGAATGGCGCGCCTTGTTGTTATAACTGAGATTGTTTGCATATTCTTTGCGAGCCATGGTGTAAGTCCTGCAGTTTGTGTAGCTTTGTTTGTGTTGGCAGGATTACCAAGATACTGTCAGTGTGAGCCTAATGTCTTTAATAAAAACATTGTGCATTCGTATTTTAGGCGGCTGGCATTTTGGGCTCCAGTACTAGCTCTCCAAACACAAGTAAGGCATCCAGTGGAGGTGATGTGCAGCGTGTCACCATAAAGAGCGGAGAGTCTTACAGGATGCGGTGTATTGACGCAAATTCTGCACCTCCAGCTGCATCCGATGTTCGTCGACGCCGCGCAACGGATGATGTACGTAGTACTATGTACCCTGATCCAGTTGCGACCGATTAAAACAAATTTAAGATAATACATCAGTCTGTATTGACTGTACATAACTACAGTTCCAACCAAAAATTTTTAGGGTAATAATTTAAGCATTGTCGAGCATCCATATTGCTTCATAGTTTATACATATACGACGCACGGCACCGGCAACTGCTCCTGATATGCTGTATTTCGAGCTTAAGAATGGACCAGTTTATATAATGGGAACCGTTATAGGCACCCCCTAAAACCCCCGTTTATTATAGGCACCCCTTTTCACACCCCGTTTATTATAGGCACCCTTTTTAAATTAATGATATATGTAACATATTCAGTATTCTCAGATAGTAATGCAGTTTTATTCGGATAATAGTACAATAACTTTATCGGGCGTCGAGTTAAGTACATCAAGCTTTCCAGCCTATAATAGGATGATTAGGCAAATCAGCCAGCCTAGAGCGAATCAGTTATGCGTCTTCTACTGTGACCAGAAGGTCATCTTTCGCGGTAGTTAGCTCCTTCATTGGCTTCCTTCCAATCCCTTGAGGACACCGTGTGATTTTCTCAGCCTGTAACACTTCTGCCAACCATTCCCTTTGAGCTGAGGCTTTTATGAATACAAGTGTTTGCGGGCGATGCTCCAGAGATCAGTTCAGCAGTGTAGGAACACACCATAGGGCCGCACTGATTGGACCCCATTAACTGAAGCTGGACAATTGGAAACTACGGTGACCGGATTCTGTTCGCCATCGTACAGCATGGACAGCTGCAGTTGGACGTGCTGCGACAACGTAGAATTCATGCTGTTATATAAGCGAACTGTATTCTCGGATGGCCTTTTGTTGCGACAGTACAAAATGGTTCAAGCCATACTTCTACAGCGCCAAAGCCCTTCTTTTCGTATTCTCTGTGGCGCACGCATTCGTAGAAAATCTTTCTGTACGTAAGGGACGGCTCCAGAGCTTCTCCGGTCTTGAACTTTTAGGACCGTCGTATTGTGAATGTTTGGAAAGTCGCTTCCTGGTATGTCTTAAAGTCTTTCTCGAATTCTTCAAAAGAAGGGTATTCGTCCTTCAGGTCAGCGACATTTTCGAGGGATGGGAATACCGAATCTGTGATCATGGCTTCCGATGGCCCCGGCGCCGGAGGGCTGTTTGAACCCGCCATGATATGATATTTGCAAATTGCCGGTATTGGGAACAAAGTTATTGATACATTTATGTAATATATGAATGTATATTAACCCTGTTATATGGACCTTTTGTCCATAGGAAGCTTTTACGGTCATAGTAACAATATAAAACAATAATAACAATTTTTTGGAAAATGTAAGTAATATTCCGTTCACATAATTATTTGCCATATATTAATTCAAAATGGGTGCCTATAATAAACGGGGTGCGAAAAGGGGTGCCTATAATATACGGGGGTTTTAGGGGCTGCCTATAAGGGTACCCTATAAGGGTACCCCTATATAATACGGACATAAGGGTACCCTTATATAATACGGACATGATTAAGCAACGCTTAGAGTTACACCATCTCTAATTAGTATTCCGTATACCGCCATTGCAGATGATCTACGGCATCATCCTACAGGAAGCCAAGTATCGCGGCAGCGGGAGCGATCGATGCCGGGAATCATCCATTGTGAAAAACTTGAAAACAAAATTCTGCACTGGTGTTCGCCAGCAAGAATGCAGAGTGGACGCAGAGGATCCCCTTGAAGGATGCGGTAATCGGCCTCTGACAGTGGTCTATACTTGCGGAATGATACGTAAGTAGCAATCACTCTCAACGAGGACAATCAGGAAATTTTCCTTCTTGCTTTTTATCTACAGGCAGAATCCCAGGCCGCAAACGTGGCATGCTCGTGAACAACATGCTGGATGATTAATTTTTCTTTCATTACCGGTAGATAGTAATACTTCAAAGTACTGGAGTTGCGCAGATTTTGGTTGTAGAGTTTACCATTAGAAAGGTTCTTGCACATTGTTTGCTATAGGAATCAATTATTAGTGGTAGGCGGCAGTCATAACTCGTGCTTATACCCCTGTAATTATGTGATTATTCTCTATGGATTGGTGACCCTGCGGGTTCTCGATGAAGTAAAGGATTTTGCTACCTAAATGCCAAATCTAGTCTCCTCATACTTACTGTACATGTAGTAGCTAGCTTAACCTACGGGCTCCGTCGACTGGACTACGGTTCAGCGAAAAATGGGTCGTGCTAGACAGACTGCAACGGAAGCGTTTGGATCTAATCACCAGGGACACGCCCACGGAGCGAGATAGCAACATGAATAAATGGACGATATTTCAAGTTCAAACATGGAGTAACGGTTCATGCATGTATTTTTTATCAGTTTTTTTGTGGCGAGATGTTTTCTAATTCTTGTTTTTTTGTTGGTTGAAATGCTTGCTTGCTTGCTTGTATGTAGTTTGTTTTCTGTGGAAAAATTATGATGACTATTGACTAATGATTAGTCAATAGTCATCGTCACTAATGTCTTTTGCGATTTATTTCGCTGTTATTGTAACAAAGCCTCGTCGTCTAGCGAACAGTGGTTTCCTGTGCGAAATCTCCTCAGTGTAAGAACTGTCCTTTACTCAACCACCCTGTCAGATGCGAAGCAATAATCACGATGCACTTTGCGGACGCTTAGCTTTCTCAATAAGTTCAACGCAGCAGTCAGCATGTCAAAATCTCGTGTCATGGTGCGGCACTAGAAATTCACGCCTACACCCACCCAGTCCTGTGGCGTGGTGATGACGTCACAGCCCTCCTCTGCTGGCGCCTGCGCTTTATCTTGGTAGTAAACATAGTTTCTCTTCAATCACAATCACAGAGGCCCGTCCTCCTTCCCGCGCAGGGCGGTTTGCTTGCCATCCAACTGCAGCAAGTCACAGATATTGGCATCCACCCGCATGCCATTGCACGTGGGGATCAGTCCACAGAAGGCCGCACACTGATCCATCCCGAACCATAGATTCCAGAAACTGGCGAGGGTGTTGTTGCCCTGACTGGTCAGAGAGTGGCTGGTGCGGTAGCTGAAGTCGATGCCACGGACGTTCAGCTGTATAGACACCGTCGGCTCGTCCCGGAAGTCGTCGACGAGCAGTGGCTGGCAAGAAGCGCCATTGGCGGCCGTGGCGCAGTGGCCTGTCTGGTTGTACACAGCCACCAGACAGGTGGTCGGGTGGCAACCGGCGAAACAATCAGTCTGGTTGACGGTGGTATTGGACTATTGGTGAATGTCAGGCTAGGCACGCACTCCACGGTGAAACGATCGTAAACGCGGGTAATTCCTATAAATAACAAAGAAGCAATGTGAAGAAATGAAGTATCATATTAATAATCTGCCTGAGCACATTACCGTACTTCAACCAATGTTCTGTTTCCCGGCTGACAGATGGAAATTTAATTCTGGAAAACCCCCGCATTTTTGCTGCGCATCGCAGTGACCACACCATACCGCTGTACATTCACGATTCGCTTGTGGCGCAAACCGCACAAGTATGGTCAACTACATAAACAATTATTCTGTGACCTACCGATATCCGCGCTGCTCCATGCCCCAGCAGACAGCAACACGCAAATAATAATTAAGATTCTCGACATTTTCTTCAGAGCAAGCGCTATATTCGTATGGTTATGACACAGAGTATCTGTCGCATTACACAACGCTCTGTAGTGCCTTCTCGAATAATGGCAGGTGTTTGTTTTTCTTAAATTTCGTTTGTTAACAACTTAACATTGTGTAAACCTGATTTTACGATGTCCTCGGGCACTATTGTTACACCTTCTGAGCAACCAGCATTACAAGACAAATGCTCTTCATATGATAAGCCGGTTTGTTTGTGTGAAACCAGAGAAAAGTTACAGCCGCTCGATACTGTACCTTTTTGATTGCATTGCAATTGCAGGCATGCAGTGAAACAAGCCTGGATCCCTATACCGCCCTTCCTGATACATTCCATTCCGTACGTTCTAATAAGCTGAAAAAATAATTTCTAAAGCGTTTATTTAAAATATCGAAAAAAATAAAAACATTACATGGGGGCAGTATTAGTTAATGCTGCTGGTGCTGGTAGTGGTACTGCTACTGTTAATAGTGGCAGCGATAATGTTATATACTGGTGGTGGTACTGGTTGTGGCAGCAATATCATGTCATGGTACTGGCACAGATGGTGGCAGCAGTTATGATACTGACGCCGGAAGTATTGTCACCGGAAATCACTGGGGATTCGCATAATGGATGCTTAAACCGCACCTTAATCGGAAGTAAATTTTCTGATAACCACTTTCAAAAATAAATATCCCCCCTTCACGAGCGGTTTTCTTGTAACTGTAATGAGAAGTACAGCTCGTCAACATTTCATAAGTTTTGCGCCGCATGCTTTGAATATTCAGCTGCTAACAGTGGTGGTATCGCGCACTGAGGATGTCAGTGCCACAGAAAAATATAGAAAAGCGAGTCAGATAACTTACTAGTGCTAGATCATAATTTTTTTTCACGAAACCAAATCGGATGAATCATGGTGGATTCCTGCATTTCATGTTCCACTCCGTGACTACTATTTTTTAAACCATTGGGAAAATGGTCAGTTGTGACGCTAAAAATGCCGAGATAACGGCCGGTATAGTGAAGCCAGCGGAACGTAACGACGAAGGACGGGATGACGCTAGTATTGTATCTGTGTATCCCATCTAATCATTCTAATGCAATACGGTACAGAAATAATTGGGCAGCAAGGTACAGTACACACAGTACCGACCGCAGCAACTGATATTGCCGATTAACTACAAGTACTACTGCCGCTGCGTGCTGATTACAAAACTGATGGAATCGGATGCACATTTACATACGTAGCCGAACAAGTAAGCACTTCCGCTCATTGTCAGGCGTTGTATAAGCCACATCTTTTGTTTTCATTTTCTAGCTTACAATAATTTAGGTTAAACGTTGGCGCGGCACGATCACCTGGTATGTAAGCGTGATCACCTAGTATGTAAGGTATGTGAGCCGTGAGCGTATACAGAGTACAGTGTCGAAGAAATTGATTTTTCCCCAAAACTGCATAAACTGATGACGAAATCGAACATGAGAATTTCACAATAAATCTACGGTGCCCAGAATAGTAAATTTTTTCCCAAACAGCATTCACCGGTGAGATGGAATGTCAGGAGTCCATACTTGCTAGTTGCTACCGCCTAGAAGATTTCCGTAATTGTTTTGTTACTTGCATGAATACTTGCCAACTGCCTAAAGGTTACAGCCGTAATTTTTTCTGACTCGCGTAATTAGCGTAATTAGCTTGGGCCTTGGAGTGTAACAGTAAATAGTAAATACCATAATTCTGCACCGTACAGACATTAGGTATATGTAATCAGTCGCGGACAATTATGCAGTTCATGACTCACAACATTTCCATCGGACTCAAATGCAGTAGGAACGCCGGCGCACATCCACTTGGATCCTTCCGATTCACCAGGCATGTATATAATGGCACCGCAATTTTCTTTAGCCGTTCTGCCCACAATATCATCTCTTACCCGAATTGGAAGCAGTCTGGAATACAGAGAAATAATATGCCGATCAAATAAAATGAATTCCCTTTTGAGATAGCATTAAACATAAGCGCTGACCAAAATGAAGAGGTCTGCACAGTCTTGGCCTGCACAGCTGCAGTCTTGGCCTGCACAGCTACCGAACGGCCAATAAATCTAAAACTTTTCTGTACCCCTTTTCTCGCTATTTTCTTTGCTTTTTCCTTGCCAAAGTATGAGTTTTTTTACTTGAACGCGGCGCTCTTAATTAGAGCTTGCCCATCGGGTAATGGAGATTCATTATGGAAGCATATCTTCTGCATCTTCCTTTTTTTCCTGCAATTTTTGGAGCAGGCTGCTGGATATACGACGCTTCGCTGTTGGAATAACGGTCGACCGTTGGATATCTGGCCCACCATGAAGCAGAAGCATCTGGCTGTTTTCTCTACTTTGGACGTTAACAACATCCGGTAAGCCAAGACTCCTGGATTTGGCATCATCCAGAAATTACACGCAGCATCGTTTTCCACCTTCTGCGTTTTGCACACGACGCGGTGCCTCATCCATGCTGCCGTGTGCCTCACATCGAGGAGGAGAGGCCTCTCATTCCATCAAAGACTGTCCAATTGCCATTCGCCATCGGCATTTGGAGTGGGCGGAGTTGTCCAATCAGCTTTTGCTACTTCATTCTTTTTTAGGCCCCTTTGTGATGTGCAGGTCGGCTTGCCCTTTTTGCGGCGCCAAAATGTTACCTTGTTGTCAGTTACGTAGCACTTTGTTTGATTGTTTTCGTGAAATTGTTGAACTACATGTATTGAAGATCTTGAATTGTACGGTGTACCAACCACAGGACAATAAAGGCTGAGACACAGACGGTTAATAAGACGGGGACTGAAATGAATAGGTTAAGATTGAATAGGATTTATGGCCAGACAGGAAAGCCTTTGTCCATACATCTGTCTCAGTCTTTTTCAGGCTGGTTTAGCTATCCAGTCGTTGAGTGCGGGCGACTTTGGCTTTGCTACTGACAAAATAATTAATATACAAATGTATTGTTGAAACGGGAACCGAGACGTCATTAAACGTTGGATGGGGCTTATCTGCTCAGCTTTCGGAGAATACTCGGCGCCGTTATTAAGACTGCCTACAAGTATTATCCAAATATTCACAGAAACTGGACTACGGATGACGCTGTATTATGAAGACATCTTTTCAGGCTGTACCTCGTTTTTCTTGGACTGCATTCAGACCAGGCATTTGACACTTGACAGTATGGTAGTACTGTAGCGGCGGTTTCAAGTTAGACCACAGAGTTCGTTTACCGTAAAAATGCACACCTATATACCTGCGCTGCACGGGCAAAATTCACGATGTAAAACACGTTTAATATTTTCTGATTTCAGGAGGCAAATTATTACGTATTTCGCTAGGGACTTTCCTTTTAAATTTTATTTCGTAAATTACTTTGGTAAACCGTTTTCAAAATCACAGGAATCATCAGAAGCGAGAATACTATCACTAAAGAAGCTTATCTCCATTTCACAGTCACTTTGATCACCGTTATCTTCCTCATCACCAGAGCTCTGAAAACCAACACCACTTTTTTCGCTTATATTTTCTTTATCATCAGAGCTCTGGAAGTCTTCATTGTCTTCACAGTCTTCTAACACCTGAGCTGCGTAAAACGAATTACGAACCACGTCGGCCGTGACATTCTGCCAGGCGCGCGAAATCATATTTAAAAAATCCTGGCGGCCTGGCTTTTTTAAGTAGCCAGACTTTGTCACTTCATTGTGTGACGCACGCCTTGCTTGGTACTCGCTCCGAAAAAAAGACTTCAAGGACTTGTTGACGCTGACATCCAGGGGCTGATAGTCGCCAGTCCGACCAGCTGGGATGAAAATCTGCTCGACATTCCGATCGCGTAACAGGAGCTCCGATGACACTTTCTTATGGACTGTTGCCTGGTCGCGCACAAGGACCTGTTTTTCCTTATCATCTGGAAAGGTATATTTAATCCAGTCGTTGTCCATTTGCTCGGTCCACCAGGTCGTATAAGAGCTCTCAAGAAAAATATTTCCGGGAATCTTCAGCTTTGACAGGATCCCATCAGAGAGTTCGCCGTTCTTCCCTCCCTTTAATACCACTACGGCAGGATACTTTCCTCCATCCGCACGAATTGTCAGAGATACAGTAATGCCTTCTTTCTCCCCAGGGGGATGCTTGACAGTCACCTGTAAAACCATCCATCGTCAACCCCAGTGCCAAACATAAAACACCCCCCTTCACCGTAGGGGCACCCCAAAAACCACAACAAACCAACAAGTTACTGTAAATCAGAGCTCTAAATTCGATTACTTGAAATGATTTCAGTCGTCAATAAAGCTTTAAAATACTGCACAAAAACTCACTTCATTGACTCCAAACGGTGTAAGTGTCTTCGGTTTGGGAGAAACAAGGCGGATCATCGTCTGGTCGAAGTTGAAGACACGGTCATTCGGCGTACCATCCAAAACAACAGAATTGTGCAATCGCAAAAAGTAATCCAGTTCATCGTCCTGTGTTTATTGAAATATATATTAGAGCTCTGACAACTTATAAAGACATTTATTTGTATTTACCAAATCTTGCTCTGTAAACACCGATTTTCGAGCATGACGTGTTGGTACGCGGTAGCGCAGGCACCGCTTCTTAAGAAACTCTGTCAACCATCCGCTTGATGCTTTGAAAGTCGGAGCTCCTTTCGCTCTTGCTAAATTCAGCGCTCTTTCTTTCAGCTCAAAGCGGGTCACAATTAGTCCCTTCTTTCGCTCAGCCATGACGAACTCGTACAAGTCGTCTTCGATGTCGCGATACTTTGGCTGCCTTCTGTGCTTCTGCTTTCTGGGTGGCGCGTTACTTTTCAGCCTTCTGAAATGCAGTTCCTGGCTGACTTTCAATTTTAAAATATTAACATTTTATTTAATCGAATGCTTACTTTTTCCAAAACATGAATGGTGCCCACGGAACTCCGATTTTCTTCGCATAGGCTCTGGCGCTGACATTAGACGCTGCATATCCCAACATAAAAGCCCGTATTTCTTCGTCCGTATACTTCTGCTGTCCACGGGCCATTTTGATCATCAGAGCTCTTACATTATACTAATAAATTTTTCAGGGCATAGAAAACTTTAATTAAACCTTGTCGTTACATGTTCAATCACAAAAATAAATTATTTTGGAAGTATTACAGTATTTCTGTAATTCACTCGTAAACACCGTGAGTTTTGCCCGTGCAGCGTAGGTATATACGTGTGCATTTTTACGGTAAACGAACTCTGTGGTCTAACTTGAAACCGCCGCTACAGTAGTTTCGTTCTCACATGCTGCTGATGAATCGAATGACTGATGTACCTGATACAATAACCTAACTCATACTAACAATGTAAAACTACTTTTCGGTAGTATTTCTGTCATCATCTTGGCAAGCGACTTATTCATTAATGATTAAATGGCGTGTCAAGATGATGAATGAAATATTTGAATCGACTGTGTTCTTATGTATTCTAATAATTCTATTACCTTATTAGATTTTACCGTACGGTACCGCTGCGCAAATTCAACCGCCTAAGAAAATAGTGGATAGAAAACGCGTCACAGGCAGTGCGGAATGTAAGAAACCGGCCAGCTTGAAGGACTATCGTAGCCATCCCATCCCTTCTTCTAGTCAGCCGGAAAACATTGGTGACCTTTCGCCCAGGAATCCAGGGTTGCCAGTAAATCGTAAGTTTCCCTTCTTCCGCGACCAATTATGTTGGCTGCGGCTGCTTCCTTTAAAAAAATGCACGCCTGCGCACAAATATCTTGGGCAAACATTATCATTCCAAATCGGTCAGGGTGTTATCCATAATTAACAACATAATTAAGTAACACTATAATTATAATAGGCAAATTAAAAAGCAGCACATCCATTACGACAATCGGGATGCTGCATTTCAGTGTGCAGGTCGAGTAGGACTTCCGCAATTGTTTTCCGAGTGAGCGCTGACTAAGAAATGGCACCTAGCAGAAATTTTTTCAGAAATTTTTTTTTAGGAATGCAGAAACAGGGAATTTTGGTGTTGTGAAATGTGGCGAGTTAATTTCCATAGTTTCAACCTTTTTATGCAAGCCGGCAGTTTCTCCAGTTTGACTACTCGTACATGCATTATGACGACTGATGGGAGTAGCATGATAATCCCATAACATAGTATCTGATTGTTAATAGAATATAGGTATCTGATTATTAACTCCGTGATCTAAATCGTGGAACATGACATTGTTTACTTTAATAAATTCTGGTACAATAGTAGTTTTTTGAAAGTTCATTTAAATCATCAAAAAGTGGAATGACAGCGAGTTAAATAGCAACATCTACAACAGTGGCGGTCAAATAACAGAAAAGGTTTCACATAAATTCGTCGCCGGTGGTGCCGGTAAAGCATGTTATATTCGCTTTACGTATAAAATAAGCGGCTCTGACCGATTTGTCTGTATAAAATGCAAAAATGTTCCATTCTACCAGCCGTTTTTGGGAAATATCTGTACACAGAAATAAAAATTAAAAGCTTGGACCAAATTATCCCTGCATGACATAAGCAGAAACTCGATGGGTTCGCCGTTGGCGACCTTCATGTGCGCAAGCCATCGGCTGGCATCACCAATAACATAAGAAAAACGCGGGCATGTCTCGCAGGATCTCTCATTCCGCGACGCGCAAACAATAGTCCGCTGGATTTTGCTCTGATCTATTATTGTCTTCCCTCTATTGTCTTGGAATGTGGAATCTACCTGTTGACCAGCGGATTGCCTGTCTCTTCTCTATATGCGATCGTTCTAGTTGCCCTGCTTTCCACCAATAGCCGCCCTGCTCCTTTCTTCGACGGCCTTCTTGGTTCCAGTCGCTTTCAGTGGAGAATGGCTTGGTTTCGTTGTGCCAAGGTGGATAAGGGACCTTGGTGGTGTATTTGCAAAGATGGTATATTAAATGTGTGTTACGTTTTGTGACTGGTATTAATTTTGTCTTTTGCACACGACACGGATTGGAATCTAAAAGCTGTTCAGTGGCTTTTGGATGTGAAATTTGTGAGGCCTTTCGTGTTATCGGAATTTACCCGCCTTCCCACCCTGCTGCATGTTATCAGCGACGTCGATATTTACCAAGCATTCACACAACGTTGTAACAATTTCTGATTAAAGGTCTGTCCGGTCCTACACTCGCACATCCTAAAGTTCATCAACTGACATACTGGCGGATGCCAACTCGATGAACTACCAGAAGACGATAGCGGTTAAGAACGGAGAAAATATCTAGTGGCTGAATATACAGGACACTGAAGGCGAGAACGCCCACGTCCACTTCAACTCCAGAAGGCCCACCACAAGTGGATCCACATGGTGACATGGGCAGTGCCTGGCCACTGCCCTTTTACTGGGATAACGGTGGGCCAGTGTGCCCTATCCGTTCAACCGCTGTCGCTTATACCTGCGTGTTGAAACGGAGGGTGGCATGTTTATTGTCGTCAGTTTCCCAAAAGACGAGCAGGTGACCCATACAATGGAGACCACGTTGGCCCAAATAATGCAGATGCTTTTAATCAGCCGGATTAATCTTCCGCCGATTAGATCACGAGACGCCCGCCCACAGGACGCCGGTTAGTAACCTGGCGCCATTGGCTTTTATATGATTATTTGTGACTTTTAGTATGGGTTGCTTGTCGTCTTTGCAGCGATGCTGAGCGGCCGTCTACGGGGATTGGCCGTTTGCCGCCGTGTCTGGCATGCACATCAAGACGAGCTAAGATGTCGCTCTGCAGACACTGTCTGCAAAGTCACATCTTGGCACATCTTGATGTGTATTCCTAGATAAGGACCAGTTTGGTTCTCATTTGGGAGTGTACATCAAGATGTGCCTCGGCATCTCACCTATGACTGTTGCCTGATGATGGTCATTACTGCGACAGGGTATGTCAGTTGTGGCAGGAGCTGATCAGCGACTCCCGCATGGGGAGCATGTCAGCGAGATGCTGACATGTTCCGCCATGCGGGCGTCGCGGCTTCAAAAGCTGCTGAAAATTCAATCGGCCAGACAACTGCTAACCAAGCGGTCATTCTCATGAGCCCTCTATCGCTTCCGCCACCCTCAGTGTGACTTTGCTGCCAATCCTCGGAGGACTGGATACAAGGTCACACTCAGGGTGGCGGGAGGGAGGAGTCCGCACCAATTCCAAACCGGTCGACATTGCCCGACGATCCCAACCGGGTTTCTCCCCGCACCCGGCAGCGTACTCTGCAATGCAGTGCGTACTCTCTGGACAGCTGTGTGGCACCATTCTCCTGATCAACTGGACCGTGCGTGACCATTTTGGCAGGGCGATGTTTTACGCCTTTAAGTTCGCTTCTACCGTCATGTGCCGAGCCAGTTCCTGCCCGCGAGCAGAAGCTGTTGCAGCACCTAAGGTCAAAATCGTGCTCGCGAGATATTGACCAGCTGCGCGCCACCATTCCGCCGCGGCTTCTGAAATGCAGCGAAGGCCGGGAGCGGATGTGCGCGCGCGCGCTACATGCATTCGCTGAACGTCCATTTTCGGCCGGACATGATGGCAAAGGCCACGGTGGGGCACGCGAGCTGGATGCGTTCTGATGCATCCTGAAGAGTGCAAATCTGATCGCACCCTGTGGGCATCCAATACACCGTGCAGCAACCCATTGGTGGCGCCAGAAATTTAACTTTCATCTGTCTGTGTCGTAGATTTAGCGGGTTTGACGCGGATCTCGAGGGGAGTCTGCAGGCCCCCTTCCACGTCAAACCCGCTAAACCAACATGCATGTTCATGGGGGACGATGTGGACTTGCGCCTGCTGAATTTGTCCACACTCAGCCATATATGGCCGGCCGTCTACGGTATCAACGCACACTTCCGTGTCTGAGACGCTAAACCCGACCTTTTGACACCCGGATGTTATTCGTGCTATTATTATACTGTAGTTATCCCGCCGTTTAGTGAGTGACGGATTCGAAGGTGAAAGAAACAACTGAGCTCAGTACAGGCTTAACGATCACCTGCCAACCCCTGGGCTGCTGCAACAGTCCTTCTGCCTATAGCTGGCGGCAGGAGATTCGAGGCTCAATAAAACCGATTCGTGATTGCATCCGATTGCGCGCTTACTGGTTTTTGTCCTTGTTGGTTGAAATGCTTGATAGTAATTTTTTCCTTTTGGTAAAATAATGATTGTTCGTATCTTTTTCGGTTTTTCGGCTGTTAATGTTTTTTTGTCTCCCCGTTCAGCAGGCAACCGAGCAAGGGTTTCCTATGCGAAATGTCCTCAAGAACTGACCTTTATTCAGCGAACCTATGTATCAGATGGATGCGAACAATAATCACGATGCACTTAACGAACGCATGCCTTTGTCGTAAAGATCAACAGCAGTCAGCAAGTCAAAATCTCATGCGGCGCGTCACGAGAGTTTGACGCTTACATCCAGTCTTGTGGCGTGGTGATGACGTCACACCCCTCCTCCATTGGTGCCTGTGTTTTATCTTGGTAGTAAACATAGTTCCTCACCGAGCACAGAGGACCATCTTCCCGTCCGCGCATGGCAGTTTGCTTGCCGTCAAAATGCAGCAGGTCGCAGATCTGCGCATCCACCCGCATGCCGTTACACGTCGGGAACAGTCCGCAGAAGACCGCACATTGCTCCCTTCCCATCCAGAGATGCCATAAACCATCGAGCGTGTTGAGTGTGTTGTTGCCCTGGCTGGTCAGGGCGTGGCTAGTGCGGTAGCTGAAATCGATGGCACGGACGTTCAACTGCATAAACACCGTCGGTTGGTCAGCGTTCTCGTCGACGCGCACTGGCTGGCAGAGGGCGCCATTGGCGACCGTGGCGCAGTGGCCCGTGGTCAAGTTGTACACAGCCACCAGGCACGTTGCCGGTGGGCAACCGGCAAAACAATCAGTCTGGTTGACGGCGGTGTTGCTGAATGTCAGGCTAGGCACGCACTCCACAGTGAAACGATCGTAAACGCGCGTAATTCCTACAGATAGCAGAAAATCACTGTAAATTAAAATATAATCATCATCAAGTAATTTGCATTATTACATTGCCGTACTTTCAGTCAACGAATGTTCTATTTTCCGGCAGACCGGTGAAAACTTAATTCTAAATAAACTACACCTTTTTACAGCCCACCACAGTGACCAGCTGTACATTTACGACTCGCATGTGGCACAAATCGTACGGCCATATGGGCAAGGACATACATGTATGTGCAGAGTAGTTCTACAAATACAAAGTACTAGAAGAACTTACCGATATCCGCGTTGCTCCATGTCACAACAGGCAGCAACACGCAAAGATTAAAGATCCGTGACATCTAACAAGCGGTTTGTTGTTATGTTTAACTTTATGGCAGTAATTATTGCAGCAGTGCCATCTCGAATAATAACGCTAGTAACTGTTAGTTCCTTATCGCGCCTGTTAATAATCTTCTGTAAGCAAACCTGATTTTACGACGCCTTCGAGCAATATTGCTGCACCTTTTGCGCAACCGACATTACAAGGCAGATTTTGATTAACTAAAGAGCCGGTTTTTTTTGTACAAAGCCGGAAAAAAGTTTCAGCAGCTCAATTTTGCATTTAATGATTGCGCCCTTGCAGTGAACCAGCCCTCCTTTTTCACCGACTTTCTTTTTATTATTATCAGCCTAATTACCGGCCTGAGAAACTGGGATAGTGCACAGAACGAATCAAAACTGCTGTGTCACGCGCGTTTTGTGGTAAAAATATAAACCGTACTTTGATGCGGTGCCTCCGAAGCAAAAGCTCACGGTGACCAGGATAACGTTGCGAAGGAAGTCTTACGTCTGAAATAATTTATCCCAAACTGTTAATCAACCAGACAATTGTTAAAAAAAAACCCAGAAAACACCCGAATCGATTACAAACAACAAAAGCCCTTTAGACACCTTACGTTTTAGAGGATACTGCCCCTTTCCCAGGTTGTCAGGTCAACTGTCAAACTGTTGTAAATTTGGGCTGATTTCATGGAAAAATGTGTTACAATGGACGACAAAATTTACTTAACCTCGAAACCGGTTTTGCGGCTTTAGCTTTGTTTGTCGTGAACTCTCGCTCGCATATTTATTGACTGATTTTGTGTCAGTTATCGATACATGTAAACCGATGGTCAAGGCAAGATCTATATTACAACGGAAAACCCTGTACGATCTGGTCAGAACAAACCAAAAAATTGATACCGCCATTCGATTCCGCATGTCTGGAAACTGTGTCACATGCATTTTGTTTTAAAAATTATTCGCTCCGGCTCCCGTGCCCGGTGCCGGTAGAGCTGAAAGCTCAAGGTGACCTTGAAAATAATTTCAAAGTCCGGTTGCATGGAGAAAAATCAGTAAATTTAAACTGGTACCTTTTTAGATCAGCAAATAAAAAATATTTAAAATTTTACTCCTATAAAACTAGAAAACCAATAATATTAGCAGTAACACAAACGATGCTGCTAGTGGATGGCTTCGTTTCAATAAATCGTTAACATGACAATTTAAAGCGCTCAAAAACATGACTAAAGAATAAGAACGCTCGTTAAAAGCCACTTGAAGGCAGCTGTAAAAGAAGCTGACCATCGCAATCGTTCAAACGGGCTGACCTTTCACTGCAGTCCGAGCAAAACTAAGGACAGTAATTAATTAATCAGCATATACAGTCCGTAAATTATTCCGTATAATACGGAATATAATACGGTATCTACATTCGAGATCTCTGATATTACAAAAAAAGGGATACACGAACCCAGCTTTCCCCTGTAGAATGAGCAAAAACCGTTTCCATCATCTGAGCACAGTCCAGAGCACGCAGCCCGCTAGGTGAACGAACTACCGCTGCTGTCCAGAGCACACGTTCACGCGGGCTGTGTGTGAACGAGTGACACTTCGGTCACCGCGGCTGTCCAGAGCACACAGCCCGCTAGGTGAACAAGTGACCGAATTACCACTGCTGTCCAGAGCACACGCCACACGGCCCGCTAGGTGAACGAGTGACCGAACTACCACTAGCATCTACTGCAAGCGTTCTTTACGTTGAAATTTTCTACCTCGTAGACTCAGAGTCGGGATGGAAAAGTTAACATAGATTCCTTTCTGAGTCAATGGGAATGCGTCAAGTCAATGTAAATGAGTGCACAAAAGCCGTAAATTCACTTATTATCCTATCTACGTTTTGGCGCTAATTTCGGACCGTTTTGTTTTGCTGAAGGAATAAGATGTTAACTAAACAGCTGATCGAAATCATTTGAATAAACCGGCCGTAGACTGGGGACCACAAGAAACGCGGAGGCAAAGCCGAGGCTGTTTCTTGCAATTACTAGTACAAAGTCATGGGTTACCAGGACACCACACCTCCCGGCAATGTCACCTCACTTCAAGAACCCAAAGTGACCTCTATAATACATCGAATTCCTCTTCTATACTTAGACAAAATCCGGTTAGTGCGCCGGTCTCTCTTATCCGGTTTGTCGCACATCCGCGCAATGTGGCCAATCCGACCACAGTTGTGGCACTCCGCATTCCGGGTCGGATTCCCACAACTGGCACACCCTCTTCTCGACTCGCGGTCGTCACCTTCACGGCTGTCTCTTTCTCTGCGGCCACTTCCGGTCTCTCTCTCCACCCGGTTCTGGTGTCACGTTCTCTGTCCACCCTCTCGCTTTCTGATTCACTCTCGCTCTTACTCTTCGTCTTCTTCGTCTTCAGTCTCGACTCTCTCTGTTTTGCTCTTCCTTTCATAACCCGCGCTACATCTCCCCCATTGCTGGGATTCCGTCGCTTCGATTCACCCTGAGCAAGTTCATACTGTTCCGTGAGTTCCAGCCCCTTATTCAGCGCGTCAAATTCTTTTGCCATTAGATGGCGCCGGGTAAGGTCACTGGCAAGGCCATTCAGGAACGTGACCTTCATATTCTTTTCTAGAACTTCAGACGGGAATCCACAGGCAATGGTCTTGCTCCGTAACTTATTGGAAAATTCCAACAAGGACTCATCCTTCTCTTGCCGCAACAAAAAGTAGTTGGTCCATTCCGTCGTTTTCAACGTTAGACAGAGAACAGAGAGAACATGGTTGTCGCTAGCCCAAGTACGGCTATATAAAATTTCTCATTTCAAGCGAGCGTCTTTTTTACCATTATAATTTTGTTTTACATTTACGATATCAGAAAATATAATAGCGAGAAAAATTGTTCCGCCGAGAGTGGCGAGTCCAAGCATTTTGCAGCGAAAGAAGGACTTAGACAGCTTACTTAAAAACAGGGGCGGTGATGAGGCAAGGAACAATATTTGTCTTTATGTGAGTTTTCGATAACCTGCTGGGTGTTTGTAATGATGCTAACAGCCTAGCGATCGCCTCCCTCTGAATGAGGCACATCGGTAGTCGTGGTTTTCACCACACAGTTACACGGACAGTGGCACTGTGGGCTGACTGGCCGTCACTTCGGCGGGCCCTGACAAATGCAACGGGAGCCGATAAAGGTTGGGATTCCCTCATTGTATCGCCCGCCTGTTGGGCTGAACTGTCGCTCTCCATTTCGACTCCCGCTGCTGGATAAAGCTAGAACACAAGAAAACTATGCTAATAACTAATTACACTTACAAACATTTACATAAGAATACAGAGCATTCGCATTCGTCAGTTCTCAGCACTCGGAGATCTCGTGAAAGTCTAATAAAAGTCTTCTTAGAAATCTGCTAAAACAAGGTACTTGAAGTACGTCCTTTCAAGCATAATTAGTTAAGTAGCATTAATGCTCTACGTCTCCTGTGCATCCATAGCAGCGTGTGGGGGGATACTGGAGAAGCTGCTGACCGGAAGCGCGAGCAAGGTGCGTGAACGCGAGTGCGTAGGCCACCTCTGATCGCTCCAGCCGCACAGGCAACCCCAAACCACCCCAAACCACTGCTCTGTCCGTAAGCGTCGAGGGCGTGTGTCGGAACAGCTGTGGGGACATATCTTGCATAACAGGAGGACTTCCATCTCCCAATGCAATCCTCTTAATTGTGGCTTCGGAGGCTCACTGTGAGGCTTCATGTTGTCGAAGCCGTACCGATGCGGAAGCTGTGCGTTCCATCCCGATGCTTTCCGGGGATTCCGCGTAGGTGAGTTAGAAGCCAGCGGTCAACTTGCGTTCTTGTGACAAATTGACCGTTCTCTTGCACAAACAGCGGCAGTGCGTGCAGATTGGAAGATTTCCTTGCCGCGAAGTAGTTTCGTAATGCAAAGACAGGGCAGACTGATCGGCCGGTTGCATACAGCACGATCCTGTACCCGTGTCCAAACTGGTCCGTCTTCGAATGTCGAACGTTAGGGTCATCGAGTAATTAATCTCCAATATGTCACTGATGAGCAGCGTGCTCCGCTCGTCAAACTTGCTGGAAGACGGGGAAACAAACTCGCTTACTCGAAGTGCAGCAAAGGACGCCGTCGTGAAGATACACCAGATAAGCCGCTGCTCGTAGTGGGATATTGCGGTCGATCTGATACTATATCAGGTCGCCCGCATGATGTCCAGAGTGGTGGGAAGGCGGCAATCCGAGACTGTGGGGCAGATGCGCTTGCAGCCGTCGATGGCTCTGTTCACCGCCAACGACACAGTGGCATTCGGCAAATTAGTTTCGGCGTGCGCATTGACGATTCAGGGCTATGTAGACTTAAATTGTAGCAGGCGATATCTTTTGAAGAAAAAGTTGAGCCACGAACCGTAGCACGGTTACTTCTGTCGCTGGTAAAGACTGGGCATCGTAATTCATAAACAATTGCAAAAACCGTGACCAGCCGGCACCGTAGGTCGTTCTTGTTGAAACGGCAAGATGATGGTACTGGAGGTGTGCCACCATCACGTCTAGTCTGTCGGGAGACCGAACGCTTTCTGCAGTTCGGTCCAGATGTCCGGAATGACTTACGGGAAAGCCTTTGCGAGCGGTGACAGCTTCCGGAACCGCGCTACTACGCTGTTGGTGCAGCCGTCGTTGTCGGCATGCCTGCCGTCGGATTATAGGCTGCCCTGCCGTCCGAGATGGTGTCGTTAGGGTGCCTGCATGCGCTCCAAGGGAAACGCCGCCGTTGCCAGGCGGCTTGACTTCCGTCCGAGGAAGGTTCAGCCGTCGTTGGTGGGCCTGCTTGCCGTCGGAAGAAGGCGCTGCCGTAGCTAGGGGCCTTATTGCCGGCCGAGAAAAGTGCGGCAGCCGCTGGTGGTCCTACATGCGCTCCAAGGAAAACGCCGCCGTAGCCAGGCCGCTTGACTTCCGTTTGAGGAAGGTACAGCCGTCGTTGGGAGGCCTGTTTGCCGTCGGAGGAGAGCGCCGCCATTGCTAGGGGGTCTGCCTTTCGTCCGAGGAAGGTACGGCCGACGTTTATGGCCTGCTTGCCGTCGGTGGAGGGCGCCGTCGTTACTAAGGGGCCTGAGTCCCGTCCGAGGAAAGTGCAACCGCCACTAAGTCTGATTGCCGTCGAAGGTAGGCGCAACGGAGGTGGCGGCCTTGTATGCTGTCCGAGGAAGGTGCAACCGCCGCTTGGGGTCTGCTTGCCGTCGGATGTAGGCGCACCGGAGCTGGCGGCCTCGTATAATGTTCGAGGAAGGTGCAACCTCCGCTGGGGTATGCTTGCCGTCGGAGGTAGGCGCACCGGAGGTGATGGCCTTATATGCTGTCCGAGGAAGGTGCAACCGCCGCTGGGGGTCTGCTTGCCGTCGGAGCTAGGCGCACCGGAGGTGGCGGCCTTGTATGCTGTCCGAGGAAGGTGCAACCGTCGCTGGGGTCTGCTTGCCGTCGGAGGTAGGCGCACCAAAAGTGGTGGCCTTGTGTGCCGTCCGAGGAAGGTACAACCGCCGCTGGGGTCTGCTTGCCGTCGGAGGTAGGCGCACCAAAAGTGGTGGCCTTGAGTGCTGTCCGAGGAAGGTGCAACCGTCGCTGGGGTCTGCTTGCCGTCGGAGGTAGGCGCACCAAAAGTGGTGGCCTTGTGTGCCGTCCGAGGAAGGTACAACCGCCGCTGGGGTCTGCTTGCCGTCGGAGGTAGGCGCAGCCGAAGTTGGTGGCCTTGTGTGCCGTCCGAGGAAGGTGCAACCGCCGCTGGGGGTCTGCTTGCCGTCGGAGCTAGGCGCACCGGAGGTGGCGGCCTTGTATGCTGTCCGAGGAAGGTGGAACCGCCGCTGGGGGTCTGCTTGCCGTCGGAGCTAGGCGCACCGGAGGTGGCGGCCTCGTATGCTGTCCGAGGAAGGTGCAACCGTCGCTGGGGTCTGCTTGCCGTCGGAGGTAGGCGCACCAAAAGTGGTGGCCTTGTGTGCCGTCCGAGGAAGGTACAACCGTTGCTGGGGTCTGCTTGCCGTCGGAGGTAGGCGCAGCCGAAGTTGGTGGCCTTGTGTGCCGTCCGAGGAAGGTGCAACCGCCGCTGGGGGTCTGCTTGCCGTCGGAGCTAGGCGCACCGGAGGTGGCGGCCTTGTATGCTGTCCGAGGAAGGTGCAACCGCCGCTGGGGGTCTGCTTGCCGTCGGAGCTAGGCGCACCGGAGGTGGCGGCCTTGTGTGCCGTCCGAGGAAGGTCCAACCGCCGCTGGGGTCTGCTTGCCGTCGGAGGTAGGCGCAGCCGAAGTTAGTGGCTTTGTGTGCCGTCCGAGGAAGGTGCAACCGCCGCTGGGGTCTGCTTGCCGTCGGAGGTAGGCGCAGCCGAAGTTAGTGGCTTTGTGTGCCGTCCGAGGAAGGTGCAACCGTCGCTGGGGTCTGCTTGCCGTCGGAGGTAGGCGCACCAAAAGTGGTGGCCTTGTGTGCCGCCCGAGGAAGGTACAACCGTTGCTGGGGTCTGCTTGCCGTCGGAGGTAGGCGCAGCCGAAGTTGGTGGCCTTGTGTGCCGTCCGAGGAAGGTGCAACCGCCGCTGGGGGTCTGCTTGCCGTCGGAGCTAGGCGCACCGGAGGTGGCGGCCTTGTGTGCCGTCCGAGGAAGGTCCAACCGCCGCTGGGGTCTGCTTGCCGTCGGAGGTAGGCGCAGCCGAAGTTAGTGGCTTTGTGTGCCGTCCGAGGAAGGTGCAACCGCCGCTGGGGTCTGCTTGCCGTCGGAGGTAGGCGCAGCCGAAGTTAGTGGCTTTGTGTGCCGTCCGAGGAAGGTGCAACCGTCGCTGGGGTCTGCTTGCCGTCGGAGGTAGGCGCACCAAAAGTGGTGGCCTTGTGTGCCGTCCGAGGAAGGTACAACCGTTGCTGGGGTCTGCTTGCCGTCGGAGGTAGGCGCAGCCGAAGTTGGTGGCCTTGTGTGCCGTCCGAGGAAGGTGCAACCGCCGCTGGGGGTCTGCTTGCCGTCGGAGCTAGGCGCACCGGAGGTGGCGGCCTTGTATGCTGTCCGAGGAAGGTGCAACCGCCGCTGGGGGTCTGCTTGCCGTCGGAGCTAGGCGCACCGGAGGTGGCGGCCTTGTGTGCCGTCCGAGGAAGGTCCAACCGCCGCTGGGGTCTGCTTGCCGTCGGAGGTAGGCGCAGCCGAAGTTAGTGGCTTTGTGTGCCGTCCGAGGAAGGTGCAACCGCCGCTGGGGGTCTGCTTGCCGTCGGAGGTAGGCGCACCGAAGGTGGTGGCCTGTATGCTGTCCGAGAAAGGTGCAACCGCCGCAGGAGGTCTGCTTGCCGTCGGAGGTAGGCGCAGCCGAAGTTGGTGGTCTTGAGTGCCGTCCGAGGAAGGTGGAACCGCCGCTGGGGGTCTGCTTGCCGTCGGAGGTAGGCGCATCAAAAGTGGCGGCCCTGTGTGCCGTCCGAGGAAGGTCCAACCGCCGCTGGGGTCTGCTTGCAGTATGCCCGAAAGAAGTCAAAGGAATGCCAGCAGAGACAACATCTTCTGATTCGAATTCGATGAATGTAGAATGCCAAGTAGACCCGAAAGGACTGCCAGCACAGACAACATCTTCTGGTTCGTTGATTGTGGAATGCCGAGTTTGGTATGAGTATGAAGAGCTTGCACCGTTTCACACTTGCAGCTGCTATCGTGGACCGCTTACCGACGATTGTGTTTTGTGTTTGACAGGCCGAGGTGGAATGGATCATGTAACAACGTTGTGCGGATCAAACAGAATGGCTGGATAACCGTCTCTGAGGGACTGGAAAATCTTAGCCTGATTGTAAGCCAGGCATCTCGCCTACGGGACATTTCGCCTAAAGGACATTTCGCCTAAAAGACATTTCGCCTGACAGTTTGATTCGAATCATAAATAACACACCTAAGGCGTTGTCCCGAATTCGAAGCGAATCTCGTTATGGTACGGTTGCGCAACCGCACGAGGTGGCTGTATGCAGTGGCCACGCCTACAGATACGGTACGCGAAGCCACCTCGCGAGGTGGAGTTGCTGTATCGCAACGAGATTCGCTTTGAATTCGGGACGAGGCCTAAGAAACCTAAGAAAACTTAAGTAAGAAACCTAAGAAAACTTAGAAAACCTAAGAAACCTAAGAACCTAAGAAAACTAAAGGAAACGAAATAAAACTAGAGAAAACTTAAGAAACCTAAGAAACTCTAAGAAAACCTAAGAAAACATGGAAATATTAGAAAAAATAACAAACAAACGCTTTTGGTATTAGCGTTATTAATATGATTCGAATCGAATTTATAGGCGAAATGTCCCGTAGGCGAAATGGGATGATACCCACCGAGCAGCAGCTTGATGGAACTGTGGATGGCGGCTGACAAGTACGACATGGCGGATCTGCGTGCGGAATGTCTATTTTTGATGCTGGAGACAGCGAGTAAGGCGTCGGTGGAGCAAGCTTTATCGTACTTTGACTTTGCACGGGAACACGACCTGAAGGACCTCCGTGCCAGGGCGGCGCGAGTGATCAGTATGGACACCGACGATTCCTAGATCATATTAACTAATAATAATAATTAGTATTCATAAAATAAAATAATATAGATTAATAACGTACTAAATTATATTATTTAATAAATTTTTTTATTAATTTTTCGTGTTTCGATGTTTAACATTATTTAAGTATCCCAGTGATGCTTAAATAGGGTTTACCGTTTATTACTCATCTTGGATAAAAATTCATGCGGCACGAGAGAATCCGTATCACGACGTCCCACTTCCTTGCAGCCACAAAATTACTATCTGCAAGTTTAACCGCGGAATGCGTTCACTTTTCAGTATGCCTTTTGTTTGTGTTGACCAAACCGGGGAAACTATTTTAAACTATTTATTGTAATGCGAGTCTTTTTCGGGTTGTTGAGTTTTAACTTAACTTTGAAGCGTGACTCGCTACCTGAAAAACGTAACTATAACGCACATTTTTAAAAATTATACACACCGTATTGCGTGTGGGAGCGCAACTCGCGGCATAACTCCAAAACTGGCCGGGAATGATTAGTGCCCGATGTTGTTTTTCTTGGCAGCTTTGCTGTACAGGGTTTTGTTAACGAATTAAAGTGCTCGGCAATTGAAAAAAAGACTCCAAAACTCGTTTACTTGCGCGGATAGCGTAACGTGTAGCGTAATTCGCACGCTCCCTGTAACTCATAACTTTCACGGCGAATGAATTATCCATACTGTCCAGGTACGCTGTTGACTTGTCTTCCATGTAATACAACGATTATAAAGTGCTTAATAACGTAGCGGCAGCATGCAAACGCGGTTTATTTTGTTTTTTCTGTAGGCTGATCCGGCAAAGGCCAACGCGGAGACCGGATTTTTCCACGAAAAATCAGACACTACTTCCGCTGAGGCTCAACCCACCGCCACCACCGACACGACCGCCCATACAGACCAGACCATGACTGGAGCACAAGGTCAGCGCTAGCGCCGCCAAAAAGGTCATCCCTCTGGAGGCACTGGTTCACTCCTGGTGAAACAACAATATGCCCAAGACAACAGCATAGTGGGCATAGTACGGTTGCACCGGTCACTTGCCATCCGAAAGATAAGGGTAAATGGTGGGCAAAAGGATGGGGGTTACCCGGCTGCTGAATATCATCCATGTCATCCCGACTGTAAACTACAAAATTTTTAACGCTAACCCTAAGCTCAGACGGCTTTAACCAGAATTTCAATTACTCAAACCCTTTGTACCACCTTTAACGCCTATTTAAAATAAATTTGCAGCCTAATTCCAGATTCTTATCTGCAGTTTTCAATCTTGCTCACCTTTGGTTGACGTGTAATCTTGGAAGTAAAAAACAACCCAGTAACAAGACAGAAATCTGCTGTGTCGGTGTTTACGTGTGATTCTGGAAACTGGTAGAATAAAAGCCTTTAAAAGCGCTATTCCATGTTGTGATATTAAGTTTTAAGTACAGTACTCTGTAGAAATATGTAAAATACTACGGCAGAACAACACGACTGCACTCATTGCACACCTTTACAGAGTAAAATAGAAAGAAAGTTAGAAACAGAGCAAAAGAAAGTTACAAAGTGTAGCATCTCAAGCGCCCTCGCACATATCGTCGTTTAAGGAATACTCAGTCTGGTTGAAATTAACATTGCCTTGTCCGAACGGCACTGCTTCTGCACAGTCAATAGGCACGTACATTTCCTCTTTCGTGATGACTGGATTGCTCCAGGCACCGATGAAAGAATATATTTCGGATCTTTCCACCGTACGCAGCAAAGCGGAATTGGTACTCCACCAGCGACGGAACCAGGCAAAATTACAGTTGCAGTGCAGACGAGATAAATAGTCACGGAAATGTTGATCAAAAGTCGCGGGAACTTTTGTCTCGTTGACATATTGATGTAGCTGTTCCAACGTGAGGACACTCAGAAACGGTAGATCCATAAAAGTGCCTGCTTCCAAAGTGCGGATGGTGGAGTTGAAAAATGCGATCATTCGCAATTTCTTCGAAGCCTTGAAATCACTCTTCTTAATGTCCAGATCGAAGCATCTAAATGTATTGTAGTGCACAAGATTGATTAGACCCAGGTTGCGGAGTTGACCGGTTGTCCGCGGATCTTGGGATACAAGAACATCAACAATAACAATCTGATTTCGTATGGGCGACACATCGGAACCGTTAACCGGTATTCCACCCTTAATGGTTAATCGGACCGGTCGTAACGGTAGTCTGGCGATGGCCGCAGCCTGTTTTCTTACGTCAGCGCGCGCTGCGTCCGCATCGCACTGGTGCACGACCGGACTCACTTCCCCCATGTAGCGCTCTTCAGATACACTTATCTGATAGGCAGTATAACCGGTGCAATCGCGCTCGAAGGCGTAAAACGGATTGCATATACTAATCTGACGCACGGAACATTCTTCCGGGCTTAGCGGTCCTGCTTGAAAATTCGGGAAGTCATCTGGGTTGGTGGCTGTCGCAACTGCAACCTTCACATGTGCTTATACATTCAAAGGTGCTCATACTGAAAAATTAGCATACGATTCTGTTACTGACGAATCACAAAATTTCCTAGTTAGCGGAGTTTCTATCTTGAGCGAAATTATCGGAACGGTTTCCGCTTGGAAGCGGTTGCGCCTCGCAGTCAATTACCCTTATGGTCTTACCTATTTTCGGATCGGAATGAACATCGTGCCAGCTAAGTAAAATACAAAATACAGCGAAACGCCCCGGTAAGTCCATCTGATGCTTGCTTTACAGACAGTTTATAAATTAATCTATGCATCCAAACGACCACATCTACGTACTCGTATAGCAAGGTTTTTAACTTGATAACATGCAGTAGACCAAGTTTTCTAGGAGTGCAGATGCTCTTACAAACAGCGTGTAAGCATTTCAGGCTAGGTATCATAACTGTCTATTATACGGGCGTGCTTTTCCGTCTCAGACAAGCAATTAAACATACGTTTTTCTCTAGGCTGAAATGCCCCTGGACTGTCACTTAAACCATCTTTTCTTATTATTTTCACCGTGGTTCTTACTCGCTCTATTCAACGCATTTTAACACCGTTACACGTACAGATATGCAGTTTTCGGAGAGCTGTCAAACCGGCTCGTAATGCGAATTTAAGAATCTATTTTTACTTCCGTTTCCGCTCTGACTGTGTCCGCAAATCCGCGAATTCGGCTTTTTTCTGAAATAGTTTTATCATAGCTGTAGTATCGCTGATGATGTGGCTGGCCCTGAGGGCAAACAGGTTCAAATCCCCGCTATTGTTTGTCCTATTCACACGTTTGGTCTTTTCATATGCCAGAATCTAATATATATCTCAAGGTGCTGCCATATGCTGCGTTCAACTAACCTTAAAGTTTTCCAAAACATATTGCTGGATATCTTTGCTGAATTTTCTTCTAACACGCTGTATGCCATTTGCCTTCTATACGTATTCCAGTTGTATTTGTACGAGCAGCACATTCGAAATAATCGCTTATGTTAGCAGAAATGGTGCTTCATGCATAATTACTGGCCTACATTTTCGTGAATTAGGTCGCTTTTTACTGTTTTTACTTACAAAAAGAGTACCAAAATTTTGTTACTTTCCAAAAGCTGAAAATACAGAAAATAATTTGATAAATGCACTTTGTACATTATAAAAGCTCTCTTTATAAAAAAAAACAATATGCCGGCTTCGTGTCAAATTAACGATCTTGAAGCTTAGATGCACTTTTGTGCCAAATTAGAAGATGCTCGGTCCATAATCAAATTTTTGGTGAGCCTACGTACGCTTTTTGGAAATTTCTTACACAGCTTTAACTTCTCAGCCGGATATGCCGCGCACAAGCGGTTTTCAGGCGAATCAGGACAAATTGTTGCTAAACACACAACAAAGGCACTGTGAAAAAGTGTTTGGGATTTAGGAGTGCGGGAAAGTGGAGCTTTTCTTGCATGTACGGTGTATCCGAATTTGGTAGCATGTATCGGGTCACTTTCCTCAGCGCTGCCAAGCCTATTCTAGTTTTCCGAGAAATCTTCAGTAGCCCAGCATTCTGGTCAGTACGTGTCTTTGTATTTAATTTTTTGTCCACATACTGATTGATGCGGAAGAAAGAGGATAGAAGAAGCGATAAAATACCGCCAAGTGCTCAAGTGGCAATCTGGATGGAGAGTTTTGATCTTTTGGAAAACGTTTAAATTTCATTTGCTGCTACTGTTTATACTTGTAAATTATGATTGTATCCTAATATGTACACTGTGTACAGAATCGGTTAATTGGGTTTGCGTTGACTCAGAATTGTAGTCCATTGTGCAATTCCCTTGTCTCACTGTCCAGTACATAATAATCAATTATTCAGTACATTATAACTGCCAAAAAACATTTGTAAAATTAAAAGTAATTCATACATCAGCAGCCCATACCGGTATTTTCCTCGTCGAATTCCAGATGTTGATTGTGTCCGCGTGTCCGTCTCCATGTTGACTGTACACGGCACAGAGCGTCAGTACTGTGTCTTTTGTATGCTTTCGATAATGTTCAACACATTATTTTCATTTGTACTGCTTTATCTAAAATGAAATCACCGATTAAATCTTAGCGCGTGAGCAAGTGATCTCCGAATATCGCAAAGCGGCAGACGGTCTTGCGCAGTTACATGCAGGTGCGAATGAAACACCAACTGGCGTGCATGTACACCGACTGGCGTTGATTGGGCAACCCTTAACATCTAAAGTTACACATTTATTAGCGCTGAAAATGGAGACTTTTATGCGAATATGCTTTTTTGTAATCTGTGGATTTTTAAAATTAAACGACGCGACAGAATCCGAAGAAGTCTGCAGTAGCATTAAACGCGGATGTGACGATCTGGAAAATGCGTTAAATATCTCCCATCACTGGCCCTACACTCCCAACTTTCTGGATGAAATACGGGAAAACGACCTCCTTTGCAGGTAAAATGCGTAGCAGAATATAAAAGTATGGTTTAATCTGCAACTGCTCAATTAACTGTACGCCCATAAGAGCGCATCCGGACCACTGAGAGTATGACATTTCGCTGTACTCAGATTCGACACAGGACTTTCTCCGCCAGCTGATTTCGTCGCGGGACAACGGATTATGGGACATTTCGGCTGGGGACATTCTGCTCTGAAAAACTTTACTTTTGCGACAATTTGCCATACGACGGCTTCGCGGCCAATTCACCGCAAACGAAATCGATACGTTTATACTTCTTTACACTGGTTTTTCAGGTTTTCTTCTTAGATATCCACGTTTTTCTTGGCATTTCTTAGGTTTCATTTTTTATCTTATGCCTTCATATGTTTTCTTATAACATTTTTTTATTACTAAGTTCTCTTAGGTCTTCTTAGCTTTTTCCTATTTTTTCTTAGGTTTTCTTACTTCTTCTCATTTTTCTCGTTTTCTCAGGCTTTTTTTAAAGTTTTCCTAAGTTTACTTAGGTTTATTTCGTTTTCTTGACTGTTCTTGTTAGCCTAATAGCTATTTAATTGGTAGACGTAACAGCTCTTCGTCGACATGGTCTCACGACGAAGTGTCTCGGGGTCGAAACGATTTTGAGACGCAATATAAGGTTTGAGACGCGGTGTAATGTCCTACCGACAAAATATTCCGCGACGAGATGTCGCGCGACGGGATGACCTTGTACGAAATGTCAGGGACCAGATGTCCGGCGGTTCGTTGTCCTCGGCGAAATGTCGCAGTGCCCATGAGACCGGGTGTAGTAATCGCGCGCTCGTTACTGCACCGATAGAACTGTACTGTACTATTGTACGTCAAGATTTTCAATAACAAGGTATTACTTTCAGCCATGCCAATACAACCTTGAACTGCATTCGCCAACTGCGTTCCCGGTGTCCGGTATACGTCCGGGAAAAGCTGCACTCTACAGCATACGGCTTCTACAGAGAGGCTGCCAAAGAATCTTTGATCAAGCTTTGCACTGTCACAAGTGCCATACGGATACGGAATGCTAAAATGCACTGTAACAATCAAATGCAGACCAGCAATTTTGTAGTGCAACAGGTACTAGGACCGTTGACCTTTGAAACCATCGTCAGCACTGCCATAACAGAGTCGACGGCCGTTGCTGCTGTTTGCCGGTAGGAACGAGCAGATGATGCTGGTTGATGATATTACAACAGAAATCACTGTGGGAGAATTGGCCATGTTTAACTCTTGTTCGTACTTTAGAGTGAATCGAGACTACCTGACGGCAGTGGACACTGACGCTCGTGTGGCAGCGAACCTGCTGTCGCACTGTGGATCGGAAGCATTAAACGTAATAAAAGCCGGCGTGGCGAAGGTGTTGCTGATCACTCCGTGTCCCGCTGATCCGTGATCTAAAGATCGCAGTGATCGAAGAAAATGCGTTTCTTGTCTTAAAAACGATCATCATTTAACGCTGTGTATTAAGTTTCAACTGTGTAAAGCCAACTAACCGAGTTCGTTAACGGAAATGGCCCAATACAGTACTAGTACATGGTACCAGTTCCGTACATCCACTGAAACGTTCCATTTCGCGCGCCGCAAAGCAATTTTTGTATTCGCTTTATGTCATTCTACAGCCAAAGTGTCTTTGTGTTTTGACGTGGAAGCCGTTTGCGCGTAAAACATTCAAATGTTCGTAACTGGAAATCACTGTTGTTAGACTATTTCCTGTATACTTTTATCGCCAGGTTTATATGTCTATGTCACTAATATACATATACAAGAAACAGCTGCGGCTTCGCCTCCGCGTTTCTTGTGATCCACTCAGTTAGCGATTCTGCTCACTGGACAGTAGTGGTAGCTCGGTAACTTACTCACTCAGTTAGCGATTCTGCTCACTGGACAGTAGTGGTAGCTCGGTAACTTACTCACTCAGTTAGCGCTTCTGCTCATTGGATAGTGGTAGCTCGGTAACTTACTCACTCAGTTAGCGATCCTGCTCACTGGACAGTAGTGGTGGCTCGGTAACTTACTCCCGAGCAGAACCTCTCACTGTCCATTCTGCTCACTGGACAGTGGTAGCTCGCTCACTCACAAATACAAATGCGGCTCTTTGCAATTTTAGCAATTGCTTAGAAGGATGGTCCTGCCAAAATCGAACAGCCTGATGTCCGTATGGTCAATACCTACCATTATATTACGAGTACAAATTTGCCGACAACAAAAATCGAAAAATTAACTTGTGGTTACGTACTTAATTTTGTGGTTGGTGTTGTACGAAAATAAGTTTAATTTATTCCGTTTAATTTGCGTATTTAATAATTTTTGTTGCATATTGTATCCAGGCAAAATTTTTCTAAGTTCCAAGGTCACCTTGAAACTGTGTTGGATCGTTTGCGGCATCGTGCCGGCACGATTCTGATCGAGCGTATTCAAAAACAAAAGTCATGTGACGCAGTTCTGGACCACGGCCGATCTAACTGTGGTATCAGATTTTTTAAAAAGTTCTTGGTTAGAGAGATCTCTAGACTGTGGGGAGGCCGCGCGTAATATTGATCTTCTTCCTAATATAGTAAACAATTAGTATTTTACAGTTATTATGTGAATTAGTGGGGCATGCAATAATTGCAAAAAGCCCTAGGCGACAAACTCACATGCACAGTCGCCACTTGTACGTGAAGTATGAAAACGTGTCTTGGCATGAATTTAAGCTTAATTTAACGCTGACTTATTAGCAAAAGTTGGCAACACTAACTTTTAAGAAATTTACAACAATCGGTCAAATTTAAATAAATTTTAACATGAAACGCCGCTTCATGATATTATCCTGCCCTCATTTACATAATTGTATAACTGCATGAAAGTGCGAAATTAAAGAGGCGTTGTGTAATAAAACATACCGTCTTCGCGTGCATAATGACCTTAACCGAGTCGAGATATGGTTTTGTACAGCTATGATACACCGTTATATACGCGACACATCATGAAGCGACACTTCGTGTTAAACTTACTGCTTAACTAAATTAACTTTTGACTGTGTTAAATTAACTTCTACAGACTACAGCTTTAATTTCGCGTCTATTTTTTAATTTTTACTACCCGGTAGTAATACTTATATCCGCAATGTATTAGCGTTTCAATTTATGCTGATTGATGAGCAACATGTCTGGCCCTCGGGGATAACTGGCAAAGTTGTGCTTGTCAGTCAGACATTGTGACTCATTTTACCCTTGAAAATTTTCACCGACTAGTAACCTGGTAAACTGGAAATGCGAAAAGCGTTCTTGAAAATTTTCGGCTTAACTTATTGCAGCAAGTAAGGGATCTTTTCAGAACTGCTGTTGGTCACGAAATAAGAATTTTAAAACCGATGAGCTGTTGATCTCTACTGTTATCATATCAAACGCAGCAAAAATTTAATCAAGACAAACAAAAAAACCAATATAAAAACAAATACTGGTACTTAAACTACAATTAAAAAGTAAATGGCGGTAGCACATTAAACTCTGCCGAAGAAACTTGGTTGTGTCCGTGTGTAAAGGATGTTCACTCACTGAACCACCATTAGCATCAGACAGACATAGGAAGCCGTGTTGCTTTTATGATTATTGCAACGCGAAACAAAGCAAGACCCGCAAGCCACAGTGCATGTGCCAGGAAGTAACTTGTAACTCATGTCACTTTTTACATAAGACGCTCCAGCAGAAACACGAAAGTGGGTGCAGGTGCAGCATTGCAGCCACATACTACCTCGCATTATAAGAAAACGGCAAACAGTTGCGGTGCTAATTTCTTAAGAGTAATTCAGTACGTGTTCGGCAGCCGGCCACAACAGTCCAAGCAAAGTCCTTGCTTTTGATAAAATGAAGGCGTTTATGGGAGCATATATCCTTTTGGTGTCATCCGTGTTACGATCAAGCGACGCAGCGGAATCCGAAAAAGTATGCGGTGGCATGAAAACTAAATGTGACGATCTGGAAAAGACTTTAAATCTCACCCACCAGTGGCCCTACACAGCCAGCTCGCTAGATGAAAAACGGGATAATGACGTGTTGTGCAGGTAACGTATTCTAACTAAACGCAAATTTTTTTTGAAAAACGGTAAAGGGAAAATTTAGAACGTAACGTACGAGATTAATAATAAAATTTTGATATAATTATAAAACAATAACTTTTGTTCTTTATTTTATTATTATTAATGTTGTATCGAAATTTGGCACGGACAAGCTAAATGCATGTAACGCGTAAATACTAAATAGCGTGGCATGGCGCTACGTAGTATGGATTCGGCGAAACCCGTGAATTTGTATGTCTCGCTGTAATGTGTTAGAAATTAAGGGACAAACTTGTATCCCTAATCTGGTATCACTTTCAGCCATTATAGCACAACCTTCAACTGCATACGCCAACTGCGCTCCCAGTGTCCAGTGTACGTTAATAAGCACTTGGCTGTGGACCCTGTATACTATAACGAGGCCGCCAAAATGTCTTTGATCAAGCTGTGCACTGTCACAAGTGCCGTACGGATATGGAATGCCAAAACGTACTGTAATAAACAAATGGAGAGCAGCGAATTTATAACGCAACAAGTATTGGGACCGTTGGCCTTCGACATCATCGCCCGCGCTGCCACAACGGAACCGAAGGCCGTTGCCGCTGTTTGCCAGTAAGTCGGAAGAATGATCCAGTTTGAAGATATACAGTAATTGTGATCAACTACAGATACTTTTGGAAACTGGACACGCTTACTCCTTTTTTGTAACACAGATTTAACCGCGACTATCTGAAGAAAGTGAACACCGACACTGCTGTGGCTGCGGACCTGAAGTCGCACTGTGGACAGGACGCAGTGGACGTGATCAATGCCGGTGCACAGAAGGAATGGCAGGGCATGCGGTGCCGCTGATCCTCGAGCTGAAGATCAAAGCCATCTTGGGAAAGATGTTTCTAGTTTCTGCAGCGCCGCTGATCGGTATTAGGCATTTCTAGAGCGGCTGTGTTTTAGTGTTTGATACCGTAACAGTGGTAACAATCCTGTATTCAACTGACTGAACCGATTTCGTTAAAACAATAGGGTTTGTGGGTTCATTACTTAATCGTACGGTAGGGAAATTTTTCTGTTGATCAGTTGTGGTATTCTATATACAAAGCTAACTGAGCCGTTTTTTCGGCCAACATCTCCTCCTACACCGTTCGACACTAATTTTAACACGATAGCTCAAAAAATCCCTAAAAGCATGTAGTTTGCGGCAACGCCTTTCATTTTTCTATCTTTTCGTCCTATGATTTACAAAACGCGTTCGAAACGAATTTCGCTGATTGGCTTATCTTTGGAAAGCAAAAGAGGATTGGTGTAAAAGCGGAAATTTCGAACGAAAACCGCTGACTAACGACTAATGCCTTACAACATTAAGTATTAACATAGGCCAGGAACATAGGAACACTGATTTGCAAAATATCGTTGAAATAGAAATGCGGAAAAGCGTAACTTAAAATATTACTTAGTACTAAACTATACTATTAAGTACACTGGTGACAGTACTGCACACTTTATTACAGTAACTGTTGTATCTGTAATGTGGCTCCATATCACATGTTGACACGTAGTTTTGCATTAAAGCAATAGGATATAACATCAGAAATTACATGCACTTGCTGAACGTAAATAGCCAAATGATCTGTAAAATGTTTATAGATCTGTATTCCTTGATCGAAAACTAAAGTTCAAAATTAACAGTGAAAATCTAGTAAGCAAATGTAACCGGAGGATTGGTTACATAAACCACATTTTTCGATACGCTGACTATGGTGCTCGTATGCGATTGTTCGATTCGCTAGTCCTCTCTCTCATCGATTACTGTTGCTTCATCTCGCATCCGTCACTAAAGCAGTCGGTTAATGCCATCGAACGTTGTCAAAGGCGGTTTACTTAAACTTTGCGACTCGGCAACAATGTCTTGAAGTACAAAGAACGTCTAAAAGAACTAAAGCGGGACGATTTAAAAACACGCCGTTTAAAAAAAGCTCTACTTTTTATGTACAAATTGGTGTTCCGCGTTGTTCCGATGGGTGATCTGATCGTCACACGCTTCGGTTTTCGGTGTCTGTGCTTGAGTCTGTTGCAGGAAACACCAGAACATCTGAACGTCTTATGCAACATCCGTGTCCCATCCAACCAGCCCCGACAACGATTTGTGGAACAACGGTGACCACCGCCCACGACTCGTATCTCAACAACCTCGTGTCCGTTTGGAATGAGCTTCCTTTGCTACCCACTACCTACGTCACGCTGAAGACCTTTACAGAAGCGCTGAAAACAGTGAAACTGGATGATCTGCCTTCCGCCAAAACCTTCCTAAAAAGTGCTTAAATTTCCTTTTACTTGTTTTTGTCTTTTTACTACAAAGTTATTATGTGCAATGTATATGTTCTTGTCTACATACTTTTTACGGTTGCGGCTAAGTTTACAACGTCACAAAAAGGCGATTACGTGCGTAAGTGTCCTTGCTTTCCTTTTTCCCACGATTTTATTTTGAAAATTTCCGGAAATTTTTGAAAACTTTAAATGTACAGTACGTGGGTTTTGGTTTTATGCATCGACCCCAGCGCGATCGCCTCCCTCCCTTTTTGTTTTTCCACAGTTATATTCACTTACCGCAACCGAAACGATAGAAACCACTTCATTTCTTTCTTTTCTTGGGCTGTTATCTGTTAACAAGAGTCTTGCTCTCTTTGTTGCATACTGACCTTCATGTTCCGATGTTCTCATGTTATCAGTTAACGATGTTTCTATGTTGTGACTACTTTATGTTGTTCTTGTTAGAAATTATATTACCAATATAATATACACTCATAATGTGTCATCTACTTGTGAACTATGATCATTGTCTTACTAGCTGATCTGTGAGTGTACGGTGCACCCAGGTCACCAATCCCCTTGTTTATCAGATGTTTAGGTGCAGTAACTTACTAATATCGTGAATGTACCTAGTGCTATATAAGAAACCTGCTTGTATAACGTTGATGAACAGAACATAACAGAACAACACCAGTGTGTGCGACGCTTCCGGTTTCTGTTCCCGGGACTATAATAATCTCCTAATATAAATTCTAACAGTTCTGAACAATTTTGTCATGTTTACTATAAACTGTGTTACTGTCTAAAGCCTAGAGGGGGCACCTGCTCCGTGCAAGGACAATAAACTCCATTATTATTATTATTATTATACGAAACTAAAAGGAAATTCTACGGCGGACACTGCAGCATTTACTCGTTTTTCAGGCGGGACTTTCGGCATTCTGTCGTTTATAATATGAAATAAAGTCCATCCGGCAATAAGAAACCTTATTACGTTTTGCGGTTTTTTGTCCAACATCTCCTCCTACACCGTTCGACACTGATTTTTACACGAGAGCTCAAAATATCCCTAAAAGCATGTATCTGTAGTTTGCGTCAACGGCTTTCGTTTTTCAATCTTTTCATCCTCCGATTTACGAAACGGCTCCAAAACGAATTTCGCTGATTGGTCGATCATTAGAAAGTAACAGAGGATTGGCGGAAATGCGTAACTTTCGAAACTAAACCGCTGACATATCGCACATGTGCATATGGATATTGTTAAGTCAAAGGGCATACACGTTTAGCAAGCACACACACATACATACTCTGTTTGTCCACTGGGATGGTTCATTTTACGGGAATGCAAATTTTTAATGCAGATGATGAAAATAACTATTATTTTGAAACTCTTTTCATCCTCCAATTTACACAACACGATCGAAAAGAATTTCACTGTTTGGCTTATCGTTAGAAATCAAAAGAAGATCGACGAAAATGCGAAACGTTACAATTATTATTATTTATATACAGAGCTAACTTCGCCGTTTTTCTTCATTTTTCTCCTACTCCTTCGGCGCTGATTTTCTCACGATAGCTTAAGGAACGCTTAAATCGTGTTATCTGTCTTTACGACTTTGGTTTTTCGATCTTCTCGACATTCGAATTACAAAGCATGACCAAAACGAATTTCGCTGATTGGCTTAACATATGGTAACTAATAGCTGATTGGCGTAAATTTATAATTTTTCGAACGAAACTGCTAACTCGTAGCATAATATTAGTGCATTTGCGTTTCTTACTTGTATGTGTACAAATCACGCATACATCTATACAAGTAGGCAAAAGTAGGCCGGGCCAGCCAATGGTAATTGCGAAAACGGCTTAGTTGTATGTATGTATGCGTGATTTGTACACATACAAGTTGCAGCGCTAAAGCACTATTATGTGAGCGACATGTTATTTAATTGGCGGAAAGTAGGAAAGGATAACTGTACTTTACGGGGAAGGTACGTATTATTAAAATGAAAGAACATTTACTCGTAGCATTTACGTGGCACACGATACAGTACTCTAGCTGTACAGTGCATTGTCTGCTACGGCAATTTTTAATGATTAACCACAAGGAATACAGGTTTCGAACAAAAAATCCGCACAACAGCAAATCTACCAATCCTGAAAACATGATAAACGAGACTAGCGAAAGTCTAAAAGACAAAACCCCCACATGTCGCACAAACTAGGTCACTGGTTAACGGTCGAAACGCAAAGCGTTGAATTAATAACCCCAGATCACATCGTGCGCAACAAGCAGAAAATCCATCTCCAAACTTCCACGTCCCATTCGCCAGTCCACAGAGCTCGGAAATTCACCGTTCAGGAGGTTCATGAAGATGACCAAAGGCAGCTGAATGAAATGAGAGAAGCAGAAATGAAAATGCCAGGTTCCACCAGGGTTCCAGAGTCCAGATCCACGGTTCCCAATCTCACCAGACCCGGAAAAAGCCCGCACGGAACGCCAAAGCACTGCACTAGCTAGGTCACTGGTTAATGGTCGAAACGCAGAGCGTTGAATTACTAACCCCAGATCACATCGAGCACAGCGCCCAGAAATCCCCCGCAGTCTGCCTCCGTGGCCGGCTAAATCTTCCCCGCGGCTCAAACTCCAGCCTCCGCAGGGCTGCATAGAAAAGACAGGGAAAGGGTGCGACATCAGATCAACAGTCATGAGTAAGAGCAGTAATGAGTATCAAAGGAATGGAGAAATGCGCTGGAAGACAGCAAATGAGGCGCTCCAGTAACGACGGGTTCGTGGTGAATGAATGCGCGAGATGGTTCGTCCCTGCCAATCTGGTTTGAACCAGAAATGGCAGGGCTTCTTATTTGGTCGAAAAAGATTACCAAAAATTACTTGGATCGCAAGAAAAAACCAGAACTCTAGACAATTCTGTCTAGAGAAAAAATGATGCGGTTTAAAAAGAAGGGAATACGATGAGCACAATAAATGTCCCTGTAATGTGCAAATTTTCGACTGCAAGATATAATTTCCTATGGTATTTTTGCCGGTGAGACAGAAGGGAAGGGATTTTCGCCGGTCAGATAGAAGTACAGGGATTTTCGCCGGTCAGATAGAAGTACTGTACTGTTACCCTGCACTTGCCGAAATTTTGTACAGTATGAGCCGTACGATACTGTAGCTGTGTCGCCTGTGTGAGAGCTAAAGCCTCTTGCGTTCAGTCAGCAGACAGCCGCATGCACGCAGTTGCAGGCCCAGTATGTGAACCGTGAATGGCGACTGAACGCGCTCGTACAAGGTACGTCTAATTGAACCACTGAAACTTTCGGCAAGTGCAGGGTAACAGTACAGTACAGTGATATTCACCGGTCAGATAGAAGTACAGGGATTTTCGGCGGTCAGAAAGAAGTACAGGGATTTTCACCGGAAAGAACAGAGGTGTAAAAATTTTCGCCGGTCATACGAAAAAAGTGAATTTTTTTGGTCAGACAGAGGAGGAGGGATTTGGCCGATATGTTATTAATAATTGTTTTGGCTGATATGTGTAATTGACTCAACCTTTGGAGACGACGATTTACACGAAACAAAATTTACACTTTCAACCGTCTACCGAAATAACTAACTGACATAGCTGAATTCTATAGCATTGAGTACTTAATGACGACAGTGACAAATTCAAAACAAACCGCATTTCCGATCCAGATAAATTCCGTTTCCTGATTCTTTACAAAACTACCACATTACTTTCTTCAATTCTAAAAATTCTCAACTGAGGCCGGAGGCCGAGGTTGA